GAGATATTGTAGCATTAATTGAAAGAAATAGAATAGATGAATATAAGAGTATGATAATGAAATTGATGAAGCTGGCAAAACATATCAGAATGACTGATTTACTTACACTTTCAATTGAAGCATTGGAAAAGAGAAATCCTGTCACTATTCAAGATTTAAAAACAAGTATTGAATCTTTAATTGAAACTGAATATTTAAAACGGGAAGATAAAGATATGATCTCCTATATTGCGTAATCTTATATGATCTCCTATATTGCATGATTTTGATTAGTCAAACAAATTGTATATTATGTATGTATGTATGTAAAATATATGGGAAATGAATAGATATACAAGTAAATGAATAACTTAAAGTGGAATATCTTCTGGATCTGGATTATAAACCCAATGTTCACCAAAATAAGGAATCTTTTGATAGAAAGTAGTTTGGAATAATGGAATACCTTCAGTGAAAACAGCAACACCGGCACCGGCAGCACCACCCCAGAAGATTAAGTTTGGAACATAATCTTTAATAACATTGAGGTTTAATTTTCCAAAATTTGTAACAGTTTTATAAACTGGAGCTCTGATGTACTAGAGACGAGAATTGTTAGTATTAAATTGCCCACCTTTTTATATACCTTCTCGAGCAAAGGGTATTCTCATTGACCTTGTAAAACATACTGCAACCATTCTTGTAAATGTTAAGTTTATTGACTAAGACAGTTGGTATAATTTACTTATGATTCCGGTTTTTGAATTTTTCTTTCTACCATTAACCATTTTTCCAGTAATACTAAAAAGTATGGGACTGCATATAAAACAAATTGACAATTTATTGGCGTTTTATTGGCTTGATATTTTAATCACGTGACTTTAATATGGTTATGAACGTGAAGACGAGAGATACCAACAGTATTTCACCTGCTCCAAGAGAAGAACGTCTACACTTAAACAGAATAAACTAGTGGTCAGTGGCAGGTACTTGTAGAGTGGTGTAGTAGTACAGCCTATGGTTCTGATCATTGTTAAATTCATTTAGATGTGAGAATTCTACAGTTGTACAAATCATAATAAATAATATTTATATTCTGATTCTTTTTTAAAATCAAGTTTCCCTTCATCTTCTATACAATATCAACAGGAATCCGATATGTACTATATATATACAATACAAAAAGAAAGGGGGGACAGGGATAATACAATAAAAACGCAAAAAATGACCAATATCCATTCAAAAACGATTAAACAGCATCAGGTTGGGCCATGATATAATCAATAGCCTGTCCAACAGTCTTAATACTATCAGCCTCATTATCAGGGATTTCAATACTAAATTCATGTTCTAATTCCATAACAACCTCAACCACATCCAATGAATCCAATCCCAAATCTTGAACAAATGAAGATTGTTCAGTAATACCCTTAGAAATGTCTACTTTGTCATATCCTTCTAATAATTCTATAATCCTTTCGGTGGCTTCTTCTCTACCTAATGGAGCATGACCACTGTATGAACGAATGAAATTGATTGGTTGTTGTTTTGTTATTAAAATGGGGTTGATTCTGGCGACAACGGTTGGTCTGACAATGGCAGATGCTAATGGTGCTCTTTTACTAAAATTATTTCAACTAGACTTGTAAAGCTGATCTAACATATACTTAACCCGGATCTCTATGGGGGAGGCAATAGTTCGGGGAATCTTTTTTTGAAGAAGGTTTGAAATTTTTTCTTCTAAGTGTAAGTTGATTGAAGGAATTTGTTGGTATCAAGAAGGAGACATTTTAGTACGACATTAATAATTGCGACATTCTAAGATCGGTCAACATTTTTTTAAAAGTTGTGGTTAAGTTTGTAGTTAGTTGTGGATACCGACTAAAAAGACAAGGGAAACTCACAAAGTAACAATGATTAGGTCCTTATTTGCAACCAGTAGGTTGTCAATGATAACACCAATGACATCTAAAATAACCCAACAACCAATAACAACATACATGAACACAATTAGATCCAATATGCGTCTCATGTCCAATCCATTAACACAACAAGTAAGACATTCAACTTTAAATCAAATCAGATATGGGAAATGTCCGCCACCCGACAAGACAAGAAAGAGTAAAGCACCCGATTTAGATGGGAATCCATTTAAAAAGGGAGTAATTTTACGTGTTATGATTTTAAAACCAAAAAAACCAAATTCTGCTTTGAGAAAATGTGCTAGAGTTAGATTAAGTAATGGACATGTCATATCTGCATTAATCCCCGGTGAAGGTCATAATTTACAAGAACATCATTTGGTATTAGTTAGAGGTGGTAGAGTACAAGATGTTCCTGGTGTTAAATATCATTTGGTTAGAGGTGCTTATGATTTAGCTGGGGTTGCTAATAGAGGTACTTCAAGATCTAAATATGGTGTTAAGAAACCAAAACAATAGAATGAGAGTGTTTGTATATAAATATTTCTTTTTGTTAGTTATTAATTGTTGACATGTATTATGTGTTCTAATATGCATAAGTTTCTAACTTGAATTCTCGTAGTAATGGATGGCCATCCAAATACTTGTTAGTGAAAGACAATCCAAATACTTGTTAGTGAAAGGGCATCCGTATGGTGCCTACCCTCTAATATCAAATCTTCTTCCACTGGCAGTTTTTCTATTATCAATAGTTTTCCCCTCTTGATCAACATTTTCCGGTTTTGCTCTATTCAAAATCTTTAAGAATTCTAATTGAGATTTAGAGTAAGAACTTACGTATATTCGAAATCGTGTAAATTATACTAAATGGAAATAACTTCTAAATAATTCCACATGAGAAATACAATTATCTCTCTTGTCTCCTTTAACTAAATGTCTTGGAAATAATACAAATGTAACATATCCCTTATTTTCATTATCCCTAGAACCTTGAACCACAGATTGAATATCTAATGGAGGTTCATTATGACTATATAATACTTGTGGAGCAGTTTGGACTGATCTTTTTCTAGCATCCACGAATTCTTGTAAAAAGACTTTTCCAAAGATTTTATCAGTTTCATCTTGGAAAACAGTGGAGAAAATCACAGTAACTCGATCAAATGATGGTTTGATATAAATACATTCATCTAATCCTCTATATCTTATAACCAACACTGGTTCATTAAATAATTCAGATTGAATTTCTTCGGAATAAGTATTTGCATTGGCATAATGTTGAGATAATTCATCATATCTTGCAAACGCTTTTTCAAATGCAGAAGCCATTGAATGTCTTTTCAATAATGAGATTTGATCAATTAAATCTAATTTATATTCTTCCGATTGTTCCAATGCTTTGGAAGTATCCAAAACAATTGAATAATTATATCCTTGTTCAATATCTCCTCCACTTAAAATAGTCAATTCATTAGCAAATTTAGAATATTTGGTATTAAGGTATTCTACTACTCCATATTCAACTAAATCTTGCCAACATCTTAAATAAACACTAATTAATAATAAATGTTTTTGTCCTGGTAATGTTGATACATGAAATGTTGTAAAATCAAAATCACTAACAATTCTATCTAATGATTTAAATGAATTTGATTGATCAGGAAATAATCGTTCATTCAAAGTTGTTTTAAGTAATAAATTGTTTTGTTCTATTTGAATCATTGCGTACTCTCTTGTCAATTGATTTGGTTGGTGGCTAATCTTTACAACACACACTCAATATCTGATTATCGAATAAAGGGGAGGAGGCCCAAGTGAGAATTTCGAAAAATCCCAAGGAGTACGTGTAAATGTGCACAGAAAAAATAACTACCGTGAATTCGGCTGCAAAAAAATCACCACCCAACCAACCATCAATTGCAATATACACTTTATCTACATTGCACGGTAGTAATAACATTCTGTACTTAAACACAGAAGCTATCAGCTCAGCTAAGTATATCAATACTGTAGAACATACTCTACCTGAATTATATTAGAGGTACATAGTAAATACTCCCATTAATTTATTAATTACACCAAACTTATACACATAAAAAAAAACAAAGAAAATCAACACAAAATAGAATGAACTAAAAAACGATAAATACAAATTCATATAATGCAAAATAGTAACCAAAACAAATGAATGAATGACACACGTCCCCCCATATTAATGATAGAAATACTTGGTAATATTAGGATCCCCACCCACCGGCATCCCAGGTGGACTACGATGATGACCATGATGATTCCCAATCTCCCTCGACCAACCAGGTATATCCTCCCCCGACCCCCCCACTGGTCGTTCAAGCACCACATTCTCCAACCCCAAAGCATCCGATAACCATCTATGATTCAACATCCCCCCAGCATCCGCCCTTTCTTCCGGCACGATCTTTAACATGGGACTCAAAAAATCGGCAATCTCCAATGCATCATCATTCGAGAATTTATATTTCTCTTTTAGGACATCTTTCAAAGCCCAAGGTTTCAATTTCGCAATTCGATACAATTCCCCCCTGGGATTGAAAAAATCCCGAGCATAATAAGATTCATTCATCATAAATCTCGGAAATGGTCCAATCAATTCAATAATCTGAGCAATATGATCATCATCCTTAGTGTATGTTTTCCCATCCCTTGGATCAAATAAATAATCCCCCGTTAATAGTTCAAATACCAAACAGGCAAATGACCAAATATCGGCACTTGCACCCCAATGATATCCAATCAAGACTTCCGGAGAGCGATATTGGCGAGTTTGGATCTCGTCGGTGAAATGATGGTTGGTCCAGCATGCATTTCCCAAATCGGCGATTTTTACCGATATTAATTCGTCTTCATTGATGTCGGCATTCGTTGGTTCTGGATTCGGGATGAGACCGTTTCCGACAACGGAATGGGATGTTGGGTTGTTACTATTGGAGGTGTTGGTGTTGGCGAAGGGGTAATTGTTGTGTTCTTGTGGGATTCGGACTGGATCGACATTGGTAGTTGTTGTCGCTGCAACGCCGCTGCCGCCTAATGTTCCATTAGATATTGACATTGAGGATAATGAGTTTGATGCTTGTATAGATTCATCTTCTTCACTTTCTTCTTCAGTAGTAGTATGTCGTAATGGAATGCCCCCTGATGAGTCACTTATAGATCCAATTAATCCCGTGGCTTGAATTGGTGTATTTGATGTGGTTGAACTTAATCCATATACATTTGTAAATGATTTATTAAAACTTCTCAAGGGGGAAGGTAATGGTTGTGAACCGGTGATGAAGGAAGTTGTTCTTCTTGATCTTCTTCCATTTCTACCTAATGAAGGAGACATGGGGATTGTATTTGATGGACTTGATAATTTACCCATATCATAAAATGATCCATTGGGGGTTGATGTTCTACTATTACTATTATTGATTTTCAGTAATTTCCGTTGTAATTTTTTCCGTAAATCTTCTTGTTCAACAATTCTTACAATTGCTTCAACATCACCAATTTCAATTAAGATATTTTCTGGTTTTAAATCAGTATGAATAACTCCACATTTTCGATGTAAGAAATCTAAAGCTGATAATAATTGTTTAGCAATTTGTTTAACAAACATGATGGGTATACCTCTATGTTTATAACGTCTAATTAATCCTAATAAATTTTCTCCCAATACTTCAAATACCATAACTACATGAATACCATTTGGACCTTTATGAGTGAAAGTATCTAATAATTGAATTACATGTTGATGACCAGGATGATGAATATCGGTAGTTGTAACTTTATCTAATAATTTAATTTCATCAATTGCCGTTTCAGTATAATGTTTTGCTGATCGAACAATTTTCATTGCAACATGATGATTTTTATCATTATCGCGAGCTAACCAAACAGTTGAAAAATGTCCCCAACCTAATTTTCGAACTAATGTATATTTACCATCTTTATATTCTTCCCCAATATAACAAGGATGATAACCTCCAGGTACATAATCTTTTAAATCTTCTTCTTCTGCATGATTAACTTCTTCTTCATCATCTTCATCGGAATCATCATATTCATCTTTAATTATTTCATTAGTGGGATGGATTCCTTTTCCAGTGGCATGGATTTCCAATTGTTGTTCTTCTGGTCCTTCATCTTCTTCTCCATTGAATTGAGTAGTTAAGGGGGATAATTCCGGTTTAAAATGTTTAGCTTGAGATGGAGTAGTTGAAACTGATGGGAAACCATGTTGAATTAAATTAGGTAATAATTGTGTTGGTGGAGTGAATGTTGGTGGATCATCCTTATGGTTTAAATTGAATGATACTACTGAAGAACCAGATGCTTTTCGTTTATTAGATGTGGCTGTTGCTGTTGTTGTTGTAGTGGTAGTGGTAGAAGATGTTGGTGTATTATTATTATTGTTATGGTGATGAAGATGAAGATCATTTATATTAGCAGGAGGTGGATTCTGATGTTGTTGTATCTCTGCCTGTTGAATAGCCAATGATAACTTTGATTTAGTATTAGTCATTAGCAATGTAAGGATATGTGTTTGTATTTATTATTATACAAGAAAGTGTGATGGGTCTCTGTTGTCTATTAAAAAAATGAGTGTGCTGTGTATAGTTTTATCAATACAATCAGTATATGATGTGTGTATGTGCTGTGTAGATAGATAGATGGATAGTAAATAGTATATATATATATCTAACTGAAATTACACTTAATTATAGGGGGTTTATAAAAATATATATAAATTGCTGTCTTTAATGAAAGATGATTAAATGATGATGAAAAGATTTAATTAAAAGAGAATCATCAAATTTAATTTCTAATAAAATAAAATTTAATTTTTTATTTTATTTAAACAGAGAGAACGAAAAGAAAGAAAATCAGATTTTTAATTTATTTCTATTGTGATGTAAGTAAAGTAAAGAAAATAAAATAAATAATTTTCTAATGAGCTTGTGAAATTTACCACTTTAAAAATTTACCAACTTTAATTACTTACTACTATTACAATGGTATAACCACACATATTTAATCTTTACTTGTACTATAAATAACCAAGTTCTAAAGTCTATATACAATATATTACTCATCTTCTATTTACTTCATAATATTTCTCATTGATCTCACACACTACCACACAACAATACACTTTTCACACACACAATACACACCCAATTTACTACCACTCACCAAAAAATTCAGGGGCCTACATCCAATAGATCCGAAACCCGTGGTATCCACATATTGACAAATTAATTATAACTTTTACATATACATAACTAAATTTAGATTGAATCAATGATAAAAACGAATTAACCGACTCATATCTTCGCTTACTCTCTCCTTTAAAGACATCTCTCCCCCTCCACCACATTAGAAGGAACTAAGCGAACTATGTACTAGAAACTCTGCAAAGAAGGTAAATTTACACCATTTACATTATCGTAAAAACCCCAAAAAAACACGTACAGTCCAATTGGGGATTTATCTCTACGCATGATAAAAGAACTGACAGGAGTGAGGGGGATGCGTTATATAAACAGAATATAAAGAATAGTATCAACTTTACTTTAAACTGCTTTGTTCAAAACATCTTTTAGTTTACTTACTAAGTGAACTGTTAGGATCTTGGCTGCGAAAAAAACACCAGAAAGTTATTCTTGCGCGGCTTTTCTACTTACAACACCCTTAACAAATATTCTATTCAACTGTGTAATGTGTGGATTTGTGGTTGTAAAGTAATCCCTGAAAAGAATAATTGGAGATACATTCACACAACCACTACTACCCTAGTTTCTATGCTTTTGTTGCTGGAGTAATAGAAATCAAGTAAAAGATAATTCATCTCCAGAAGGTTGCATTTTTTTTGAAGAATGTTAATCTTACAAAGATAGTTTAACTGGTTCAATCGTACAAGTAAGATAGCGCAATACACTGTATACTTCCAAATGAAAGTATATTTCTCTTTTTTTATATTAATTAATTATTATAATTGCTTTGATAGTTTATGATTGCGCATACCAGTGTATTACTTCGATAAACCTAGTTGAGATCTTTAAATTTCACATCAATCTGCTTCATTGATTTTCATTTTAAATGAGGACATCTCGTGAGCCCCACAACTCATTTCATTTCTGAAGACAATCTCTCATTTACTACACTACTAACTCTACAATCGATCATTATCAAAAGTAATCAATTAATAATAAATGCTATTTTTATTTGAATAAACTAAGAAACTAAAAAACAGGTAAATAATATAAAAAGGGAATTTTATAAACACAAACAAACTAAAAAAAACAACTAATTATTGATCATTTAATCCATTTCAATATCTTCATCCTTTGGAGCAGAATCATTCTTAGCAGCTTCTCTAGCAGCAGCCATCTTTTCAGCCATAGCAGCAGCTTGTGAAGCTTCTTGTTTTTGTCTATATTGTTCCTTCTTTTCTTGTTCTTTAGCTAAATATCTACCTCTAATAATATTACCAATTGAAGCTAATTCTTCATATTTAGCAATATATTTAGCCTTAGTTGAATCATATCCATCATCATATAACCAATCTTCAGCTTTAGTTAACTTTTCAGTTAATCTTGCCTTTTCATCATCGGAGGCAAATTCACTATATTGATCATCTAATTTTCCTCTTAATTCATAAATATATTCTTCTAAAGCATTCTTTCTATCTTCAGTATCAGCAACTAATTTATCTTCCATAACCATGGCATTTTCAGCTTCAATGAATTTTTCCAATTCTTCAGCTGGTAATGAGGCACCAACAAATGAAATTGAACAATCATTCTTCTTAACTAATTTCTTAACTTCACGATATTGTGGTTCTGCTTCTTCATCTTCGTCCTTGTCATCACCTTCCTTTGGTTCAGGTTCAATTAATTCCTTGACAATCTTTTCTTCAACAGTATAAGCTGCTTCAATAGTATAGAAACCAGATGGATCATTTCTTAATTTCAATTTGGTAGCAATACCAGATTCACCTTCATTTGGAACAACACCACTAATCTTCCATTGAGCAATATTGACATCCGTACCAGTTGGTAATTCTTCTGGTTTGGTATATTTAGCATCAATTTCAAAATCACCTTGTCTATATAAAGTAATAATCTTAGTAGAAGGGAATGAACCACCTTTAGGGAAAACTTCTAAATGATCATCATCTTCTTCTTGTTTATCCCAGAAATAAGAAACAGTATATTGATTATAATCTTCAAATTTAAATGGTCTAACTCTAACAGTTGGAGAATGACAAGCACAAATATAGGCATTACCTTTAGCAATTGCTTCATCTTGATTAAGGGTGAATGATAAAGTTTTACCAAAAATTTCCCCTAATCTGGTTTTAATAGATGGAACTCTAGTACATCCACCAATAACTTCAATCAGATCAATTTCATCAACAGTGACACCAGCATCACGTAATGCAGATTCAATAGGAACATGAATTCTAGCTAATAATGGTTGAACCATTTCTTCCATTTCTTCTCTAGTCATAGAAGAAGAAACATCAACATCATTCATAACCGATTCAATATTTAATGGAGCTTGAGTATTTGCCGATAAGACTTTTTTCAATTTTTGAGCAGCAACAAGAACACGATAATAAGCTTTTGGATTTTCCTTGATATCAATCTTATATTTCCCTTTGAATTCTTGAGCAAAATGTTCAGCTAAAGCACGATCAAAATCTCTACCACCAAAATGTTTATCAAAAGCAGAACCCAAGATTTTTAATTCTCCCTTTTTAACAGCAGCAATTGCAACTTGATAAGAAGAATGACCAATATCAATAAATGCAATCTTCTTATATTCATCCTCTGGTAATTCATTTTGTTTAAAAACACCATATCCAACAGCAGCAGCAGTGACTTCATTAACGATTCTAACTGGGTTTAATCCAGCAATCTTACATGCATCAGCAGCAGCACGACGTTGTTTTTCAGTATACCAACCTGGAACAGAAAGACAAATATCACTTAAATTAGCTTTGGTTTCTTTAAATGTAATATCCTTAATTTTTCCCAAATACATACCAGCTAATTGAGTAGCAGTGAATTCTTGTTGTTTACCCAAATATCTAACTTTTGCAGAAACACCACCATCTACTTGATTTTTAACTAATGGAACATTAAAATATTGTTGTTCAATAGCAAAATCTGGATGATCATATGGTAATCCAATAATTCTTTTGATATTTTCAACCGTGTTCTTAATGTTTGAAGTTTGTTGATTCTTACCGGCTTCTCCTAAATATCTATTCTTTGGTCCAAAACCAACTAATGAAGGAGTGGCACGGTTTGAAACTTCATTGACAATGATATCAATACCTCTGTTTCTGGCACAAGCAATAACGGTATTATCAGTACCTAAATCAACACCAAATGGAGTGGACATGTTTTCTTTATAATTATTTCAAAAAGTAATTAACAACTTCTAGAAAGAGAAAGGAACGCTGAAGTGAAAAAAAAATTCCACTGAAATATTTCGCAGGTGATGACTCCTGACTACTTCCACTTTGTTACAGTGACCGTTGAAGAAAAATGAAAAATTTTAAAAATTCTATTGTTAGTGTACAAAAAAGGTCGTGGCATTACTAAAGAATATTCTGGAACCATATCGAACGATTCATAGCAAGATGTAGTATTAACCTATAACCGATTCTACATACAACCCACCCAGGGCTTCACACGCAGCTATTCAATTGACCCGCTACCGGTAACCTCAACTACTCTGTTCAAGGATAGTAATCAAAGTCATCCATCCTGGACTTTCCACTAATGCCACATAATATTCATCTTTCTTTTCTTTAACATATTTAACAATTAATTCTAATTCATAATCTCCCAAGATATGTAATCTTACTAAATGACAAATAAAATGAAAATTACATAATTTTTGACTTAAATGATTATTATTCAAATATTTATACATAGTTCTTAAATCTTGAATATCACCAATAAAATCCCGATTTTCAATGGTATAATTAGTTTCAATATCAAACATTGGTTCAGGTTTCACCGGGAATGAATCAGTTAATGATACCAATAAGAATTCAGCTGGGAATGTAGGTTTGGCATTATTCTTTACTTCTAATCCATATTCATTGATTTTCAGATATGAAATATCAGGAACATATCTTGTATCATTACTTTCATTAACATAAATTTGTGAAGGTTGAGTACAACCAGTTATAATATCAGCTTTAACCAATGCTTCAGCACTAGTGGAAACCTGAAAAGATCTAGGTTCAATTTCTCCTTGTAATCCACCACTGATTATACATGTAACAAATTTAGAACTAAATTTACCCAGTTGACTATATTTTGAAACATTTGGATTATCAATCTGATATTTTGCCGCCATAATGATTTCTAAATTAGTCATAAAATAACTATCTTTATGTCTCTTACATAATACTGTCCCATCATTTCTTCCGGAATCAGTTAAATCAGTGAAAGTAATTCCAACTTTATATAATCCCAATTTTGCCGCCAATTCATCCACTTGTTCTTCATTCTCCCATTCCAACAAAGTAATCCCATCCAATTCACCAACTTGAGGAGGTTCATATATCGCCTGTACAACCGCCTTAATCCCTAATGGAACTTTATCAAATTCTTCATACCATCCATATAAATATCCAAATCTTTGAACCCCAGTATTTCTCCATACATTAATAAATTCATTCAATATCAGCGAATCAGCAAATTCTACATGATCAACCATTCTAAATTTCTGCATCTGTAATGTGATTGCCGATGGTTGACATTTTGAACAAATCCCTCTCGGATAAGGTTTATGCCCTTCATTACAATTCAAATCAATTGAATAATTAAGTTCATCCAAGGGAGCAATATATGAACTTCCACTTTTATTCTTTTCCATTTGTTGTTTTAATAATGCATGAAATGAAATATGTTTGATTGAATTTTGTTTACGATAATTTTCATCCCATGGTGGTAAGGGGGAACAATATTCACACATTCCTTTAGCTCCATGTCGACACATGGATGAAAGTGGTCGAGAAATGAATCCGTCGTTTTTATCTAATTTGACATCAATTGGAAGTTCTTTAATTCCTTGAAGGGGTCCATGCATATCTATTGGAGTGAATGAAATTGATTGCTGCGTAGCTACAGTAACAACAGGTTGTTGCTTTTGTTGTTGTGGTTGGGGAATTGCTGATTCATAATTCACGAATAACATATCACCATTCTTTAATCCTAATTCATTTACTAATTTCCCACAATATGATTCTGCTGGGTGTCCTTTTTCACCTGGATTATTCGAAAGATATAATGATTTTATATCGTTAAGACTGGGGATTTTGGATACCAATTGTTCTAGAACTGATGTGAAATCGGAAGTTGGTGACGTATTGATACGGAACATTCCATCTTTGGAACGAAATCTAAGAATGAGTGACATTTGTATTGGTTTTGGGTTTGGATTAGATTCTGGTAAGAATTTAAGAGTTGAAAAAAATGGATTTATGATTTTATTTTTTTTTGCCATCCAGTCTATGTTTGGAGTATCTGTTCTTACAATTGTCATACAATGTCTATGATGAACAAACAATATTATATATATATATACATAAAATGGTTTATAGGCCTGTATGTGACATTAGCACTAATACAATATTGCATCTGCTTGATCTTCTTCGGCGTCACTCGTTTCTTAAGTTTGGTTTATCCGTGTTGTCTTCCATTTCTCCAACTAATCCCTTTCTGTATTCATTAACTGTTGCGGATATTCCTCCATAACGCAAGATAAAATGGAGGAATATGCGCAACAAAAGATGGATCCAGAAAAGGGCTAGTTGAAGAAATGAAAATATATCAACTGGATCAACTCGAACGAGACGGAGGTGAGCACACAAACCTCAAGAAGAGAGCTACGGCGATCCAACAAATTCGAAAGCAAGATGTAAGAACACCAGCACCATTTGCAAAAACTATGAATGAATATACTTCGATTTTAAGATAAGCTAACTAAATGTTTGAGCCAATTAGCAATCAATTCCCTAATATAGTCACCAACATGCACACTTCAACATTACTTTCGTTTAATTATTGGGAAAGAATGAAACATATTCTATACACTAAATCACATTTCCTTGTGAAGACGAGTAGTTCTTCAAGAGTATACAACCCAATTGAATAGACCAATCATTGAATTCTTAATCTCACTTAAGTTGTTCTCGTTTATTTCGATAACTTCTAAATAAGTAGCATATTAATCTGTAATTCTATTGGATTCGTAAACCCAAATCACCAGATTTCCTTCTCTACTCTCGTTGTTGTTAATAGATCATCAAATCTCTCCAAGAAGCAGACAAGGTTACTGATGTCCCATGTGATTGCTTCAACTCGATTGATATAGGCTTGAAACTACGAGAAACGAGATCGCGCGCTGTTCAATCTCTTAGTGCTAACAAGTATAGCAGAATTCTGGAAAGCGCTACAGATGCTTCAAAATAGCCAGCGGTTTTACCAATGAAATGTATTGAAGTACTTATTGAATGACTAAATAAATATATGTGACCTATTCAGCTTGTCAAGTTATTGTACTTGATTAATCTGGACTTGCGGTACTAAAGCATTAACAAACACCTCAACTATCGGTGTGATGTTGTTGTATCACATACGTTTTCTATTCTTTAATATTGTTACAGGGCTGACAACAGATTGTGATTTTATATTCCAGGCGAGCTTGGTCAGATGTCAATGCTCATTAATTGTTTGATAAATAAGAATATTGAGTAGAAAATCTTCACTTCTGTCCACTCTAAGTAATATCAACTGGAATTGTGACCACCTTGACTCTCTAGATCATCCGGATTCTGCATAACTTGACTTCGGCTGATAGACCGCAAATAACCTAACCAGATCAAATCGATTATAAATTCTACTTTACTCCCCCAAGTCCCTTTAGAGTCAATTTTCTCTAATATACATGCAAAGTAATACATTCCAGTAGTCCTCCCACAACAGGTATATTACGTAACTTATAATCCATATTCACCTTCTTCTTATCCTCCCCCTCTTCCTCCAATTCCTCCTCCCTATTCTCTCCATCCTCAACCAGAATCATCAAAGAATCATTCTCTTCTTCTTCAGGCATGACTCTCATAATCTTTTCCCGAAGCAATAACTTCATCCCCAATCCATCCGATTTCGGAGCCTTATATTGCTCCAATTGTTCCATATTCAACAATCCCAATCTCATCCTAACTTCAATTATAACTTGTTTCGGGATGAATAATTTATATTTCTCCCCAATCTTGATTTCTTGATTTTGAATCACCACCGATTCATCTCGATCATAAAATAGGATTCTTTTTAGATCCGATGAAATTTCGGAAATGATTTTGGAGAGATAGTTGTTGGATAATCGGAGTTGGAATTTATTGTTTGATAAAGTGATTAGGGATTTTGAATTTATGGCATATGAATTCTTGGTGATGGATGAATCTGATGTTGATTGTTGTTTTATGAAGACTTTGATTGGGAGGGAGATGGATTTTGATATTTTGATGAATGTGATTTGTGGTGGCATCCTGTAATTGCTGATATGAATGGGGAAGAATAAAGAAGAGTTGTAAAAAATTGATTTTTAGCCGTCAGTTTATTGATAGCAATACTATAACGAAGAATTCAGAAGAGGAGGTGATAGTCTCTTCTGTTAAATAAGAAGTTGCCCTGCGGTTGTGTTTCCTGAACGATATACAAGCAACGTGCAAAAGATTCAAAGAATTCAGAGAAAAGACTAAAAACTACAATAAAAACGATTTATAAATAAACAATTATATTGAAAACCTAATATACAATAATACAATTAATGATATATATAAATAACAAAATACTTATTCCCGATTCTCCTTTTAAAATTCATTACTCCTTATATAAACCCACCTCTCTTCAAACACAAATAACAACCAACTAATCAATAGCCTGTGAGGTTTCAAAAACAAGATTTCAAATCAAAATTGAAAACAATGAATCAAAAATAAATTACCCAAAACTTCATGAAAATCATAGCCTCATCTTTTTTAGTAGTTAGTAGTACTAAAATCGTCATTGTAGTAAAATTGGAATCGTCGCTGCAACTCTTTAAAGGCGCGCCAATAGACCAATAAAACTCATAGACAGACCTAGGACCCAACCACCATCTAAAAAATCAAAACCAACAATATTTCTTTCATTTTTAGTAAATAAATTCGTATTCAATACTTCCAATCATGAATTAAAACCAAGTCAAGAACCGTCATAACAGTATTAGACATTGACAGTTTTAAGTGTTTGAGTGATAACCAAAAAACATAGCTCGTTTTTTTTGGAGTTTTTTTTTTTTGAATTTTTTTAGGAGTTTTATAATTTTTCACTTTAATAAACAATTATTCCTTTTTGATAAGGGTACAGTAGTATTAAACAAAAGGAATATAACAAGTAGTAGTAGTAGCTATAAATATATACCATCAATAACATAAATTAAAAAATCAAACCAATATTTCCATAATAACAAACAAATAAGCAAAAATCTAAATCACAATCCCAATGAACAAAAAACCATATATAAAATCAATCTTCTTCTTCTTCATACTCTTAGAATGATAAGAACTCATCAATATCCAATTGATAATCTCCATGATGATGATTATGATTTCCAATATCTAAATCAAAACAACCACTAGATCCAAATTCTTGTTCTTTCTTCTCACAACTTAATAAATATTCATCAATATTAAACTTCGTAAACGAATCAGTAAATTCAGGAATGATTGGTGCTGCAGACCAAAATAGGATGGATGTGTGATAGGGGTGTGTATACAGGACGAGGGGGGTGATATCTAAAACAATAAACTTTGTTGAGAAAAGACAGTTACTTCAATGCTATAAATCCCAAAAATTGGAACGACAATTTAAGAAGTACTCTCCAAAGTCTAAAGTATATTAATTCAAATAACAAATTATCTCAGACTTAATAGTAAAAGACAATTTGATCTGAATTAATATACCGGTCTTTGAAAGTCCCCTTTTTAGTTTAAAAAAACTGAAAAAAAGGGATACATCTTAAAGTCTGTTCTTTTAGGACAAGCAGAGAACTATCTTTTCGTTCATTGTATTAGGTGTCGTCGTGTTCCTGATATACAGTTGTTGTTGCTGTTGGACAGTGAGGGTGTAGTAGGAGGAGGATGGTGTTGACAAAATTACTGCTGAATTTTGCCCCATTTCATATGAATTAGCTGATTCGTATACAGAAGTTGTTGGAGTTGAATTGATTGATGTAGTGGTAGATGATGATGATGAATCTTTTGGAGTAGGGACAGTAGTTGAATTTAATGAGGATACTGTTGTTGTGGAATCAAATGTGATTAAGGAAGGTAAGGATGATTTTAAGGTTAAATCAATTGGAGAATTATCTGGTGAATGGATTGAAATTGGTGATAAATAATTGTAGAATGGTGTATCATTGTCATTCATAGAACTTTGTTCAGGTTTAGTTAAGAATATAGAATCTTGATATTCTTTTTTTATTTGAATGGAAGTGGAATTGGTTGTAGTTGTTGATGACGTTGATGTAGAACTGGTAGTAGTAGACTTCTTATTTTCTTGTTTTACTTTTGAAGAAGAAACCTTTCTCTTTTTAGGAGTTGGCTGCTGTTGTTGTTCATGTTCTTCATCATCTTCATGATCTTCATCTTCACAATCTTCAGTATCATCTTTAGAAGAACAACCACCACCATTTCTTTGTCTTGAATTACTTAAATTTTCATAAATTTTTTGTTTTAAATCACTAACATCAATTAATTCTGGTTGTTGTTCAACTACCTTCTTTTGATCATCAGTTAAAATATTGACAGTATTGTCGAAATTTGTTTGTAATATTGATAAATTGGATTCTAATTGTACAACATAAGCTTCTAAATATTCAACATGTTTTCTCTTTTTTTCACGTGATGCATGAGCGGCTCGTCTATTACGTAATATACGTTCTACTCTTCTTTGTTCCTTTTCTTCATCCGTTTTAGCTCTCTTTCTAGGAGGTAAAGTAGGTTTAAAGGTATCTGGATCAATATCAAGTGATAATGGAGTGTTGCAAGAAGCAGCAGGGGAAGTAGTATCTGATGGCGAAGTCATAATGGGGGTTGATGTTGATGTTGATGTTGAAGGTGAAGATGGAGAAAATGATGGTTTTGTAATGGATGTTGATGATGATGTATGAGGAGTTGTTGTCAATGGTTTTATATCCATAAAAATGTTAATAAAGTATAAATATGAAAAATTTAAAAAGGAAGTAGAATAAAATTGAAGGAAATTTTAATCTATTTTTATATTGATAAAATTTAATCATTGGAAAAATGTAACAATAAAAGAAAAAAAAGGCTGTGGTATGATAAGTGTGTACTTACCAAATTATTTCTTAACCTCATATAAGTCTTTGTGTAACATATTTTAATCTTAAATTATTTTTTTTTTTTATTTTTTTCAAAAGGAGGAGAAAAGTTAAAATTAATTTCTACTAACAAAGAATCAAGTGGGAGTGGTATTAATTTTTTTAGATTCTTCTAGAATATAAAATATCTCACGACATTTTTATTTATAACCTTTAAGTTAAAATCATAAGTCAAATAACTTAACTTTAATTCAATCTGATCATCGTAAGATTGAATATTTGGTCATCATTTGAGTGGCAAAGTTTCAAGTTTAAATTGAATTACCGATAATCGCACGTGCTGATTTTGTACTATTAGTATAACCTTTTTTTTTTGGTTCAATTTTCGGTAATTTTTCAAAATAGAAGGAAATGCTTTTTTTTTCCTCATTACACGTCTTTCACATAGTTAATTAATTAATTAGGTTACCTCGCATTATGTAATTCCACCGTTTTGTGTTATTCTAAATTTGGATAAAAAACAATCGGATGGCAACTGACGATTGTTACTTTTTGTTTTGAAAAGTGACTTTATAAATAGATAAGCCAACTTACACACACGCAAGATTACAATGAGTTCGTCAAGACAGCCCCGATACCCCATTTCCCCACTAGAATTGTTTCTGTCGTTGAAGTTCTCTTTGGACCTTCTTACCAATTGACAATTGAGCCCCAAGTCATTTCCTGTCAATTCATGCCTCAAGCATACACGTCAAAATACAAATGAAAAAAAAAAACTGCAACCCATACTGTAACCCACAAGAAAATCTTATAAGTGTGACATTGGCATATCAGAAAAACATTTACACACTTGCGTACTTGCTTGGCGGTGTGTGAAAAATTATCAATCCACCAGCGCTACTACTACAACAATAACAATAATGCTAAAAATGTCGGCAACTTATTGTTCGTTCCAGATTCAATAATAAAACCTTCTCGTAAATTCGTATCTCGTAATTAAATATTTTTAGAAATATCCCTTGATATCTTACTTATTTTTTAACTCCTTTTTTAATCTATCTATCTTCACTCATACGTTTGCTCTCAAATTGCAAAATGAAGAGATAGTGTAAGATTGAATTAAAGATCTTGCCAATTCTTTCTTCTGATGGCATTTCCTAAGAAAAAAGCAACCATTTGCTCGAAACCGGTCTGGGCAAAAACCTTAATAAGGTTAAAAATTAAGAAAAGAAAACTTAAAATTGAGATCTGCTGATGTAAGTTTTAACAAAAATCCCTATAAACTCTTGAGCTTTGCAAAACTATTTCTTCGCTTTCCCTAAAGGTTAAAAATACTACAAGCACGCAAAGTCCAAGTAGAATGGCTTAAGTCTGCCATCCCTCAATCTCCCACACTAACTTTCCTTTTGTAATTGAATGTGAGAGAATACCAAAATTTGTTTGAATTATTTTTCACAATTTTCAAAGTGTTTTTTTAGGGAGGCGGCAAAGTTGACAAAGATCCCATACATGACATGTTTAAGCCCTGTCTAAATGGAGAAGGGATTATACCCTCGGCTGTAGTTACATATATTGGGGCCCAATATCCAATATCATGCATTTAAACTACCGCACTACAAACCATGTAACATCATTATGAGCAAATGTGCCTCACTCTTGATAATCCAACCTTCTTTTTCCAATAGTTTTCTCGCAACCATTAAAATCCTCGCCTCAGCCCATAGTTCTCCTTTTTCGAATCAACCCCCCGTCCCCTCGAGAACGTGGAATGATGATTGCTTTCTTGCCATGAACAAATAATAATGCTAATCATGAACATTTTCAAAAAAATATGGGGGTTCAATTCCGAATCAATCATTCTTCTATAGGAAATGAAAAATAATTTGAAATTTAATTTGGCATTACTTCCAGCTTCTTCTCTTTAAAAAAAATAATTGGTTGCAAAAATACAATAAATTGCGACATTTTCGTAAATATGAAAAATACACATATTATTACATTTTGCTGCGTATATTGCTATCGGATATATCCGTATATGTAAGTATGATAATCTGGCGAGGCGGCATGTCTATCAAACTTTCTATCAATTAATAATATTCTTCGTTAATATTATTTATCTGATAATAATATCTCCGAGAAATTTAGTGTGGACCAAAATGCACACATTATCCCTAAATTTGTATTTCTATTTGGAAATTGCTTGCATATGAAACAGTAGTGACTATACAGATATACGAAACTTATCCTTAGCTAGTTCTAGATCTAGACTTTGATGCAGATAGGATGACATATAGTCTGGGTCTGAACTTGTCATTATCATATGCATATCTCACCCCACACTTTCTACCCCCCAGGTTATCTCGACTCTTCGAGAGTACGCCTTATTTGAATGACCATCTGGTTACGGATCTTCGTAATAACTAGATGCTCATAGCTCTCAAGAGTGGAAGATGTGGCGGTAGCCACATTCGAGGGTTTGATGTAGACTTGTGCCAGAATGGCAAGAAATTGCAAGCCCCCAAGTGTAGGTTATGCAATTGTCAGAAGTGTCTTGATCGGCTACTTCTAGGTTGGTTTGGAGAATGAGGCTATCAGTCAACACCCAATCTGGGCCAATGATAACAATGCTTGAACCGACAATCCAACAGCGCTCACATACTCTAGTTTCTATGAGATGTTCATTTAGGTACAGAATGAATAAGATACTTGCCATGCCCCACGTATTTATTAACTCTGATTAATTGTCTTCAAAAATAACGCCAGATAAACCAACCTAGTCCAACACAACTTTCCGATTACTCTCTTTCGCCATTTCGAAGTCCATTTAATCCCCATATTTTATTCTTGTGGTAGAATTGTGTAAGAACAGGATGTTTCCATTACAATTGGTCTATAAACTCCCCTGATAGGAAGGAGCACATAACCCACTCCTTACAAATTGTTCTTTTAACTTATTAAGTCATGACCAGAAAATTAATTGTAGAAATTCTTAAATGACCAAATATATTGTACAAGGAGCTCATAACCACTCCTTAAATATCTATAAATAAGAGCCAATCCCCCCTATAGCAACCAATGTAGTGGCAGCAACCAAGGGGTGCTACTCTCAGATCTTTGAATTTAATATGGTGGATAAATAAATATTCATTTGGTGCTTTAATAGGTGGGTCATTATTTATAGTATTTTTAAATCGTTCCAATAATTCTTTGGTGTATTCTTGAACATTTTGGTTAGGATCTTTAGTTTAAATAAATAGAAATGATAAATCAAATGATAAGGGTGCGCTTATGATTGGATGATAGAAATCCTGGTTCGTATATTATTATTAGTAGTTCTAAATACTAAAGAAAAGTGAAGCTTCTGAAGGATGAATAAGGAACCCCAGGAATGCATATTAACAAACTTTATAAGGATACAGACTATGAAAATTAGATTTTGTTGCATTTGGGATTGTTGAAAGGAAAAAGGGGTGGATGGTCTTGAAGGATTAGTGATCCCAGGGCCCTTTCATTATAGCAACCAAGGGGCGCTACTCTCAGATCTTTAGCTTACACAAATAAAATATAATAAATCGATTAGTAGGGGAGCTTTTGTGATTGGTTTAGTCGAACTCCAGTACATATATTAGTATTAGTAGTTCTATATACATGTGAGACCTATCGTCGGTGATAATTGTTACTAATGATCCACAAGTTTATAAACTTTATCAAGAGATGGTTGACTACCAATATAGCGAATTTCAAATTGTAATGGTGGTGTAATTGCAACCTGTGGTCAAAATGTTATAATACATGATTTCCAAGCTCACTTTCCTAATATGAGTCGATTCGTCGAAGAAGTGACAAAAACTCGACGATCAAAAAGTAATACCATTCTTAAAAAATGAGAATTCAACAGGCTGATGAATGAATAGATCTATTGCATTTGGTCGTAACTTCTGTAAGAATGATCGATTGATTGGGATCTTATCTGGGCAAGTTGAAGTTGGTTTTCCTAGCTCATATGACATAAGAGAATGATTCGATATAGAATATCCAGGACCGCAAACTAAACAAATGGCTTATCTACATAAATTACTGGTGACGCATAATTTGATGTACTCTCACTAATAAAATCCAATTCCTTTGAGTAAGCTAAATCTTGATTGCCATTGTCGGAAGAATCGTCGTCGCAACTATCACTATAGTTTTTTTCCTAATCAGGTGGTTATGGCCGTTATGGCTGCCAAATGTTCTAGATTGGTTATGGTTGCGTGTGAACGTTTGGTTGAGAATCTTGATTTGTTTCTGTTATGAGCCATAGTGAGATCATCTTAGTCAGCACATGTCTTCGAATTGGGTGCAAGAATTTTTCTGATACGTTCACTAAACTTATCCGGGGACAAGGCATATTCCTTGATCCTCCGATAGTAGTCGAAGAATTTGTTCAATGCGACGATCCACTTTAAGATAGTACTACCATCGCTTCGGTCTAAGTCACCCAATTTCTCCTTAATTAAGCCTTTGAGATAAGTGCTATGTTGATTGTTAGCCGCTTCTGAAGCTCAGAAGAGGAAATGAGTTGGAACTCTGGTGAAAGAGGTTGATTCAGCGGTGGTTGACGTAGTTATGTTTGGCCAGTTCAAGAGTAGTTGAGCAATCGGCTGCAAGGTGAAGGTTGTAGATTTTTTGTGGTCTGGGAGAAGGGCAGACCTGGCTTGAATAATAATAGGTGTTCAAGTCAGATTTGTTAGCTCCATAAATGATATTTCGTGATCTCCCAAGGTTAAGTCATAAAGTTAAAACATCATTATAGATGCTGAGGGCACCAAGGATTCTGATGCTTACAGAAAACATGTCATCTATGATATTTAAATGATCTATTCTTGGGAGTTTTAGGTTCAATTGTTATTTAAATGTGGTAATCCTTAGCTGCAATTACTGCAAAAAGTTCGTTTCGCTTTTTTTTTGGGCTTTATAAGTTTCTGAATTCATAAATCTAACACATGTACCTGAAAAGCAAACTTTGCTGTCGCCCAGAGCGTATTTCCATTTTAATTCGGATAACAGATGAATTTGGAATCGATTTCCCACATTATTGCTGGTGTAGCTCAATTGCGAGAAAAACGACCCATACCATGAGAGTTGTTTTGGAGAGAAAGAGGGATGGGTAATAATTTTTGAGAGGTATGTTGCAAGATATTGAAAACGGTCTGTCCCAATTTGCTAAATAGTAGTTGATAGTAAAAACAACTCACAACTCCTAAGTGCGATGAGTTCCCTCTCATCAGAATTAAATGTTGAGTTTTGGGCCACCAATTGATCAACATACCATTCATTGATATTACTCCCCGGAGATAGATTTCCTGTGAGGTGTGGGAGCAATACTTGCATCAGAATACTCAGTGATTTGGAATCTTGACTTACCCAGCCTGTTGTATACCAGCCTTCCGTCGGAATGTTCCTTAAGGTACCTAAGAGAATATACCATCTTGTTATAGCCATTCACATCTGGATTAGCAGCGTTGGAACCTAGTCGGTTTACCGCAACTGAGATATCTTCATATGTGTTTCGGGGCACCCATGATGCCCACCCAACCACTCTTTGAAAAGTTTTCTTCAACGATTCCTCTAAGAGTGTAACCTCTTGAACTGCTGGTATGAAGTTGTACTTGGCACTTCCTGGTATGTCAAATCTCAATGCTTCAGAGTACGGTCAGCACGCTTAACTATCTTATCGATTTCCAACTTAAAATATTTAAATTTATAGTCAAGGCGGTTATGATAACCATAGTAAAGGGACTTACCCGTTAACCTTGCCTTCGGTGTGTTGTTCAATATCGGGACCGCATATTTCACTATGCGCGGAAATCGTGTTCATGCCAACTACCAAAGTTTAACATGCACGTACATGTCTTGGAGGTGAAAACCTAGGAATGACATGGAATATTCCTATTTCTCCGTTATGGATACTTTGGAATGACGCTCGTGCAATGAATAATCTCCTAATACGATCACCCACTTGTTCCGATATCCAATCCAATGCTCGTTTGTGGCATTAAGAAATAGTTCTACAATTTCTTTCGTCTGCAGACTGCACAATCTGCCGTTTCCTTGAACACTACTAAATCAGCTATTAAATTAAATAGAAAATTCGTTTCAACCAAGCGATCTTCAATCAAGAAAAGTAGATCTGCAACGTTAACCCGATTAGTATCAAACTCCATTAACTTATCTTCAAAAATGTTTGCACCTTCCTTCACAAAATTGAAGTGTAGCACAAAAGCTAATCCTAATACTAGTCTTATAATAAGTTGTCAAGGACAATACTTAGACAATGAAAGAACATATATGGAAGCTTCAAACTAACTTTGTTCTTCAATAATATCTTTATTTTTCGAAGGGTCATCCACTATTCATTTCAATGCAAATTTATATCACATATAAATACTTCCCACAGGAACAAACTCCTAAGCGATCTGTTTGTGGCGTTTCAAAATTCAAACCGAGAGGGAATTTTGTACTTACCGCTTGTATAGTAATATCATATCAACATTTCGTAAATAAAACTTTCAATTTCACAAGTAAGATAACTCTCTAATTAGTTACCAAAGAGTAGGTAAAACCATAATAAATAAGATTAGTCATGTATCCCCTCAGCTGGTTTCTTATCTTTGGTTGTTCCATATTAGGTAATTGTACAAAACGTATTTTGCAACGGCTACGACGACTCTTTCTTACGAAAGATAGTCTGGTTGTTGTTTCACCCTGTTAGGGAGTCAGTTGAACATTCAATTATCAGGCGGATGCTATGAGCTGCCGGTTAGTCTGTGACTTGGTCCAGTGTTCGTTTGATTTGGAACTTACAAATATTTTGTATAATGCGAAGCGTTTGCCGCGAGAGTTCAAGCTTTTCAATAGTTATATTATGTTAGTTTATGGTCTTTGGAGTTTACAACGATTTGGGTCTTGGAAACAACTGTTACTTACGGAACCAGAAGTCCGTTATTGGGCATCTCAACAACGGCGCCCTGACTTCTTTTAGAGTTTATGTATGATGTTTTTGGTGCGCTGATTGGAAGGAAAATTTAAGCCAGTTAAAATGTCAAGAAACCAAAAAGGCGTCGGTTCTTCCATCAGAGTACATAGTTCCGCTTGTAGCAGGTCTCCTAATGTTCAACATGTAGAACACGAAGGGGTGAAATGTTCAGTGATGAAAATCGATGTTGAATGTTGACATCTTTTACCAACAGGAAAACATCTCAAGAAGAAAGTCAGATAATCCGAAACAAGAGATAATCCAAACCAAGAACCTGGCAGTACTATATCAATCCAATTATCACAATGTACTGTGATGACTTTATAATCTGTTGATGAATTGAAGTTCTGATTGTTTTTGCCGTACGATTTTATGAGCCGCTTTCGGAGTTTCAGTCGCCCCCGCCAAACAAAAAAATAACCTCGGAAAATAATGAACACTTTCCGTGGACATGAAAAAGTGGCTAATCAACGGACACCTAAATACTAGTGTTTTTTTCGTCACAATAGCGCTTAGAAATTTTGATCTGGAAGGTATATTCCGATGTCGGTAATAGGGCACAAGATCGGCGTAATTTTGAATAATTTAAATCCAATGGTAAACTGCATGACGCGAGTTGAATCACAGTGACTCAGCAAAGATCCAAGAGGATCAACCAGCTGTCCATGGCCACCGCCAATACTAAATTCTTTTAATGAAATACAAATGGACCACATCCAAAAATTACTTTGAGTGGAGGGATTATTTTCCACTACGTTACCGAATGACACAAAATTAATTTAATAATAGAGACACAATAAATACACTATAAACTGATAATTAAAAGAATAATATAAAAAAAGAGGAATCCACTTAATCCATATGATCTACCTTTTTAAACCTTTTCAATGGTTACGACGTCGTTGTTTTTCTTTTCGTCAATTTCTGGAGTAACCAAAGCACCTTCATCAGAATCATTGACGGCGTAAACATCTTCTCTTTCAACACCTAACTCTGCGTTTCTGTTTTCTGGACCAAGTAAGACAACAATGGTCAAGTATGCAAGAACGGCACCACAGAAGATAGCCATAGTCTTACCATAGTCATAAATACCTTCTTCGGCATTGATAGGGAAACGTTCACCAATAGTAGCTTCAATAGTTGAAGAAGCAGAAGAAACTAAGTTACCCAATTGATATGAGACACCAGTAACGAAAGCTTTGAACTGAGGGGGGGACAATTCTGTAAGATGAGTAGGAACAACACCCCAGGCACCTTGAATACCGAATTGCATAAAGAAAGCGGTTACCCACATTGGTCTGAAAGCCCACGGATAAATGAAGGCAGCGGTAAAGAGGTTAGCAGCAATAATAGCAGTTCTTCTACCAATGAAACTTGACAAGTGACCAACAATAATACCACCAGCTAAAGCACCCAAGTTGGCACAGACGTTAACAACCGTAGTTCTGTCTTCACCGAAACCGTATTGCTTTTGCATTAAAGTAGTATACAAATCTTGAGAACCATGAGATGAGAAGTTGAAACCGGACATCATGAAGATTAAGTAGATGATGATTAACCAATAGCTCTTTAAAGCATGGACAGCTTGACTTTTGAATTCCTTGATATTTGAATCCTTTGCGGCCGCACCAGCTTCAAATCGTTCTTGTTGACGTTGATAAGAGTTAGTTTCTGGGGTGAAGAATCTCCAAATGATTAAAAGAACAGGTGGCCCAGCACTGAACCAGAACATAGATCTCCAGCCTTCTTTAGTAGTATCGACAAGAGCACGTTGGAAAATAGTAGCCAATAAGAAACCTAAAGCATAACCTTCTTGGAAAATACCAGAAAGAACACCTCTAGCAGTGGTTGGAGCATCAGAAAGGGCTTCAGCGGCACAAATACCATAAATACCACCCATTGCAATACCGAAAGCGGCTCTTGTACCTAAGAAGGCTGCATATGTCTTGACGAAACCAGTACCAATTTGAATGACAATCAAAAATCCCAAATTAATCATATATGGCCATCGTCTTCCCTTAAAGTCACCAATGGCACCAAAGATAATAGCACCACCAGTTCTCAACATCAAAACCAAAGTCATACCCCAGGACGCATCCTTAATACTAACATTTAAATCTTCAGCGATGTTCGTAAGGTTCAAGGAAGTAGTGAAGTAATCTAAAGCATCCCAAGTCCAAGCTAAGAAACCAAGCATGAAGAAGTTCCATTGGTGGCGGTTGACATGGACTAATGGTTGGAAAGGGTTGAGGATTTGGTTCCAGGAATATTGAGAAAGTTCTTCTCTTCCAACCCAAAGGGAAGAAAATCTAGTAATGACATACTTTCTAATGACTGGCCAAGTGAACTTAGGTGGTTGGACAATATGTTTATTGTGCTCTTTAGCAACAGCAACCGATTCAACGGTGTGTACAGATCTGAGACAGTCAGTCATTGTTGATTATATTTGAATTGTGATGAAGATAAAGAGATTGCAAAAAAACAAGAAACTTGAAGAAGTGAATTCGCAACCCTTTTATAGTGGGAAATTCATTTGAGAACTTCAACGACATCCCCACAAAATCTGAATAAATACGAACATTTCCATAATAGAGCTTAATTCAACAAATCGCCGTAGCTAATTGATAATTATTGCATTGTCACTTTGATTATGCTATTCGGAGTTTTGTTTTATCAAATTTAAGCCCCCACCATAAGCCATATTTCGTTTGGCATTTTTTTTTTCTTCAGATTTAAATTTTTATTGCTGCACAAATCATTATTTTTTAATCCGGCTAATGCGATGAAAGAATATTTTTTTATTCTTTTTTTCCCCTGGTAGGTACCACGGAGAATTCCTAATGGCTAAGTATCACTACTCTACAACTACTTTGCGGCGACACCTTCTCTCGCCAGTTCGAGACCCGCAGCGAATTTTCGGACCCTTTTAGGGTGATTCGCTGCTGGATTTTGGGTATGTTGAGCCAAGTTAGGACGATAGGTAATTTCCCAGGTACGTCCGTAATCTGGTTAATTTTCCATAATTCCGTTATTTTCCCGTGCTTTTGGTAGATCGAGTTAGGGGTCCTAACATTGCTACGGCTGGTGTCATTGATTAGACACGGCTAACGATTTATTAATAGGAGTCATTGTCTGAGTTTGTTCTGCCCTCACCCCAATATAGTTCATTTTCTGATTGTTTATCCCTCACCCCTAATACTCACCTGGTTTCCTAGGCTTATTTGAAATGTGAATATAACTTTCTTTGTTCGTGTACGTAGTGAATAGGATGCCTATTATGTTAAAACAAATATTATTTGACCGGAAAAGGACTTACCCCAGAGATTATTTTATCATGTAAAAGTAACGTGCAGTCTAGCAGAAAAAAAAGCTTCTTATCTCCTTAATTTGGTTCGGTTTCAATTGCGAAGTTGGAGTCTAGTTTATTGTCAAAATGATAAGATCCATAACCCACTAACCTCAAAAACAATAGGAATCTTTGTGTCCAAAATCCCGCATCTGTTGATATGTTAACTCATCCCCACACCACCACTACATATTTGAATATTCTATGATTAATGAATTGATGACACAATGTTGTATTGGGCTTAGTAATCGATTTTGAAAGTAAATTAATATCTGTTCTTCGGTTATAGCTGACAAATGCGTGGGGGTGCGTGGGGGAGACAGAAACCTACTCCTCTTGCATAAAGAAGTTATGTGTCAAATAATACTAATTAGAAAATTATTATCAAATACACATTATTGCTATCTTATTGTCTTTGAAAATAGGAACAGAAATTTCATTGTTTAATGATATTTTTTTGAGTTAAAAAAGAGTTAATGTTTCAAAAACAAACTCCGGGATAAATTAGTTCGCTCTAAATTCTACATGAATTATTTCTAGAACTCTAGGATCAATATAAATGTCGACCAGACTAAATATGCTGACTCCTTTTTTGGGCGCCCTAAAAGTCTCCACTTTCAAGAGACAAAGGATAAGGAAGAACCCCTCTTTGCACATACCAGGTTAGTGAAGGCTGCTCCTAAAGCTCCCGGGTCTCGAGGGAATACCAATAAAACCGCGTAAGCTTTTCTCTATGTCTTCAGCTGAACTAATCCAGAGCCTGATGTTACTAGCCCTAGATCTTCGAAATGAGAACAGATACTTGGCAACGTTGCGAAACTTTTTCTTGGTGTGATTTCCTCCCATCGACAAAATCATAATGTTTGATGCAATCTTAATACACCCAAACAAGCATGTCCAATAGCTTAAAGTTTGAAGACTGGCTGGCATCGTCGCCTTGATGACGGCGAATTTGAAAGTACTTTCCATCAGCGTGTTGCACTGAATAAACTTACTAAGAAATAGGTGCAGTTTGGTCGAAAAGCTTTGGCAGCTGCTGCCTTTTTTTCTCTTATAATATTAAGGAAAAACTATATAATTATTTAAACACTACATTGAAAGCCAGAATCATTAGAATCGGAATAGGAACGACAACTATTAACGGAAGAATTACTTTTATTGAATCCAGGAATAGCAAGCCATGCATAGCAAATTTTCGACGGTTCCGAATATCTTTTTTTACATATCTGTTTACTGACTTCTTATACATACTAACTACAGAAATAGAACAAACAGAAAAGATATACTTTAAATACAAAAAGCACTATCGCCAACAACCTTATATCTGCATTAGTGACCTTTAAGGGCCAAGGAATGGTGCTCGAGTAGGGGTTCGGAGATGTCTACACCAAGCTTTCTGCTGCAGTATGTCTAGGAGAGGGCTAATTATAATAAACTGTTTTGCATGGTTAACAAAGTTCCTACAAGACCAGGAGAATGGGTTATCTTTTCTTTGTAGAACAGATTCATGAGGAAATCAAATCGCAACACTGCAAGGTTTCATTTGATAATACTTGGGAGAAATCAGAGCCCGAGGCCAGAAGGGTCCTTCACTTTGTCAAAGATAAGTGACGACAGTCCGCCTTTCTTCAGACTTCAGAGTGGAAGCCACACAAGGTCCACTCTCCACACAATTGAAAATGCTCCGGACTACTCGCGAGCCCGAAGAATATCCTTTCGAATTTTTCAGGGACGTTTAATGTACCTAATGATTTTAGATTTGTTATCAAGTTCAATAGAGCCGGACAGACAGACCTTCTCTAGTTTGAAGTTAGAAAACGGCTTACACAGCCTGAATTTCTTAGCAAAACTTTATAAGTCTTGCTTAATAGGATTGTGTAACAATAGCATAGAGAACTCAGGAACCACTGATTTTTAACAGACAATTTGAAGGTGGATGCTTTCAATTTTTTTGCCCCTCCCCCGCACCAAAACTATTTTCTCGGCTATTCCTGACCTATACATATTTCTTTCCCTCGTTAATTAGTTGTTCCGAAAAAATAATTCTTCAACACACGAGTTTTAATTCAGGGAGCTTCCCATGATGTGTGCCTTCTACCGACCAAGCTAATGCAAGATTCATATGGAAAGTTTCTTGAGTGTGTTGGATCTCGTCCCTTTTCTTTTCCCAACTAATTGAATCAAAGGGGTGGCTTAACTAACGTATGCTTCAAGTTTCTTTTTAATCTAGATTTTGGTTGTGCGTGGCTTGATCAGAGTCTGAAACTTGGAAATAAAGAAAGTAGCATTTGTAAAACAATGGTGACGAAATGTCTGTCACCACTGACGACTGTTCTATGATAGTGTTCTCTGATATGGTTCCCGTTTGCTGTTTTACATTCTTAAACGTTTCCGAAAACCCAGATTCTTCTATACCGGGATTAGAGGTTTGTTCTACCAGTGCCAACTTGATTTTTTTTTGATATTTTTTTGGTTTGATTGGGTTGCAGAACGACCAGCATACAATGGAAAGAGGGCAGTAGAATTTCGAGATACTTTTTCCTAGAAGATCTTTCATAATTACCTATAATCTCCCTCATATCATTTGGTGTGCTACCAACCCGATCAGATCGACACATCTTCTGGTTACGAGCCTTGCAAAATCTGTTTCGATTTCTAAGCTCAGATTCGACTACTCTGTAATTTGTATGGACTCAACAGTTTGGGAACTTGTGAGTTACCTCATAAGAAACATATGAGGATAATCTTTGTACTTTAATTACTGCAAAAAATGCTGGGCAAATTTCGAAACTAAAATTAATAATTTGCGGCAAACGGACTTTCGTAATCACTAACGGGCCAAAAAAAAGAAATTGACCGTAAAAAAAAAAAGTCAAAGTAGAAAAAAAAAAATTTGGTGACTCTTTTTAAATATTGGAAATTGATTTCTCCAAGTTATAAATTACTACACTCTCCTTGGGAGACTAATACTCCATATAGATTTTAGTTATAGACTCAGCTAGTACTTCTGAATGAGAACCATGAAATCGGTGCTATCCATCCAATCTCACGTTGTTCACGGCTATGTCGGTGGACGAGCTGCTGTCTTCCCATTGCAAACCCAAGGATGGGAAGTCGATACTGTAAATACAGTCAACTTCTCAAACCATACTGGTTATGGATCCTTTTCCGGTTCAACATTAGCTCCGGAAGAATTAGAATCGATTTTCACTCAGTTACTTAAATTAGGGATTTCATATCAAGCAATCATAACTGGATATATTCCAAACGCAAATCTAATTCAGATTATAAATCAACATATTATTCAATTTAAACAAAGAAATCCTAATTTGATATATTTATTGGATCCAGTTATGGGAGATGATAATTATATGTATGTCGATAAATCATGTATTGCCCAATATCAATCAATCTTAAAGAATAATCTTGTGGATATAATCACTCCGAATCAATTTGAATTGGAATTATTGGTGGGATATCCTATTGATACCAAATCTGATATTATAACTGCTATTAATCAATTACATAAAGATTATAAGATCCCATATGTGGTAATTACTTCGATTAATGGGAAATTATTCAATGATAAAGAAGATATTTATTGCATAATCTCAAACATGAATACCAAACAACTCAAAATGGTAAAGGTCCCATTGATACATTCATATTTCACCGGAGTAGGTGATTTATTCTCGGCCCTATTGTTAGATAAGTTAGTTAAATGTAATATGGATTTACTTAAGGCAGTCAAACAAGTTTTGACAATTATGCACAGGACATTGAAATTAACCCACAAGCTAGCATTACAGGCTGCTAAAAATGACCATCCAAAGATCATGAATGGCAATGGCGTTGCCAATGGTATTGGCCACGAGAATCTCGAGGATACTGAAGAGTTAGTGGGGAAGATAAATGATGCTGAAACTATGAAGTATTTTGAATTGAAGATTATTCAAGCCAGACAGTTTTACGATTACGATGGCCCAGGAGAGTTCGTCGAGATGGATGTAGATGTTATATAACATGGATAGTATTGAGAATAATATTAAAAGTAATAGACAATTGAGTAAATTCATCCTTCTTTCTTGTACATTTTTAAAAGGGTTTGCTCAAATACAAATTCTGACACTTCCATGTCGTTTCTATGGCATCCGTAGTACAACCTGATATGGAATACAATCCGTATCTGAACCGCTAAGATTTGCGGTTCGGCTCTTTCCTAATTGAGAGATACATTTGGTAGTGCCAATTTTTCTACAGTACTATCGCTTATGATAGGTCGCGTTTGCCTACTAAATTTGGCTGGGAACAACTCTCCTCACTGTCTTCCCGATTTGGGAATTTCCGTTCGACACTAAAATTTTCCATCGCTTAATTAAAAGATTTATAAAACCCCAGACCCCTTCCCCCAAGAGTTCCCTTTGCAACCTTCTTGTAACTTCAAACCTATACTATTCTTTACTAGATAGAAATCCATACGTTTGTCTTTACACTTTACACCCATGACCATTATGTCCAAACCAAAAGTATTAATTATCGGTTCCGGAGGAGTCGGTACTATTTCCGCACTTTCATTAACTACCAATGATAAATCAGAAGTCACCTTAGTAGTTAGATCAGATTATGATTTAATCTCCAACAAGGGATATTCCATTACTTCATGTACTTATGGCAAATTAGAAAATTGGAAACCTCATAATATTGCCAGATCAGTTGAAGATGCTCAAGAAAGATTTGGTCCATTTGATTACATTTTATTAACAACCAAGAACATTCCAGATGGTTCAGTCACTGTAGAAAATATTATTAAACCAGCAGTTGTCAATGATAAAGTCGTCATCATATTATTACAAAACGGTTTAGCTATTGAAGAACCTATGCACAAGGCATTCCCTAACAATATTCTTCTTAGTGGAGTTTCAAGAATTGGTTCAACTTATTATGAAGGTCATGTCGATAACAAAGGTATAGATCATGTTTTCTTAGGTGATTTCAAACCAGAATCCCAGCGTCATCCATTATCCCAATCCAAAATCGACGAATTCATGTCAGTTTATCAAAACCCCAACGGATTAAATAAAATCGAAGAAGATAAAGATGTTCAAAAAACTAGATGGGAAAAATTAATCTATAATTCAGTATTTAATACCATAACCGCATTGGTCAACCTCGATGTAGGTAGATTGCAAATCTGTGGTGCTAATGATGAATTGATCAGACCGGCTATGCTTGAAGTTGTGGCAATTGCCAGATCTGTTGGAGTTGAATGTGATGCAAGTATGATGGAAAAATTCGTTCATATTGGTGATGGATTATTTTATTCTCCTTCAATGTGTGTTGATATGAGAAAAGGTCAATTAATGGAATTGGAAATTATTTTAGGGAATCCAATGAGAATCGCTAGGGAAAATAATGTTCCAACTCCAGTCTTATCAGTGATCTATTCATTATTGAAAATGGTACAATTTAGAATCAAGGAGGAAAGAAAGATGTTTGTACTTAATCAAGATGATTTCAAACAACATTCTTCTGATGAATATCCTGAAATATTCAAACAAAAGTATTTAAACAAAAAGTAATTAGAAAATGATTTGATAGTTTATATATAGCATTTTACGAGGAGCTAAATACTTCTAAGACTACGTCCTAACACCAAGTAAATACAGGTGGCTTACTAGTTTCTTTAACTAATCTTTCTATAATTACTCGTTTGCTTCCAGGTGCACGATCTCCAGTACGCACGTCTCTGATTATATGCTCATAACCCGATTCATTAGCAACTGCATCATTTCCATCTCTGTCAGTGTCAACGATTCGTAAATAATTATTAACCTTAGAAGTCGCAAGATACGTATGAACAGTCGAAGGTGGTAGCAATGGACTATTTATGTCATAGCTCTTGGAGATATCTCCTTCATACATCGATGTCTGCATTCTAAATAATTCTTCACAGCCAATATTCTCGGGCATATACATAACATCATCAAATACCAACAAGTTCTCTCTTCTCGCCAATTCCAACGGACCAGCATATCCCAACTTCAAAATCTCAACTACATTGAATGCTTGCCCTTTCAAGACTGCCAATTGCTTCAACCACATTCTTTCCTTAAAATCCTGATCTTTAATAAATACTTGTTTCAAGTTCGCAACGGTCTCTTCCCACCATGTCTTAGATGTCAATAGTGGTAAATAATGATTTCTAGTTTTCATACTAAACGGCTGTCCAATTATCGAATATGGCAAAAATAACCATCCAAACGGGAATGATCTCCATTCATCTGGATGTTTCCAAGGAAATGCCAATCCGGAATCAATTGCCCCGATTTTGATTATGGGTCTCATTACTTTATATTGAGCACTATGTGATATTTGTTTCCATGTTAATTTGATCATCCAATTATCTAACCCACGATCGGTATTTCTCATGATATAATCCAAAATCACCAATTTTTCAACCTCTTGTTGAAATTGGCTCATTGATTCAAGTGACCATCTGAAGTCATAGTTGTCAGTGTCAATACCTACTTGTACATCACTGGATTTTTTCAAATGATTAATCTCAATCGGGTCGGATGGGATGGGATTATGTCGAAGCCATACATCAGCCGTGGTATATCCTTCAAGAAAAACCTGAAATGACCCAATCTTAGGTGGCAATTTAGTCACATCACTATTCTTATCCCAATACGAATAAAAGAAGCTCGGTGATCTTAATTCGATAATATCAGTTCGGGGGACAATATATGAACACAATTGTCGATCTAATACACATGCACCTGCTTCACTGATATATCCCAAATTAGGAATCAAACATGATCTTCCAAAACAACAGGGGAAGAAGGTTCGATGAGCCCATTTACTCCATTTGGGCAGTAGGGGGCCATATGGTTCTTCATCCTTCGGTTTGAATACTCCGGCTTTATAAATAGTCCCATCTGTTCGTTTGTTAAATATGAAATAACTCCCAGAAGAACCTAATGCAATTCTTTGCGGCGAGAGGGATTCAACTTCGATATTGTAGATGATTTGTGTTATCAAATTATGGAAATCACGATCACTAAAATAATTTTCTGGAAAATCGAATGCTTCTCCTGTTTCATCTTCTACTATTCGACGAAAATGAACTAGAAGATCACGTTTTGAAGCTATTACAGGAAGATTTTTTACTGGTCGGAAAGCTGAGTATTCAATTGTGTATTCATTCTTGCCTTCAGCATCTGGCTTTTTCAGTTTAGATTTATTGATCTTTGAAATAGGCAGATATGCCCATTTTGCAGCTGGGATCAAATATCCCTTTGTAAATTTATGAAAATTGGTTTCCATATTATCCATACTTCCTCTACGTGATATAGGTTGGGATTGAGTCCCAAGAGGTGAAAGCTTAGGCGGCTGCAATATATTATTTGGTTGGGAATTGGGCATATCATTATCATTCTGAACCGTATTACTTCCTTTTGTGTGAGCTGCGATTGGATAATGCCAACTGTGTGCCAAATTCTGGGGTTCCTCGTCTTGAGAAACAAGTGTGATGTGATGTTGGTGTTGGATGCTATCATTTTCAATCCATAATGGTTTTTGATTTTGGATAGCTTTGGGATATACAGAATTGTGTCGTACTGAATCTGGTGGTTGGTCGTAATTGTTTGAGTGCACGACTGAATTATTAGTTGCCATCACCATCGCTATTATTTTGGTGATTAATTTAGTATGGAATGAACTTATAAATAGCTTTATCTAAAGCTGTTCTATTCTAATGCTACTTGTAAGGAATGGTAGTCTTTCTCTAGTATATGAGTTACTTAAGGAACTAATGACATGAAATAAAAAGAATTAAAAGTAAGGAAAGGAAAATAAAATCATCAAAATTTTTAGATCCTTTCTTCCCTAACAAAAGAGAGGATGATTAAAGTTTATTTTTTATTTTTTATTCTGAATAAAACGGTCAGCGGTCAGCCTCATGCAAAGAAAAATTCTGGAACCAAAAATTTTGCGACCAAATTTTGCGACCTAAAATTCCTTGGAGACATAGATATTGTTTTTCGTTAAAAGGTGAACCTGTGGTGAAGAACAAATATGTCAAACAGAGATACAGAGATGGGATAGAAGTAGCTTATGCAGAGGATAAATAGTAAAACAAGCTTTAAACTAAAATACAAGAAAAGGTTCTAAGCTTTGTTTTGCACCAATGAAATAATGTATCAATACAGTAAATAAGATAAATCTACTTATTTAAAATTACCAAATTTATTTTATAATACATTTATTTTATTTTCTATATTTATGAGGCTAATGAGCCTTTCTAAGGATCGACCACAATTGTTCCCACGGGGTGTATTTGTACCCGTCGTAGAAAGATTCTTTTAATATTCAATTTCCCTCTATGTTCTTGTGCAGAAGAAAATAGAGGGATATGTAAAGATCATAAGAAATCTATTTCCATAACAAGCATTGATGGGCAATCCTAAAACAAACTCATTACCCTCTTCATGATAACACTATACAACGTTTGCCATTGAACCATTTACTTAGTGCCTAGAAAAGCGACTAGTAGGCTTTAGGCGTACAATATGCTTTTCACCAAGGAATAGCTTTGACATTTGCCCATAAAAGTCGCCTAGCTCGATTTTCACTAACTAACAACCGAGCACGATATCCTCCATTTCAAATTGTTTTGGTGCAAGAATACTTGAAATTTATCTCAATTTCTACAGGAAGTGAAAGGCATCAAGAAGGACTTCATGGATCCAGGAAACTTTACTATTCAATTCAGGTGTTCCAAATCTGTCAATAGAAGGAACTGTGTTAGATGCAACAAATACCTCCCATCCATCAGACAGAGCTCGCCTAAAGCCTTTCCGGCCATCCATCGAACTCTGGTTAAACGATAGGAGCTATACGCAGCCCCCCAGGATACATTTTGGTTCAACTTGTCTGGAAAGTACTTAGCACTATATCTGGCTATGATCTGGGCACCTATCATAGTCCAATAAAATTTTAATTGAATGTTTTCTGATTCCAACAGACTGACTTTAACTTTCGAAGCAACATCGGAAAAGGTCTGACAGCTAATGTATCCTATCCTAACCAAGAACAGTTCGAATCATGTAATAGACGTAACTCGGAAACTTATGGAAAAATCATAAGTTTATTGATACTCAAATTGATCAAGCATTTAAAGGTGTCCCAAAATTTTCAGATAGCAAAGCCAGTGAATTCAAAAAGGGAGTTGATGATGCTATGAGTTTAATTCCAGTTCTTGTTGATTATTGCGACAACTGTGACGAGTATGAGTCAGTCAATACAAAGGTCCCTGGTCTTTATTTACATCCTACTGATGTTAAATTGAATGCTCTTCACCTTCAAATGGTGGACAATCAATTTTTCATTCACACCACGAATGAAAACAAATTCAACATCGATTCAAATAGCTGGAAGCGATAAGAGACCATTTCTTAATCATGACTCCAGAAGTATGTGAAAGGAACTTAATGGGATTAATCTCAACCATTGAAAAGGTCAAACAGGAACTCTTAGATATTGGAGAAGTTGATCATCAGGATAAAATCTCTCTGCAAATGGAAATGGATACCAAGGCTAGATTAAGTTATCTTCTTCACCAAAAATGGGAGACCGAATTAGAAACTTTGGTACACCAAGCAATTCACATTGTGCCAATCGAGTGCAATAAAATCTTAGTGGAAATTCTTCCTATTCTCCCAATGGATCTTGCGCGCCTTATCTACCCTAAATAAGACAAGTTAGAATCATATATTACACACCACTTCGAAACCCATGGAAAGATAATTATCGATGATCAAAATACCATTCAGATTACCGAAAAAGATGAAAACCTTCGTCAATTGGCAATCATCAAATATACTTTACCAATAGCACATGCTAAAACCGCTGAATGGACACTTCCTGAGTTATTTGAGAGCAGCTACTCCTTAATTAGGAAAAGCAAACAATTAAAGGGGCCCAACGGGAAAAATACCACCACTCACCAAGGAAGCCACATAATCGAGTAACCCAACCAGAGTGTTGCCATTCAAAACGATTCATGCTACCGTATTGCTAACAATCCTAACTTACATGGTTCATCCTAACTTCCAAGAAACTAGATTTTTCCTCGTTGATATACCCGAAAACAAAGTTCTCGAAGGATCACGTTTTTATTTGGAAAATCATAAAGTTGAAATTATTTCCGCTTTTCACTTTGAACAGTTACATGATGAATTTTGGTTGTAAGGGAAGTATAGGTCTCTCAAATTTCATGGTTCTCAGCTTAATTGACCAACTGGAGATAAGGAACCCTATGGGTTAGTTGCAGCAGTTTTGAAATTTCGGTTTTATTTTTCAGGCAGGGTGTTGGTTAGAACTGAACATTTCAACTTACTTGGTATCCTTGAAAAGAATGATTTATCTCCGAATCAACGTCGTTGGATTACTAAGTTATTTCCTTTCCACATTGAAGTCAAACATATTCAAGGTTCCTCCAATTGGGCTGCAAATTTTTTGCCAAGGAATTCGTGGAATAAGAAAATCAATATCATTGTGAACACTACAAGATTCAGCTACAACGTAGACAAGACCGGGTTCAGACCTGATTATGCTAACGACAAGGATTGGTCTGAAATTGTCATGGAGTTGACATCACATCCAGGTTGATGGACTGTTTACGTAAAAGCTAGTTTCACTCAATCCACATACTACCAACTTCCACCGTTTTCTTGCAACGATCAACCTAGGCATACATTAACTGCCATCTCACCTCCCTTATACTACCAACGTTTTGATTCGTATTGCTTCCGTTTCGCTTTTTATCACGCAGCTACTGACAAGAGACACCACATTGTCAAACAAATCCGCAGAGGCCAGTTCGAGTTCGCGAATATTATAGAATTTAAACAATGGTTCCTCAAGTTATCTCTTTCAATTGCTCCCGAATCTCAGGCATAGACAGTGGACATTGAAGGTTCCCCAGCGTCTTAACATCTGCGCGCTTCATGGACAGATGGGAAATTCTATTATTATTAACAACGGATTCGTACAGATCCTGACCCTTCGCATCCAGTCACCTATTGATTCCCCTAGTCCTGTCACTCTGGATCATGATGACAATACCCCTTCAGATCCTCGTTCGCAGTATCACCCAACACGAACTGTTTCCGGCCAACCTGTCCCCTAGCTCAACCAATCATCAGAGATTTCAAAATGGTTGGCCAATCAATGGACCACATACTTGAAAGACCTAGTTGAGAAACGAGTTCGGTGATTTAGATGTTGATGACGGTAGGACAGTGTTGAAATGGGCTGTTGGTCTAAGCAAGTTCTTTGATCACTATCGGGGAATTAAGGATTTCGTCTTGGACAAGGAAACTGGAGATGGTAGGATTAGTAGAAGTCTTGCCCCTAACCCAGAAATTTATGCAGGTAATTTGTGTGATGATCTAGCATTAATTCTTCAGGAGCAGAAGATGCCTAAGGGGAAAATTGCAACGAAGCAAACTGAGTTGGAACTCAGTGAGATCTGGGATTACCTTCGCAAATACCCGTTCCTTAATCTCGAAGAAATTATGGAGGAAATTCTTGTTGACTTAGTTAAGACGATATTCAAGTCTGAAAGTGTTGGTGCTTTTACTCACGAGATGCAAAGCTTCGAGACAAAATTAGACAATCCAGTTCATAACTTCATTAATAAATTAGGAGGATTGTTGTAGCTTATTTTTGGGCTAGATGGAATAACTATGGTAAACTATTTGTCAGGGTATATGGTAGGCATTAAGAAATTATGGAAGAAATGTCCATATAGCGATAACATTGTTAACAGCTGTCACTCAAGTCAAGCTGATGCCATAGTCATCTAGACTTAACTATATAACCACTTTTCAAACAAGGACTTGCTCAATTCATTCAATTGGAATTAGTTATGAAATACAAATGAGTATAACTTAAAACAGATAGAATCACCTACTTCCTTAACATAAAACGGTGTTATGCTGCTTTGTAAAAAAAACTTTTCAAGGGAGGAAAATTTTGACTTCTAGGGAAAATTTTCGGAAAAATATTTAATCACCCGACGTGTACACGTGACTAATTTGAAGGGCATAGCCTTTTGAAATGTAGAAAATGGTGATCCTCTTCATATTGAAAGAACGGGTGATGTTACAATCTACATTTCCATTGGTCGAATCATTCTTAATGATGCTGATTACACACCTGATGGTGCTGTCAATTTGATCTCGATTTCTGCTGCATCTAAGCAAGGCTTTTCGTTTACTTTTGATGCTAATGGAGTTCCTGTGTCCTCCAATTCAACTGCTACTGTTCGTCTTGCTGATTTATCATCCTCCAATCTTTATAGCCTACTTCCTTCCCAAGGTACTCTCTGCTAAAGATTTAGTTGGACATCCTGGCCCACATGTCAATCAGTAGTTTGCCAAATCAGTAATTTCTCTCGGTGGTTCATGTTGTGACGCTTGTAAGCTGAATAAACTATTAGTTCGTGTCCCTACTTTTCCAAGTCCACAATCTGTTATAAAGTTGGCTAAAAATTGCATGTGGATGTCTGTGGTCCTGTTCCTGATTCTATTTCTGATGATTCGTTGTCTATCAACTGCCTCATGTTTTATCCCAGTTTTTCCGATCCCTATCACTAAGCGAATGTTCCACGATTATTATCAATCTCATCCGTCTGATTCTGACCCAAAATTCTCCTGACAGTCGTGTCCGTGTCTTACAGTCTGATAGTGGTGCTGAATTTGTTAAAACTCAACTCCTTTCTGAATTTCAAAAGCATGGCATCCAACAGAACCTTACTGTCCCCCATAATTGATGGAGCTTGGTTAAAGCAGCGCCGAAAGTTTCTGACGGTATATCAATTTGAGACATTTTATTTTGGTTGAACTGTTTAAGCTATACTGATTAATTAACAGATACAAACATACGAAAAGACTAAACTAGGAAGTCAGGCTACTTAAATACTACAATATAATTACTATCGGATGATAACTTACAAGATTATACTATTGTCATCATTTGTTAACATGAAATAGCACGTAGTTGTATTGGTAGAATGAAATTACAAGTGGTAGCACTGGTAGTAGATTTCCTTTTAATAGCATGTAACAAAACGCAACATAATTCCAGCAAATTCAAGAGACTTATACTAATGTGTCCGAACACCTGACCTTACAAAACTATTTAAGAAAAACTTTAATTAATAAAACTATACAAGATTTATACACCAGATAAATCATTGACTAAAAATTATAAGACGAAAACGGGCCTGGATGAGAAATACCAAACGTTGAAAATGAAAGCAATATTGTCCCTATGTATCAACAAAATGATATCACTAATAAATAAAAGGAAATGTTAATAATAAAACACCAGACATACTGAAAAGAAAACCTAAAGGAGTAAAGCACTTGCTGCTAATAAAGCCAATGGTGCACTAAATTTCAATGAAATAGCGCCACTGGTGCTACCTTCTTCTTCATCTTCAGTAGCTTTATTTTGTGTTCCATCAGTTAAGACTTGATCAGCAGATTGAGTTGAAGCAGCTTGATCACCTGCACCGAAGATATATTCATTCAATTGATAAAATAATCCCTTTTGTTCTAAACCGGCAATAATGTCCATAATTGGTGCACCATATTTACCCAAAATACTCATTAAACCAGCAGTAGCAGATGAATCTCCTGAAAAGAAGCCGACAACCAATGAAATTATTTGTTCAAAGTTGGCTAACGCTGCTTGGATAATAGTAGCGACATCCAAAGTCGAGAAATCGATTTGGATAGCACCTGATTGAATAACTGTTTGAGTAATGGCACCGACTAAGTTAACGTATGCTGGAGTAGAAAGGAATCTCTTGGTAACATAAACAGCAACACCAGTGTCGTTTAAGGCGTTTATGGTATCAATGGCAACCTCTTGGAAAAATGGTGACTTGAGAAGTTCATTAAGGGCAGTAAGAAGGAACGCATTCAATGAACCAGTAGTGTCTGTGACTTCTGTGGATGCATCTTCAGCAGCGGGTTCTTCAGCAGCGGATGCTTCTTCTGCAGATGCTTCTTCGGCAGGTGCTTCTTGGGAAGGTGCTTCAGCTGCAGCTTCTTCAGCAGCGGGTTGTGCTGCAGCCACTTCTTCATCTCCATCTGCTCTCTTAGCATTTCCAGCAGCTTGAGTTTGTTGTAAGAAACCAGTTAATAATGCCTTAATTGCCTCTCTTTGAGAAAGAATAAGGCTGTAAGACAATTCAACCAATACTGGTCTAAATTGATCATCCAAAAGCATACCATCAAGGAAACTTTCAATCAAACCAGATTGTATAACTGCGGCCACAAATGGATTTGACTCAAGTGAGCTAAGGTCCAACCCTCCACTTAAGGCTTGTGTGAGTAAAGCACCAACATCAATCTTGTATTCTACCCCGGATAATAATGCACCAAGAAAACCAGTAACGGTTTGGATTCTAGATTCATTCAAAGCTACTGCATCTAATAAAGTCCATAAAATACCGGTTTGGTTAATTTGAAGTAAAGCAGCTTCAATAAATTCTTCATAAGCTTCTCTCTTTTGAATAGAGCCAGCTTTACTAAAGGGTTCGAGTAATTGATCATAAGCAGCAATTTCTTTTGAATTAAAGTTGGTTTGAACCCAATTGTTTAAATCGGTACTCAATTCAGCTAAAGTACTTTCTTGAACTGGAACAGCCGTTACCCAGCTGAAAACAAGGAATAAAATTGATATAATTTGAAATCTCATTGTTTGTATTTGATTACCGAGATATGAAAATAATGTATTCTAAGATCTCTATGATAACAATGGGAAAAAAGAAGGCTCTAAATTATAAAATAAAAATAAAAAATGGGAAGAAAAAAAATAATTGCACCCATAAGGAAAGAAATTCAACAACTATATAAATTTTAATTAAATTCAAAAAAAGTATTGAGCGATGGGTTGATTAGTAAAGTTATTCTCCGTGAAATATCAGAAGGTTATTTCTTTTCTTTTTTTAAGAGGTTACTGTAACTTCGGGGATAGTTGTAGAGGGAGGGGGTTGGGAGGGGCGATGTAACCGGGGGAATAATTTCTTCTCAAACCAAGAGTTTTATCCATTTCATTTGTTTATTGGGGTATCCCTCCGTCGGCAAAAACAGTGGTAAGTTGTAGCAAACAAAACGGTTCATGCAAGCAATATATGTCAAAGCCATTCTACTGGTATCGATTTAATCAAATATGTATAGCAAGTGCATGTATCTTTTAAACCCAGTCTTTGTCGTCTTTGTTGTCTAGTTGATACAAAGAAGTTCAGTGTTTAACAATTTCTAATTTAGGGAGTAAGTAAAGTTTTGTTCGGCTGCTATAAAAAAAATTTGTACTTCCTAATTAGGCAATGAGAAGTCTATTTATGTGCGGCTTTAATATAAACTTTTTACGTGACTTTACCTCAGTCAGACCATTTTCTAAAGAAAATCTTGACGAAATAGGGAGTAAACAAAACTTAAGATAGAATGCAGAATTTCTGGGTTTTGCCAAGAATGTTTAATTCTGAATTTTCGATGAGTCAAGGATATAAAATTTGAAATAACCTGGGGGGAGAAAGAAGCTTTATTTTTTCTCGTGAGTAATGGAAAAAAAACGAGTTTACAACCAGGGTTACATGTATCACAAGATTCTGGATTCTGGGGTGAAAAAGGCTCATTCATCCCTGGACTTGTTGTTCTCTTTTGAGATTAACAATGTTTTAGGGGGAGGAAATTCAATTGAACTTATCCTAACACATGTCTTATTATACATTGTGTAACCTTTTGTATTACTGTAATCTCTTAAGTATTGGAAAATAAGAATTTCCTAATTAGGGAAAAGCTAACAACTTCGAGAAATTTTTTTATTTTTTTGTGTTGTTATTTTATTTTTTATTAAACTGATTAAAAATTCTTAGCAGCCAACTGCATCCTTTGAAAAAATAAATATGATTCAATTTATGATAATTACTTCTTGTTACAAATCATCTTCATATTCTCTTTCTTTTTTTCACTCTTTCTAAATTTAATATATATAAAGTATTCATTCTTACGAAAATCGTTTAATAACAACATTTCAAAATTATCGTGGAAGAAAAGCTTAAATTTTTTGTTAAATCCAAACACAGTTTTAATAAACATATTTAGTCTAACCAATATCCCCCCGACCCTCCCTTCTCCAGTTAGAGTTTTTATAAAGGTCATTCTAATCCTTATCTTTTGATTTTAATATATAAAAGAAAGTTCCTAAGATCAGTATATTTCGATCCCAAACCAAACTCGAATCTACCGATTTCAAAACCCGCCTTGCCGTAAAACAATCATCCTGTGATTCAAATAAACTAACAAATCTACCTAACCATTTTTCTTGTTTATTTCCATTCTACTACAGAGAAATCTTTGATATTTCACTATTATTAGAAGCAAAATGAAATTCACCTCCGTATTCATACTAATTCCATTGTTTTGGACCTATGTCGTTCATGCAACCTATGATGTCAACTATCAATTCAACTTTAACAAACGTGCCGATAATGAAACGAATACCACGGTTGACGCTACCAGCGCACCCCTCAATCTTACTACCATGATTGTTCAAGTTTATGAATCAGGTATGATTCAAGAATTATTGTATAATTTCACTTCATCCCATGAAAACAATGAAGCTCTTGCCAATGCCACCGTTGCCTTTTTACAAAACTCAGAGGGTGCCACTAGTCTCTTATCCAGTTTAAACATCACCATTAACACCACTCAGATTTTGAATGCAGTTATGGCATCTGGTCTTATTCAGCAAGTTGCTGATGGTTTACTTGTAAACGACACCAATAGACAAGCATTGGGTGCTATGGTTGGAAGTCTTTTGGGTAGTCCAGATTTTGTTTGGGTATCTTATTTGATTAAGGGATTAGGTGAAGGTGAACAATTAACTCTTGATTGGATAGTTGATGTGATCACCAACTCTAAGTCGAAGGCTAATACCAATGAAGATAACCAATCCGATATCCGTATTGCAAGACTTAGAAAGAGAGCTGATAATGATACCACAACTGCAAGCAACACCACAGCTACTAGCGACTTTGAGGGTACATTCAATGCTTTTATTGGTAATATCATCAGTCAAGTTGTCAACTCGGACCTTATTACTCGTACAATCACCGAAGTCTTAAATGCTGTGACACAATCAAAGATTGTAGTTCCATTAATTATGCAATCCCTTCAATTACCAGGTCTCGGTGATCTTTTAGTTACAATGGTTACTACTATGTACAGAGGTGGTATATTTAATAATATCCCACTCCAAGCATATTTTGAAATGCTCAAGGAAGAACATATTTTGGCTGAACAAACTCAAGCATTATTCACCCACCCAGTATATGGACCAGCTATAGGAAAATTATTTAAACAAATGGAAGATGCGGGTGTTTATCAAAGAATACAAGACAATATGTATGGCCCTCATAAACGTAATTAGAATGAGTGAGTTGCTTTGACTTTTTCAGAGTTGTATTTTTATATTTTTACTTCCCTTACTGTTATCGTTATTCGTTGTTGTTATTTATTCTACGTTTTAATAGTTTCTTTAATAGTTTACACTTTAATTTATTATGTATCAAAATTACTACTACAGAGGTTTGTTTATCGACGAGGCATTTGTGGGACTCGCTGTAGAGAACATTTTATCAAACAAATAGATCAATAGTAAGGTTATGAGCACGATCTCCAACTTATCAGTGTCTGAGACTTTTTACAGAGCTTCGCGCTGTTTCACTTTCCGGGAGGGCTATTGTTCAATGGACAGAACGTGTGCTGCTACATCCCTTTTATGTACCATTTGATGATTGCCTCTTCTTGTTGTCTACTAAGTTCTTCTGGGAAATTAACAAGAAATCTGTGTATCTACTTGACTGCTGCCCGGCCAATAATAGAATTGACATTTGGAATAGCCGTTCAACTTGCCTTGGCACAGTTCTTTCCACAGTTCTTGGTCGGTCGAGTCTTACAGTACTTCTCTTGACCGAAAGCACTAATGTATCCCCTCAATAGTAGTTCTCTTGGCAAGGCAGGATCAAAATAATCCGCAAATCCGTTCTCAATACCAATAGTAACTGGTCAAGGTTTCGTAACTCCGTCAGCGAATACGACGAGAGCCTGAATCCCTTCTCCAATTATTTGATAAGGTTTGGTAACTCCGTCACGGGACGTGAGGGGAGCTTGAATTCCTTCTCCAATTATTTGATAAAAGCACTGATTTGAACGCAGGTAGACGTGACCGAATGTGCAATTAAGTTTAATCTGATACAGATCTACACCGCTGATCAATAGAGTAAACGAATGGGTAGAACAAGTTGGTTCAATGTGACCTCCTGCCAGTTACGCTATAACTCGTATTACTTTAGTAAACAACCCCAAACCATAAATCTTCTAGATTCTCTCTTCTTCCAAAGACTTACAAATAAAAGTTAATCAATTAAAATAAGAATCATATTTTAATAAAATCTAAAAATAATAATATACACGAGAGTTATGTACATAAAACAAACCACAAACTAAAAACAACTAAAATAAACCAATCATAATAATAAACGTACTTTTCTAACTAAAAAAAAGGCAAGACATGCAAAATAGTAAAATAAAAATAAAAATATTGTTCTCTAATACTTCAAAGAGTACATAATACCGTAACCAACAGTAATAACAACAATGTATGCAATAACAGAAGCTGGAACTCCTCTAGTAATAAATGTATTGACAGTCAAGTAGTGTTTTCCTACTTCATCTCTCATACTAATAGCAGTAACATTAGGGAAACCAGAAGTTGGTAAACCCATAGCACCGGAAGCGATCAAAGCAGAAGCCATGATAAGAATCAATGGATGAGGAGTAGGTAATGATTCACCAACTTCCTTAACTAATGGAATAATAATTAATGCAGCAACAGTGTGAGAAACAAATGTAGCAACAACAAGAATCAAAATACCAAAGATAAGCAAAATGACAAAGACATTATAGTCCATAATTCTCTTTTGAAGAGCCATAGCAATGGTAGCTAAAAGACCAGACGAAGTAACGGCGTTACCTAATGCAATACCACCCATAGCTAACAATACAATAGACCATGGATAATTGTTCAAGTCATCAACTTTTAATAAACCAGTACCAAAGAATAAAACAATTGGAATGATGGTAATGATACCGGCTTGACCAAAAGTACCTTCAATCTTAGTCATGACACACCATAATAAAATAGTAACGAAAGTAACAACAAGAATGAAATATTGTTTAACAGTAAACTTTTCTTTGATTGGTTTATATTTTTTTAAAACAACATTGTTAATCTTAAAAGTTAAGATCAATTCAACCCAAATCAAAAGCATAGCAATGATGGCAACGGGAAGAGCAACTGCAAACCATTTTCCCCAACCTGGATTTGGATTCATATATTGTAAAGCAATAACATTTTGAGGAGAAGCAATTGGAGAAGCCATACCTGCAACATTAGAAGCTAAGGCAATACCTAAAACCAAAACTTGAGCGACTGGAGACTCCGTAGGTAAGGTTCTTAAAACTGGCTGAATCAAGGAATAACACAAGATAGGGGCAGCAACATTAGAAATCCACATAGCTAAAAACAAGGAAACCGACATAATGGCCAATAACACATTACGTGGTTTCGTACCAGCGAGAGCTAAAATATAAGATGATAAAACTTTAGCAACATTATATTTGGATAATGCAGCAGCTAAAGTGAAACCACCAATCAAAATCATAATAGTTGAATTCCACATAGTACTTAAGATATAAGCAGCAGCATCGGGAGCAGCCATTGGTTCATTGGAACCAGTTTCCTTAATGACAGCACAGGTAACAACTAATAATGGGACTAACATACTGGTAGCATACAATGGAAGAGCTTCACTGGCCCATAACATGGCACAAGCAACTAATAAAGCCAAACAACGACCTTGAACTGGATCATTGAAAGTCTTGACGGATACCAAAACAGCAAAAACAATAATTGCGAGTAATATTTTAACAACTTGAGCTGTTAATAAGAATGCTGGGAGTTTAACGTGATCATGACCAAAGATGGAGATGTTGAATGGTAATTTATATTCTTGAATATTCATGTACATCATTGAGTTTGTAACTTCATCTCCAAGTTTCTTAGTATGATCTTCATCAACATTATAAGAACCTTTTTCAATGGATAACAAATCCTTCCAGACAGTGTTTCTTTCAAAGACAATATGATCTCTTAAATGGGATCTTAAATCAACTTTAACATTTTCTAAATCTTCCTTGGTAGTCTTAACATGTAATCTTGAAGTTAAGAATGCATAAATCTTGACAATTTGGTTTAATTTGTAATCCAAGTTTTCAATAGTTTCATTCAAGAAAACTCTAGAATTGTTTGGTAAGAAGTTTTCAATGAAATCAGACTTGATGGAATAGTTACAAGTCTTGTCAAACTTCTTACAGATCTTAGTGAAACCAACTCTATTTAATTCAATGAAAGATTTCAATTCAGATAAGTTGATGTATAAAGTAACAGCCTTTCTCTTTAAAGTAATCTTCATTTGTTGTTTAACATTGAAATCAGCATGACCTAACAATACAGAATCCTTTTCTTTGGTGTGTTCATAGTCATCTTCGTCGTCATCATCAGAATCTTCCATTTCTTCAACATGATGACCTTGCTTTTCTATGTCAACAGCAGTATCGTAATCATTACCCATGTGATTGATATGATCGAAAACACTAGCATTTGTAACAGTTCTAGATAAGGTAGATTTCAAGTGATATTGGTGATGACTATCGGTGTTTAAAAAGTTTTGATCAACATTATAAGCTTGAGTAAATCTGAAAACATCATCAATGTCAACGTTATTAGTTTCTAAATCCTTAACCAAATTGTCATAAGCAAGGAAGATTTCTTCTTCTTTAGTTTGATAAAAGTTATTGATTTTATTTAATTCAGTTAATAATTGTTTGGTGAATACTTTCAATGGATCAAAAGTTAAAGATTTTGGATCAGAGAAAGAATCATCATTAGCACTTCCAGTAATATCCGTTATCACAACCGAAGGAGTAATCTTTAATGAAGCAGTATCAGAATCGGTAACGTCACCGGTATAGACTTTAACATCAGAAGCAGACTTGTCAGAATGCTTTTCAGTGCAAGTTTCACTTGAACTATTCTTTTCCATGTCAGTAGCAGTAATTTCCAAATCAGCATCAGAATTATTTGCTTTCTTAAGTCTGAATAAGTGCTTACCCAATAGTCTATTCTTCATATTTTTATTATCAGCAACACCAGCAGAGGTAGCAGACTTTTCAACAGTAGCTATCCTTTCATTTATCTTTTTAGATTTGAAGTTATCTACTAATTCAGAAACAGTAGCTTGATTTACGTCTACTATATAGCCTTGTTCAGTAGTACCAGCATTTATTTGTTGATCTTGTTGTAATTTATAGACAGTCTTTTTTAAAGTTGGATAGTTCAAATAACTATCTTGCCATTCTGGAACAGCGTTAAATTTAAGGGAATGTGAGAATTTCATGGTAACCTATTGATTGATATTATATTTGCAACCTATTTGATTTTTTCTTGGTAGTTGGTAGTTAATTCTTAATTGGGGGAACTACTCGTGTGATGGTTACTGAAAAAATATGCCAAGTGAAAAACTTTAAAACTATTGAGCGATGGAAGGGTTTTGGGACCACGTTGTTTCTTTAAACTCACAAGACTTTTAACCTTATTAGAAAGAAAAGAAGAAAAAGAAGGTTTGACAATAAAAATTTTTCAATTTAAACTCCTTGGAAGGGATATTTATCGTGTGACAACTTTTCTTTACTAAATGAATTAACAATTCCGAATCACTATAGAAGAGATTGGCAATTTCTTTTTTTTGTTTGCGTGTTTGCCGGTTAGAAAATAAATTATTATCAATGCGCACACTACCCACGTGGGTGTTCCAACTCCTTCCTTAGCTTTAACTATCTTAGCCTGGACGGTATATAAGCCACCAAATACAATAGAAATTTAAATATTTTTCTTTGATATTTTGAGCAAAGTACACTATGGGCCCACGAGGGCCTGTCTCTATCACATTAGAGAGAGAAGCATGGATAGAGATTACTTCCCATACGGAAAGAAAAGGAGATGAGTTATTAAATCTCAATTTTTTTTTAAATAATTTTTTTAATGTTTAAATTTTTTTACTTGGCATGTTACTAGCCACTCGTAAAATAATAATTTAGATTTTTTGGCATTGGAGCACTTACATTTGACAGGTACCCCTGCTTCCAGAGACAGACTCTGGAATAGTTTATATTTGCAATCGCTATGATAGATATAAAATGGTAGCAGACTTGCCTATCAAAAAAAAATTGTTAGATAATAAATTAGAATCTATTGATGTAATTCATTTACTCGTGTGACAATAGCATATTGAATATTTTTGTACTCCGCTAATTCCATTGTCTTCGTAAAATTTTGTTATGATCACACGACCATAAAATTTTTTATAATATAAAACAAAATTGAACAATCCCTTTCAAATTTCTCAGCCTAATTGTTTGTAAGCATTCCACCCTTCTACTTGTGAAGAAAAAGCCACTGGCCTTATGCTAAATCTAATTATTGTATTTCTCCAGATTAAATTAGTGAAGATAGAAAGGGAGCACGTTGTTCGTCATGTAATTAGATTCCATATTTTGTTTTGTGACAGAACCTAGCCAGATAATCCTGATAAACTATTCTTTAATCTTGTTATTACCTTTTAGCTCAGCTAAAATGATAATGATAAGTAAGAGTATGACAAGTTTATCCAAGGGGTAGTCAGTCATGGTTATTTCAGTTCCAATTTCAACCTCCACGAACTTTTTAATTCACCACTCTTGAATCACTTCTTGGCAGATTATAATTGAACCAACTAAAAAATATTATTATTCCAATTCGGGACACAATCCAATTATTGCCAAAAAAAAATGGATCACAATAAGAGCCGATCCTTGGAGTTTTATCGTGTGACCTTTCATAGCAGAAACTGACACAATTATTGCCGCTTGCCGTGTGATCTTTCGCCTCTGATTCGCTCGTGTGACCTTAACTACAAATCATTAAATGTGATAGAGAGAAGCCTCAAATAAATATTCCGCCTTGCTTTCCGTTTTGGTAAATTAATAAATCTCTAACATGAATAGCGGAAAATTCTCCGAATAATATTTTGCAAGATGTTGTTCTTAACATTTGTTTTTTTCATTTGAAGAGGAGAAACTTTATTAACTTTATTTGCCAGCTATGAATTTTTATTAATTAACTTTATTTGCCAACTAAACCAATTACTCTATATCCAAATTATGATTATTCAGAATTGTTATTGATGCTTGGCGAATCTTTAAAAGCAAACGGATTCGCCCCCTTTTTAAATATTGTTTTGTTTAGAAAATATACGCTTTTATTTTTAATTATCTTACTGTAATCTATTAGATTTTAGTATTCTTACTTTAGTTTATATAAGAGTTTCCTATACAGCTCATAACTGAAGATTTATCCTTAAACTAGCTGAGACTAGTAGGATTGTTAAAAGGAAGGCCAAGAACAATGTTTCGCAATTTGTGGTGAAAGGTGCGTCGGTATTCTGTTTTCCTAGTCAACTTGATTTCCCCTGGTAAAATTTTTCGTTTTCAAACTGAAAAAGGATCAGCAAACTATTACAAAAAGTTTAAGCAGATTTATTGAATTATCTCCGGTGAATATCCTTCTACGCGTGGTGAATGGGAAAGCCGACCTCTCTCAAAATGAGATTATCATCCAGAGTAGCCAGTTAAAGAGCATATGGCAAGGGATTGACCTGACATTCTAAGCTCCGAAGGATCCCTATTCCTTGCTTTATTTCAATTCACAACAACAATTCAAGTACCAATACCACCAATGGAAATAAGATGATACCATCTTCATCATCCATGTCTACTTATCCGTGCAACCACAACAAATGTCTATAACCAAATCATCGAATCTAAATGTGTGTGGCTATTACTATGTCAAGAGTGGCGTTTTCAGAATTCCCATGCTAATCCTTAGAATCTCACGTTAGGTGGATTTTCTCGTTGATTTAACTAGCTCTTGCACTCAGAAATCCCTACCCATTCTAAGTCCAGGAGTCGTGGTTAAAGGGTCGGAAGAAATCTAAGCATGTTATGGTGTTTCACCTCAGACAACTCTAATATTTCTTTTCTATTCCTCACAATGGAGCTACGTTGTGTTTTGTATGACAGTTTCCAGAGTTCTACCACTCAAAGCGACGAAAATTGAACGATCTCTTCTCTAGTATTTAAAAGCAGCTCAGGAACGTCCTTGCAGTTATAGCTACAAATGTTTGAACTTTTGTTTGCTGCATCTCCCATTCCTTGAACCAGTTATGAAGTGGGCAAACCCTTAGATGATCACATATGCTCACCCCCGTCACTCAGGCGCACGGGCTTGAAACTTGCCTTCTTTTGATGAAAACATGTACTCTAGTTACTAAACATTCCATCGAGTAGTCCAATTGCTTCAGAGGTCATCTTTTCTTTACTAGTAATGTAAGTTCGCTATTAACCCTCGCTCGGTTCTCCTTTTCTTGTTATTTATTATTTCTGTGATTCATTGGTTCCACTTTGGGCTGTGTAACTAAAGTCTAGGAATATAGGGTTTTGGTATTTTGTATAGATCTTGACGGTTTTCAACTAATAATTTACTTTTTATTCCTGTTTATCTACCTTGACTATATTCTTTTGACTGACGGTAAGGTACAATGCTGCCGGGAATGGATTTGTAGACAGGTTAGAAAACTTCAGGTCATCTTGATTGAATGCTGATATGCAATATGTCTGTAATGCCGTGTATTTCCTGTGCCCATTGGGATTGTAAAGCTCATTATTAGTTTTATTTTAATATTCGGAAACTATATGATTTGGCATAACAATTTGCAAATTCATCTTTTTATTGGGTTGCAAAAAAAAACTCATGGCCCACCTGTCAATTACGTCATAAGCGAAAAATAGATTGCAGGGAGTCAAAATCAATTTATGGGGAAATGTTACATTCGCTTCAAATGAAAGTTTTTTTCTTCCAATGGAACATATTGCTTACAAATAAACCTGTTGTATGACGGGTCAAAATGTCTATTTTTAAAAAGAGGGGTGAAGTTGTCTCATCCCCTTTCAGGGGTTTGTTGGCTTATAAATACCCTGAACGTAATTCAATTCAATAATTTCATCTTTCTTACATCTTATTTTTTTTCACCAGCATAATTACTCTATAAACCATGTCTTCTGTTAAAACTCCAGAAACACCATACTATATGGTCTCATTAAAATATAAATTAAACCCAGGTGTTGAAGGTGAATACCAATCTTTAAACAAGGAATTAGAAGAAATGTCCGATAAACAACCTGGATTCTTGGGTATGGAAGAAGTCACTGACACCAAAGATAATACCACAATTAATTTAAGTTATTGGAAAGATGAAGATAGTATTGTTAATTGGAAACATAATTCTAAACATTTGCAAGCTCAAGAAAAGGCAAGAACTGATTTTTATAGTCATTATGAGTTTAGGATTGCTAAAGTTGAAAGAGATTATGAATTTACTAGTCATAAAGCTAGTCACTGAGATTATTATGTTTCGTTTCTAATTTATGAAGGGGTGTCATTTTAATGGTGACACCTCAATTGGTTCCAAATGTTTGAGAATCTATCTAAAAGAATTGCTTAAAATTTTATAGTTTAGTTTAGCTTTAAGCTGTGCTTCTAAGTTTATATCATCCATACCCCAATAAATTATGTTCAAATCGCTAGTTAGGTTAATATTCCTTTATGGGATCAAATTCTTTGTTCTCTAGTTTATGGCTTATCGGAAACACTTTGTCCCTCCTTACGATATGATAATTGCTGGATCAGTTTCACTCGGCGTTGTTTTGGAAAAACTTGCTCTTACGATAAACTCTTCAGGATTGTAGCTAACTATCTTTTTCTTACTTGGGTGTCTCGTTTTGAGTTGCCCTGTGAGTCCGTACATACTTAATTAAAAATGAATGCCGTTGGAGAGAAAATTGGTAATTACATAGAAATTTGCAAAAGTATGGTTATCGTCAAAAATATCACGAAAATCATACAAAATTTAAACCATCGGCATACGATTACCCGCCATTCACCTCAAACAAGATCCGCTTAGACAATGGTCCATACTTTGTCAGTTCTCATTCATTAAAGATTCTGTAACTGCTGATATTTTGCAAACATTTCATTGGCTCGAGCTGGAGATTACTTATTTTTTGCAACTTGGTTGGCACACGCATTTGACACTCTCATTTCACGTGATGTGATGTGGGATTTTTTATATGCAGGATATTCGAAGTTTGAGTTTAAAAATTGTGGTCCATCAAATGATGATAAACAGCAAACCCAATTTCATTTTGTCAAAATTTTACAACTAAACAATTCCTGTTTAAACAGGTTCATAATAAACTTACCTGTACATAAGAGAGAAAACATTCTACAAAAGACCTTTTGGAGAGTAGGCAAGTAATTCACTCCCGAAACAAAAGACAATGAGAAATCAGTTTACTAAAAAAGTCATTCATGAAGCGGAATGTGTAATACCACATACCAGGGGCACACTACCTATCAACACCACTGCATCCAATGACAACCTAGTGTATTCGCCAAGAGCTGGGTCGCCAATGAGAATTGCTTCACCTAATGGAAATGGCAAACAAAGCCCTTCTCCAAAAATTTCAAATATGCATTTACATGTTGAAAGTGATATAGATTCAGTCATTTCATCAAATCAAGCTGATAATACTCTTTCATCAGAATATTCAACTGGCGAATTTGATTCTACTAAATTAATACATAAATGGACTCACACACTTTCAATTCTTTGCTGTGTTGCATCTCCAAGTCGCAAACTTCTATTTTGTGGGACTCAAGATGGAAAGATTCTAATATATGACTTGTTAACCTACAGTTTGAAGAAAGAAATCCTAAGCTGTGGGCAACATCAATCTGCATCTTTATTGACTATAGCATTAAGTAAGGATGAAAATCATTTATTTGTAGCTGGGTCAGATTCATTAGTGAAAGTTTACGATTTATCAAACGATGAATTCCATTGTACTCATATCATTTATACATTAGTTGACATTGGAGATATCTTTTCTATTGCGTGGTGTGACGAATTGTCGACATTATTTATCGGGGCTCAGAACGCTTCTATATCGTGGTGTAAATTATCCTTGACTTCCAATTCCCATCCTCATACAAAATCATCTTCAAACTCAAATATTGAAAGATTGCCGCATTTCAGGTATGATAAGTTTTTTGACTCAAAGGGCCCAGGCGGTTCACAGAATACATTACAAACAAAGCATGAGCTATATAGAAGAAGTTCCAAGAACGAAACTTCTCCAAGACCTATTAAATTAACCGAAGTTAGAAATGAAGATACGATTCGATTCGCACATAACGGTTATGTCTACTGTATGGAGATAACCAAGGCATCAATTGGTGATTTCACAGAAAGAAAAGTATTAATCTCATGTGGAGGAGATGGGGTTATAAATATCTGGGCTCTTGAAAGTGAGTCATTAACTAAACTTACATCTTTACAAAACGATGAATCAATTTCATCAATGACTATACATCAGTCATTATTATATGTTGGAATGGGAAATGGGAATGTTAATGTCTGGGATTTGACTACATTGCAATTAATCAGGTCCTTTCAATTTGGTGAACTCTTGCCAGGAAAAAACAATATTCGTGACCAATCCTTTCATGAGGTGCTTAGTTTACAAATATCAGGGGATTCTTTATTTAAGGCATGTTCAAATGCAGGTTTGATCAAAATTACTATGAAATCGAATAATGTTGTGGCTCAAGACAGTGTATTAATGAGTGTAAAGGAAGAAGATGGAATCATTAATACAATTAAGACCTTCAAAATTGACGGAAGGTCATATTTACTTTCTGGTGGGAATAAATCACTTTGTTTCTGGGACATTACTGTTGAACGAGATTTATCAAAGGATGAAGATTCGCTTATCGATGATGTATCAGACAAATTCTCAAATAATAAATTACTTTCAAGTTTGAAGAAGTATATCTCATATAAAACAATCAGTAAGAAACCAGAATTATATCTCGAAGATAGTCGACACTGTGCTCAATTCTTATCCAAATTATTATTGGACTTAGGTGCATACCAAGCAAAATTATTACCCGTTGAAAATGCCAATCCGATAGTGTTTGCAGTATTCAGAAAGAATGATAATTCAAGCACCGAGAAGAAGAGATTGTTATGGTATGCTCATTATGATGTCGTTGATGCCACTGATCATGAAGTCAACGATTGGGAAACGGAACCATTCATAATGACAGCCAGAGATGGGAACTTATATGCACGTGGTGTTAGCGACAATAAAGGACCTACTCTAGCTTCCATCTATGCAGTGGCTGAACTTTATCACATGCAGGAATTAAGTTGTGATGTCGTGTTTATAGTTGAGGGAGAGGAAGAATGTGGATCAATTGGGTTCCAGCAGGTTATAAATGAACATAAGCTGTTGATTGGTGATATTGATTGGATCATGTTATCTAATTCATATTGGTTAGATGATAATACACCCTGTTTGAACTACGGATTAAGAGGAGTTATTAATGCTTCGGTTGTGATTAGATCTGATAAACCAGATCGTCATTCAGGAGTGGATGGTGGTGTATCTCGTGAACCAGTTATGGATTTGATGCATGTGTTAGGACAATTAATGGATCCTGCCACTAATAGAATCCAATTGGCTAATTTTTATGACGATATATTACCCATGACAAAAGAAGAACTGAAATTATATGAAAATCTTCAAACTTATATCGATACTGATATTTGTACCTTAATGAAGAAATGGAGGGAGCCTTCTTTGACAATTCATAAAATCCAAGTATCGGGTCCAAATAACAATACGGTTATTCCACAATCTGTAGAAGCAACAATTTCAATTCGTATCGTCCCAAACCAAGATCTTGCTACAATCAAAACCAAATTAATCGAGAAATTGACAGAAACTTTCAACCAATTAAGGTCGGAAAATCACCTCTCAGTTAATATTTTCCACGAAGCAGAACCTTGGTTGGGAGATAATAAGAATAAGGTATATTCCATGCTTTATGAGAAGGTAAAAACTCATTGGAATCAAGAGCCGTTGTTCATAAGAGAAGGTGGATCGATTCCATCGGTTAGATTCTTGGAGAAATGTTTTGATGCTCCTGCTGCACAAGTACCTTGTGGACAATCGAGTGACAATGCTCATTTGAATGATGAGAAGTTGAGAATCATCAATTTGTATAAGTTGAGATCGATCTTGACTGATACATTCAAAGAATTGGGGAATTAAGAGAATAGACATATTGCATTCTTTTTAGCATGACCTTTATTGTTTATTTATATAACATTATTTAGCGAACTATTAATTTATAAAACATAGAATTGACAATCACATTGGCACATTAGGCATCTCTTATCCAGCGTCCCACTGGTGATACACATTGGATGTGTCCTTGACCGTTGCATTGTTACTCTCATATTCTTGCCCTCCGTTTTTTCCATTGTGATTGGTCGCAATGCGTTGTCAGCTAAACTTTGTTTTGCAACCAAAGTTTATTCGTCCTATTCACATCCATAAATTTAAATCTATTAAAAAATACAAACAACAAACTAAACTAAACTAAACCAATTAACAAGCTAGCTAACTAATAAATAATAATACTAATACTACTGATAAATCTACAACATTTATATAGTTACAAATGGAACTTCTTTTTTCTTCTTATTATGTGAACATCGATTAAGATAACAAAAGCGATTTAATTGCCTCAGTGAAATCAATCTATTGATATCATCAATTGAATGAATACTATCCCTACTATCATCATCATTCTCATCTTCATGAATTTCATCCAAATCGGCAAAATTTACAAAATGGTAATCTCGTTCATACCAAATCCATGAATAATTTCTATATTTTCTAGTGTAAAAACCATCATGCGAACTTTGTTCAGACATGGAAGAATTATCGGTGGTAGAAGGTGAAGGTAATGATCTTTGGTTAGTTTCACGGGATTCATTTAATCGTGATATGATGGTTAATACATCTAGACAGTGAATTTTATTTTCGTGGATCAATTTCATATGATGGTAGCTTCTATCATCAGATTTACTGGTGACTGGGAAGTTTGTAAATATCGTTGATTTTGAATTTGGAATACAACAGAATTCAGCTAAATTCATCAATTCGGGATCAAAACAGAATATAGTATCAAACTGTTCTTCAAATTCACGAAAATTAAACTTCTTGGAGTCATTATCCATAAATACCACCGAAGTTTGTGGAATATGGAAATAATTTAAAACAATCAAGATTTCATTGATTTGCTTCTTCTTGTCGTTCAAAATTATCATTATTTTTCGATTCGATTTCTTAATACTTTCATGCATCGTCATTATTTGAATATAAAATGGCATAATTATATCCCATATAAAGCAAACATCATGCAAGCTCACATTATTCGGAATTGGAATCACTAATTGAAAAGGCACACTTATACAATCTTGCATTCCTCCATCTATATCTCTTCCATACATTATTTCACAATTACAATCCTTATTCGAGTGAAGGTTCTCCAACTCGCAGGTAGAATAGGGATATACTAAATATTTACGACCTTTTCTGATTTTGAATAATTCAGATAATCCACTTGGGCAGTATTCAATCTTACCGATTATACTCCTACCTGGTACTACTGGTCTTAAGGCTTCTTGATGGAAATCTTGAGTATACGTAATCCCAGTCATTTTAATCTTGATGGTTAATCGTTTTGAATTTTGTTCGGTATCGCTAATATCTTTGGGAAATACGTATATCTGTTTCATTTTATTGGTATGGGGATCATATAGTCGCTTAATGGGTAACAGAGCATTATTTACAGAAATCATTTCCTGTTCCGAATTCATTGTAAAGGGTGGTGCAAAAGATACTTTCGAATAATATCTTGACTGTTTTAAGGGTGTTATTAAAAAATCAGGACAGGGTTGACCTTAAATATATCCCTGCATCGGGATACGACTCGAGAAATAGGTGTAGCCCCTTCAATCTCCCTGCCCCCGTTTTACTAGAAAATTTTTCGAACTACGAGGAAGATAGGAAATATTTTTTAAGCAAAGGGTTCCATTCATGCATGCGTTATGCATGAACAAAATTTAGAGAGCAAGATAGTAAAAAAAAATTGCACAGAAGAATCTTTCTCTTTCGGTTCCCTCTGAAATCTCCTTTCAATCTAGCATTGAAGTACATAACCGAATCTAATAGACCCCTTTGGACCTACGTATCCTTATTTATTTCTTGGAATTAACCTATTTAGGAGCCCCGGATATTGGGTGTTTTGGCGGGTTTAAAATTTAGATTTTAAAGTTTTGGTATTTTTTAGCCGATCGATTGAGAGTGAAAAAATAATTTTGATCCGTTTTGAAACACAACGTAAACATATGTATCAATGTTTCTGACAAGCATGCATACCAATGAAGCCCCGGTCGAGGGAGTCTGGCTCATATCCCTGTGCTTGATTAATTATAAATTTAAGAGAGTAATTCTAATGGGTCTTATATAACTTGTTGAAGTGTTCAAGGGTTTTGAAAAGGAATCGTAGAAACCAAGGAGGTTTTGTGTAATTCAATTATTTATCCCAATTAGGAAGGACTAAAACAACTCCTCAACTTTATCTATTGTCTTGAGGGAAATAGTTTCCAGGTGTCAATTCACGACACAAAATTTGACGACGTGAAGTATTTAGTAGAGACGTTAACTTAGATCATGCCTATTGTTGCTTTAGTGATCCATAAATGTGGCAGCATGTGACATACGTGTGCTTGGTGCATGTCAATTTTTTTTATGTCGCCGTAAGGAGGGCAATCTACAAGGGTCTGATTGGAGGGCTTAATGTATGCTTATAGGTATTCATTTAGAGCCGCATACGATACACATTGTTACACATACTTACACGATTAATAGTACATGTGTACTTGTGACTAACATTGTTTCAAGTGAAAAATCGTGCTATTAGTATAGTATGATTGAAATTAGCATTATTTTTCACTTTCTGGTGAAATCGCCTGGAAGTATAATCACATAATACGTGTATTATTAACTCATATAAAAGAAATCATACTACTACATACACCACCCCTTTCCTAGCAAAAATCATAAATAACCCCATTCCACTCATTCTACGTACTCACTTTTTGTTGTTGTTCTTGATCAAGCTTTTTCTTGGTCTTCTTCTTGTTTTCCTCTTCCACCTGTTTCTTCTTCCTTTCTTCTTCATCAATAATAGACAATCTCAATGCTTCAGCAAGCATGCTCTCTTCAATAGATCGAAGACTAGTTCCACCACCCTGACTCGGGGAGCCAGAAGTATTCGCCCTTCTTCTTCCCGCTGCAAGACGACGATACATGTCGCTATTATCTCCATTACCACTACTATTGTTAATTGTACTATTACTATCCAGAATAAGTAAATTTGAAGCATGGATCGCACTTGCAGCCGCAGCCTTGCGGGCTAATCTATTCCTGGCTGATAATAGATTTGTTTCCCAATCAGGACGAATCATATCAACTGTGATGACACCAGGGGCATTGGCGGCGATTGATCCTCTTCGTTTTCTAGTTTTGGGTCTGGGTGTGACTGGAGGTGAATTATTATTTTTCTTACTTGGAGAAGAGGGGTTGTTATTAGTGGCTGATTCTTCTTCTATATCTTGATCATTTACCACATCTAATGATTTTCGTAATTTGTAATCACCAGGTTTTGTCCCACCAATTCCGGTTCTTATATCTGATGGAGGATCATATGTGATTCCAAAATCTGGCATGGCACAATATGGACAACTTGCAGGCTCGGAGATTAAAGTTTGAGGTAATTCATTCTTATTTGCTTCATTGGATTGCTGTTCATCATGAGGAGGATGAGGATCTAGTCGTTTGATTTGAACAAAGCATTCAGTACAAATGGGTTGTAAACAACATCTAGATACATTTAAATGACTTGGATAATATAAGAAACAAATTGGACATTCAGCAGGTTCACGATATAATCGTAATAATAAATCCCTACTTGGATAATCTTTACTAGTTTTCCTTTCTTCTAAATATCTTTGTTCTTCCAACGCTTGTAAATCTTTAACTCTTTCAATCAAAGCCTTTAATTTTTCTTTACTTTCTTGTCGTTTATAAAAGTTTGCCGATTTATGAATCTTATGATCATCCAAATCATCCTCTTCTTCTTCATCACTAAAACCAGGTTCTAATGCATGTAATGGTAATTGAGACAATATGATACATAATTCATCATCAGTCCAACTTTCATCAAAATCTTGTAATGGAGTGAGAAAAGGTGACATCCGACCATCGATTATCAATTTCCGAACAATATCACAATTATAATCAAGATTTGATTTATAGGTTCCATAAGGGGCCAAATATCCTCCATCAACATTTTCATCATATTTGACAATTAATTGCATATAATGAGTTTCTTGAGCCATTTCTCGTTCTTGATGTCTTTTATATCTTCGTAATTCGGCAGAAGCGGAACGTTTATGGTTGGTGGTTAGATTATAGGAGATTGTATTTCTTCTTTGTTGTTGACGAGCTTGCTGCTGTTGAGGAGGGGATCGGGATGTACTTGATAGGTTAGTGTATGAACCTGATGAAGGTATACCGGATACTGTGGATGACGTAGAACTTGATCTACTTCTTGATTCCTTCGCTGGTACGTTTCCCATCGTTAATGTATTCTGTAATGGATATATAGATTAGATTGCTGGTTTTTTATGGATGTGCCACCGCCCTTATCTATCAAATTGGAAACACCAAAAAAAAAAATGAATTGGTTTTCAAACGACTATCAGGAAATCGTGGGGAGAGGGACAAATGGTAATTGGTCGTATCTGTGAGATAATAAAAGCAGGCAGTACTTCTCTATCAATAATAGTAAAGGTTTAACTAAGGTCTTCTTCTTCCTCTTTATAGAAATCAAATGAAATTTCTATTTGAAAAAGATATGAAAAAGGTTTAAGGTGAAATAGGAATGGTGGTAGTGGTGTGTGAATAATTATTAATCTTTAATTTTCTCCTATTTTTTTTTGTTGCTGTTTGGGTGCCAAATGATGAAACTCTTTGCCTCTTTTAGGAANTTTAATTTTCTCCTATTTTTTTTTGTTGCTGTTTGGGTGCCAAATGATGAAACTCTTTGCCTCTTTTAGGAATTGTAATTGAAATAAATTTTTACGCTAAAATTTCGCACTTAGCAAATTTCGGATTTCAATGTCGAGTTTCCGGGGAGAGAGGACTTACAACCAATTAGAGAATAGATAGTTAATAATCACTTAAAGGACCGAGTAGAGAGAAGCAATCACCATTTTATAAACTAATGAGAAAGTTGCGAATTATAGAAGAATGGAAAACAATCGTNTAAAGGACCGAGTAGAGAGAAGCAATCACCATTTTATAAACTAATGAGAAAGTTGGAAGAATGGAAAACAATCGTTGCAATGTAATGTCAATTTGCTTGTGTGGCTCGGGGCTCGTTTCGATTGAAAATTCAAAATTGCTCAAGAACAGCCGAGGAACATCTATCATTTCATATTTTTTAGTGACTTATGCAAGGTTGTAACACACAATCATACAGATCTTAAACCCCAGATTATCTCCAATGTTTCTAGTTGCCCGCCTCTCGTCAAAAGCAAGGTAGTAAAGTGCTTTATCGTTTCCTCAGTACAGAGCCGAATCGATCTGTGTCGGTAGACGAAAAAAAATGGCTGGTTAATTAATTAAATTGAAAATATGATACAAACCTCAAACAATACTGAAAAATTAATTTTCTCTGCGAGCTTTTCAATTAATTCGTATAAACGAATGTCTATATAGCTAGGCTTAGTAACAAAGGATCCCCAACACTCGGTAGATGGACCTTCTTTGTAATTTACGAAGCAAACCCTTATAGATATTCACTAATTCTCAAGCGACTTCAGAGGGCTTGCTTCAGTGGACCCTTTTTCTTTCTTAGAAATCCATAATTTGACAGTCTTACATGAGTTATGAACCCTTCCCAATATCGTGCTGGATGTACCCTTTGAAAGTCCATGACTCAGATCAATACTACAAACATTACAAACTACAAAGATCAAGATTAAAATAAACCATTTTTATTTTCTTCTTCTAATAAACCCCAAATAAATAATCATAATTCTAAATAGTGTGTAGGTATAAAAAAATATTACATAGTTAAAACATCAGCCATTTTTAATACAAGAATCAGTCGTCATCATCATCATCATTATTATAATCATACATTCTACCTCATACTTCCTCAAATTCGACCCCTAGTTTACAGAAACTGCATTCGAACGCTTTGGTCTCTGCGGTTGTTGTTGGCTCGAAAACATCCTTCTAATCCAACCTTTAAACAGTCTCGACGACTTAATTACTTTAACATTATTCTCATTTTGTCCAACGCCAGCACTCATCTGAGGCTTAGTTTTAGTTTGAGATTCTTCTGGTTGTTTTTGTGGCTGTTCCTGTGGTTGTTGTGGCTTGGTGGATACATTATCAACACAACTACTTGACGAACCCGCTACTGAACAAATTGATACTCGTGTATGATCAGCCAAAAACGCTTTGTTAATAGTTGTTGTCAGATTGTTGATATGATGCTTAGTATTATCAATGGGATGCTTGGCATCGTCTAATTTTAAATCAATAGTCGAGGTTGAAATTTTAGCGGGATGGGTTTCTTGTGAAAAGCTTATATGCGGGGAATGACTATCTGGTGAAGTCAGAGTAGTCAGCGGATAATGAGTTTTGGAAATCACGCTATTGGTTGTATATGATATTGGAGAAATTGAAGGTTCTGGATGTTCTTGTTCTTCTTCTTGTTGTTGATGTTGCTGTACGATTGGTGAATTTGGTTGTTCTTCATTTTCATTAATGATATTATCTGGCAGATATAATGATGAGCCTAAAAATTCAACCGAGCTATTGATGGCTGATTTCATATTTTCTAATCTATCTCGAGAATGAGTTAAGTCTGTGTCTACTGATAGTTGAGGTCTAGTAGGGGATATGGGTGATGATTCTTCTTGCTCATTTGGTGCTTGTAGTTGTTCCTTCTTTTCTTCTTGTTTTCGTTCTTCTTCATCGTCAAAGATTTCTTCGAATACACCTTCATGTATGGTTTCAGTACCTGGTTGTGTTCTTTCTATTATTGAATCTAATGTTATAACTTCTGCATCTGGTTCATCTTCCATTTCTGAATCAGTATCAGCAAAATCATCAACAGTTGTAACTTTTGGATTTGGTTGAGTTGCTTTTGCAAATAAATAATTTTGTTGAAAATAAACACTTTGTATTGACAGTGGAGTCTGGACTGGTAAATCACATTTTTCACTAGTTAAGGAAGACTTTGAGCGGGAAAACAAAGGTCGAAGACTGAAATGTTTCCCATTTGTGTTTGAATTTGTGTTTGATGTTTCACTATTACATGAGTTGATTGAAACTTTTTTACTAAGACGTACTGAATCTTGCTGCTGTACTGGGCTGTGGTGGAAGTCTTTTTCTTCATAATATGCTGCAGATGATAGCCTTCTGAAAAAATTTAATCTTGATGATCTTTTGGAAGATGGAGATCCAACATGGAAACTATTATCTGACATCTTTTGATATTCTGTATCTTCACAACTATTTCGCAGAATGAATGAAAATGGTCTTGCATTGGTTGTTAAATTTCTTTCTGGGGTTAACAGACGGGAACTATCTGTATCTATATCTCCACCTTTCATTTCTCGTATCGAATGTAACTCTTCTTATGAAATTAAAAAAAATAGACGAAAGATCAGTAAAAACTTGATTGGAAATGAATGAAAAAAAATTTGCTTGGGATCTAATTTAATTTGATTCTTTTCAAACGTTTGTTGAATATTCTCGTCTACTTGACTTGCTCTTCTCTATTCGCTTTCCTTCTGGTAAAAGTGTAAGTGATGTAATGAAGGGTTCTTGTGCTGGTTTAATATATAAAAAAAACAAGTCACAAAAGCCTTTATATACACGCGCGTATTTGTGCGACCCAAAAAATAAAGAATAGACACAAATTGGGAATTATTTTATGACTTCGATTGTCTGATTGTTATAAATAGATGAATTAAAAAGTTTTCAATGGGAATTGTTATAAATGGCTGTTGATTCTTATTAAAAACTTATTCTTCTTCTTCTTCTTCTTGTTCTTGTTGTTGTTGTATTTATAAATTTCATTAAAATAAAAACTTGGGGAGGATAATGAAAGGGTTTTTATTAAATTTTAAATCTAAATTAAATTTAAAAGAATGAAGTGGTGACAAAAAAAACTTTAATTAAACTTGCATAACTACATATACTGTAATGTACTGTAAAAAAAAAAATAATATTTCGTTTATTACTCATTTAAGAAAAAGTAAAAACTTTATTTTTGTCGCCTGAAGTACGCCTCTTGTTACAAGCAATGCTAAAAATACATTTCCATTGTGTGTAGAAACAAGAAAATCACACACAAAATCTATTTGTTTCCAAATTTAGAAACAAGCCTACTTAGAATTTGTTCTTTGTTCTAGTACAATTTAATTCTAAAACAATAGAAAAAATACTCATTCAGAGTCTAGATTCATCGATTCTGATCCCAGATTGATCGATTGATCTTAACATTCTGATTTACGAACTACCAATTACCTACCAATATGAAACATATGAATCTATCAACAACTCCAAGAAAAAAAAATCTGTGATCTGAAGTTAATTAAACCGTTTCCAATTCAATTTAATGTATAATTTAAGTCTCCTGTCTTGACAACATGCGGGACAAAGCAACTTTCTATTCACTTGACAACAAAATATCTTAAATATTGCGTGACCATACTGAATTTATATTTTATTCTAATTAGTCACCGTTTTATCTTATACATATATTGATTTGAATGGATGTTAAGGTGAAATATAACTCCGGTTAGCGTAATCGCAGTTATACCATTGAATACCCCTCCATTCCAAATATTTTGAATTTTTAGATATTAGTAATGTCATTTCTTGTGTGACCCTTTTCACTTTTCTTAACTTTGAGCCTTGTTTTCTTGAATTAGAAGTTTTTGTTCTAGATTGGGTTAACATACTGATGCAAATATAAAGCAATTAATTTAGATTCGCTACAGATGTCAATATTTTAAGGTATTAAGCTTTTGCATTTAAATAAAATAAAGTGAAACAAAAATAAAACGAAACTATACACGAACACTAAAAACGTGATGATAATAAAAATGAAATTTTACAAAAAGTATGATTCCAGTAGGAGAAGTAACTCTGGGGTATATGTCTCTGACTACGTGCAATAATCAATTACGAGTTTTACCCAAATTGTAGTAGTCATTTCCTAACAAACTCTAAAAGAAGTGAATAACCTCTGTCATCTAGTAAAGATCTCTTCTTCTTCTTCTCCTTACCTTTCTACAAACAACATTACCATTACCAGCATTACCAGTTGAACCAGTAACAGTTGAACCAGTAATAGTAGTACCAGTACCAGTTCCAGCACCAGTACCACTTCCAGAACCAGTTCCTGAAGGAGTAGTACCTGAACAAGTACCAGCAAATGCAGCAAATGAATTAGTAATAACAGTTTGTACAGTACTCATATTAACTAAACTTTGGAATAATTGTTCAGCTAATCCTGATTGTTTCAAAGCATTTAATAAACTAGAAAGATTAATTAAGTTATTAGCTAACATTGCTTTAACTAAATTAATTGCAAATGGAATATAACTAGTATCAGTTAAAATACTTTTAACCACACTAGTTGCCAATCCTGAACTATAAAGAGATTCCAATAAATTAACAACAACATCTTCAGTATCTCTCTTCTCCATTGCGGCATCATCAAATACAAATTCATTTAATGCACCTTTGTCATCTCTAGTAATTAAACTAGTAACACCGGATAAAATTGCATCTTTGATTTTATCGACCATATCAGCAATAATTGGTTTAGCAATATTGAATAAGTCAACATATAAAGAACAATCAGAAATTAAATCATGAATAACATTGGTAGCCAAATTAGATTCAGTAACAACTTGAAGAACAGTTTCTAAAGGAATTAATCCTAATTTAGATACAGTAATTACTCCATTAATAATAATTGGTTGGAAGGTTGGATTAGTAACGAAATATTGTAAAACAGCTGGAGCCAATTGGGAATTATTAACAGCTGCTAAAACTTCAGTTACGATTTGATATTCTCTCTTGGCGAGTTCATTGCTATCTTGGAAATCATTACGTTTGACTTTGAATTCATTAATGGTGTTGATTAAGTCAGTAATTGATTCTTCTTGTCTTTTGGTTAATTCAAAAGAGTTTGAAGCTTGGATTTCGGATGGCAAGGATTGGGCAGCGGTGAAGGTAGCTAAGATAGCTAATAATGTAGTATGAGATAACTTCATGGTGGTAACGAACGGACTTGTTGACAGATGATAGATGTAAAAAAAGAAAAGAAGTTTTAAAAGTTTTTGAAGATGGGCTTAAGCCATCACCTATATATAATTAGTATATTTATCTAGTAGGAGTTCAATGAATATGTATGAATTGAATATTGATACCGTCTATGGTTATAATCAATACTAACAAATTTCTGTAAATGGATAAAACTTTTGGTTTTTGCAACTTTTTTGTTGCAGCCCTATTTCCCAATAAGGGAATTTGCCTAAAACAGAAAGTTTTTTTCCCAATTTTGAAATTGCAAAATCTGTGCGATTTGTACGAGTAGTCGACAAGGCTGCCAACAACATAGGTGTGATAACGATGGTTTGGAGATCTACAAGAGAATATAAGCCAAAGGTAAGTGTTTGTAAAGAGATGACTATTTGGATTGACCAAATTATAATAAAGAAAAAATTACTTCTACAAAGATAGCTTGGTATAAACACTCAATAGTCAGTCATCTATCTTCTCACTACAATTCTCTACAATATCAATTAACCATTGTAATATTTCAAACTGATTTTTCTTGTCGTTTTATACTACTTAGGTAACTATATTATACATACATATTGTTCAGGTGAATTATCGAAACAATTCGTCTTCTATAATTCTCTCAACCTCGCGTATTGTTTTCACACACCACAAAACACGATTTGGTCCAAATTCAAAACAAACGCAACAACATCTCCCATTGTTTTTCCAACTTATTTCTTTTGAAAAAAACTCATAAGCGAAGCTTGTGCTTTTTTCTTTCCATGTGATGATCCACCCTTACCAACGCCTCCCGAAGTTGGGGTAGTTGCTCTTTGTCTTTTATTTGCACCACCAGCAGCATTTGGTTTAGTTGCAGGTCTCCCTTTTCTGACTGTTGTGATGTAACCGTCGTCATCTATTTTCTTCTCCATTGTTTCCTGTTCTTCTTCTTCCACTTGCAGTTGGTCTTCTTCCTCGATTGGGATTGATTCAGGTTCGATATCTGCAACTATAGGAGATGTTTCTTTGTGTGGTTCGGGTTCTGAATCTTCAGAAATCAAAATTGGTTGTTCTTTTTCCTTTTCGGGCTCGGGGGTTTCCATAGCTACATCATTGTCGTTATCATCGTCGCTAAAATCCGATTCGAAGAGTTTTTCAAGCGCGGATGTGTTGATTTTAGTTTGACGCGATCCCGATTCTGGCTCGTGGTCTTCATCTTTGTCATTCACGTTGTCAGCATCGTCATGATCAGCAAATATGACTCGTTCCCTTGGTTCATTAGCCGTTTTCTTTCTCGATTTATATTCAAATTGTTGTTTAGCGGGTTCTGTAGCTGCTCTTTTTCTAGGGGGAGATGTTTTTTCAGGCTCGGATTTACGGGAGGTATAATTTGACATTAAGGTCTTTGTCCTAGCCGCTGGCTGTTCTTCCTGTTGTTGTTGTTTTCTTGATACATATGACGAAGATGTGGTTGCAGGTTTCGTCGTTGTGGCTGTCGCGGCTAATTTGGTTTCGGTTGTTCTTCTTTTAGCTACTGGTGCTGGGGCAACTGGTGATGATGGGATGTTTTTGGTAACCTTAACATCTTTGATTGTTATGGGTGGTCCTGCAATCATTCCATTTCTTTCATATTCTTTGATTTTGGTATGATCACTTGCGAATCTCTTTTCTTCTAATGCAATGTCACTATAGGTAAATTTTAACACCTTTGAATTGATACAATAGATATGAATTGTAAGTATGGTTTCGAATTTTTGCATATCGTTTTCCAATGTAGATTCATCTTCTGATAATTTAATCAATCTATCCCCAGATGGTGTAATCCCGGTGATCAAGAAAGATGCAGTTAATTTGTCAGCATTCTTTTGATAATATTCATACAAAATTAATTTGGCTTGATTTATCGGTATACTCAAAGCACGTGAGAATTTATGATACGTAACTGGTCTTTCATTTTGGATTATTTCATTGGCTAGATATTCTACTTCTCTTTGAGATGAACTCATCGTCATATCCTTGTTAGTTCTTAGTCTGAATTTGACAGCAATATTTCTACAAAGAAGAGATTTCAGATTTTTTTTATTTTTCCGTGATTATTACATTTTCCAATTACGCGTAACAAAGGAATTACAAATCGCGTCTACAGGAATATACAGAGGAAAGCTAAGGACAATAAAAGATTAAAGAATAAGTTTTATAAGTATTATTAATATTGTACATAAACAACGATAAAATTCTATATATAATTATATCAAAATCCAAAGGTATTTAAAAAGTTATAATATTTTATTTTAATGTTTTGAAAAAAGAACTGAAAACCAATCAACAACTATCACTGTATTTAAAGCTCATCTTTTGCTACACCTCCACCTGCTTTCAATGCTAAAAATTCTTTACGCATTTGTTCTCTCTTTTCAAGACTACCATTTAATGGACCTTGAATCATTTCATCAGTAACACCATTACTAATTAAAGTTCTCCAGGTTCTTACATTATCAAATCCATTTCTAGCATACTGATAATCCATAATTGCTTTTTGGATACCTTCATTGGTAGCAGCTACAAATGGACCATATTGAACAACATCTTGATCTAATTTCTTACCACCAACCAAGACAAATTGAACTTCAGTTTCCTCATTGTCTTCAGTGGCAGTATTCTTACCGGTAATATAACCGCCTTCTTCTTCAAAGAAGACATTTTGATATTGATCAATCTTAGTGTCATTATTCAAGACTAAATTCTTACCGTTTAAAACATATAAGAAATAGTTAAATCCTTCTTGTAATTCTTGTTTGAAAGAACCACCGGCTTTAACTCTATAATAATAATAATTAACTGGAGTATAAGCCAATTCTTTAACTGATTCAACTCCGTGACTAGTTCCAGAAATAACCTTAATGGTAACTCTATCATTATCAGTCACAACTTCTGGAATCTCCCAAGCTCTTAAATCTCTATATCTTGGTTCGACATCTTTCAAATGATTTGGTAAATCGACCCATAATTGTAAACCAACAGTTGGAGATCCATCCTTATTAGGAACTGGCATTTCTGAATGTACAACCCCTCTACCAGCAGTCATGAATTGTAAATCACCAGGATAAAGAATCCCCTTTGAACCAGTGAAATCTTCATGAGCAATAGCACCGTGTAAAATTAATGTAATTGTCTCTTGTCCTCTATGAGGATGTTCTGGGAATCCATTGGTACCTGCACTTGAGAAATGATCAAACATTAAGAATGGATTGTATTTACGTTGGTTGATAACACCAATTGATCTTCTAACGGTAGCTCCGACACCTTCGGCTTGTTGTCTAGCAGTGACTATCTTCGCAATTGATCTAGCGGCCATTTTGTTATTGTTTGTAAGTTTTTTGTTGTTTGAGTTAATGATGTTGGTTTTTGATAAAACTACTATTGGGAATACAAAAATTACAATCCAGATTGAAAATGGTGGAAAGTTCATATATTTATACTTTGTCAAGTCAATCCTTCTAGAAGGTTGTGGATTTTATGGGTTTAGTGATTTGTAATTAGAAAGAATCACTAAAAAATTGTAATATTTTTACATAAGGATTATCAATGTTACTTATATTATTGGATTAGATGTCAGTTACTAAATCTTTACTAAATTAAAATAAAAAAGGAAGTTTATTTTTTACGTCATCTTCGGAGATTCAACAAATCTAAAAAATTTAAATTTACAAATTTATTACTAAATCCGATCACGTGATATAAAATCCTAATTTCTTTATCCGATGGCTTAAGCAGATAGTTAGTATCACCGCCGTTTAAGAACAATCATTAGTCAGAACACTAGAATATTCTCTTATTTTCTTAGCTAATTCTACAAAAACTCTGATTGTATGTTCATTCTATCTATTGTTTCTTTTTGCGGTCAAGGAATTATTGGTGATCTCATTTTACAAGTCCTATCATAAAGTGGAACCAAATGATCATTTGGACCATATTTGATTGTTTAGACGATCTGTCAACAAATAAGTATGCTTTGGTAACATGTCAGTCATGTCAAAAAAAAGTACTATGATGCTCACACAGAGGTTTCAGTCTTTCCTTTGTAAGTTTTACTAAGGCTTTCTGAGAGTTTTTTTTTGCAACGATTTGAATTTAATGGCTGCAATTATTTACAATGAATTCATTTACAAGACGGGGGTACAAGAAGAATTTTAGAACGAATTTATATTTCTTTAACTAGCTCATACTTCTTTGTTATAACTACGCTAACGATTCAAGGCGTTGTGGTTTTTCTAAACTATTATCTCTTTCTTGCAAAGGTGTAGACAGTGTCCCAAATGACTTCAACAACAGTGTTATCATCCCAACCCATAGCTTGCTTAATCTCTTCAGTGAATTTTTCCGCAATATCATATTTATCACCATGTTCATCCATCCAATTATGATATGCACTCCAACTCTTAACATAATTCAAAAACCACTTCATTGTGATTTTCTTTGATATAAACAACGGTGTCTTTGTAACAAATGGATCTTCTGAACTTGTTGGCACACCATCCCTATCACTGACGTATTCATGTCGTGTAATGTCGTAAAACTTATCAGCTGGTACTTCGATCTCTTTCATTAATGTTCTTAAGTAATCATGTCCTGGTTGTTGATAATAAGGACCCATATATCTTTCGAAATCATCATTTGGGTTAACATCATATGAAGAATTATATGTATAATTAGTATAAATTTCATTTGCTTTTGGATAACCGACAAATACAGGATCTTTATAAAACCAATACCCTAAAGTCCCATTTGGTTTCAAAACTCGATAAGACTCTTGGAAGAACCTTTCGTGGTTCACCCAATGACAGCACTCTCCACCAGTGATTAAATCAACTGAATTCGATTCAATTTTGGGTGGATGCTGTTCACCAGTCCCAATCAAAAACTCAATTCTTTTCTGTTCAGTTTCAGAAGTGCTATTCTTACATTGAGTAATCATGGTGGTTGATGGATCGGTTCCAATTACATGTTTGAAATAGTCCAATAATTTAAATGCAACAAATCCTGATCCACATCCAATATCAACAGCAAGTTGATTATCACCCTTCTGCGAATGATATTTCATCAATGCTTGATAATACTGTTCCGGATAGTTTGGTCTGGAGTCGTCATAGTGTTGACTGTTAAAGTTATGAGCTGAATAAGTTGCCATTTTGTCTTTGTTATGTAAGTTAGATGACTATTTCTCCTTTGTTGCAAATTTGGGTTCGTCTTATATAATGGTGTGATTATTTTTAGTAGCATTAATTCTGGCCGGTACCGGCGCCTCGCTATTTTTCAGCTCCAAAATGTTTCAGCCACCATCTAAGAGACCTTGGACTCCACACAAGAGATGACGTATTGAAGATCCCAATGCTTTGTCTCATTACGAAACCTGGAGATGTTTTAGTTTGTTACAAACTTTATTTTTTATTCAGAAGGTTGTTGACATGAGAAAAGTTTGGTTATGATTCATGCTTGGCTTGGCAGAAGTAGCGCGCCTGTTCTTAAATCTTCAGAATTTCGCACTGGCAAGAACACTCATCTCAATATCTATCAACCTTTCTTTCAAACACAATGAGCGAATCAAAAAACAAGGAAGAGTCAAATGATATTGATGCCTCGTCGTTCGCTAGTATACTTGCTGGGGTCAAGCGAATGCGTGAAGAATATGGAGGTGATGATCAGACTACTGAAACTCAACCTCCATCTTCCAGTATAGATCAACCACCTCCAGCAACAATCGAAACGCGTCCACCCCATCCTCCACAGCCAGTCTTCCCATTAGTACAAAGTCAGCCAGCAAAATCAGCAATCAGCAGCACTAGGACAACTTTAATGGAAAGCACTGCAGAACCAATACGGCCCAGTCAATCCCCGACACCACCCGCGGCAAGAGTTACAACTGAACCCGTTCGATCTTCAACTGGCCCAACCCAATCGCGTTCATTAGCTCCATCTGAAGTATTGGTTAATAAATCACAAACGGGGAATCCATTATTAAAAGATTCAATGATGAAATTCACCCCTCATAAGTTTGATTCAGAAATCTTATCTGATTATTATATCAGTCCCACATTTCAGATTCTATTCCTTTCACTAAAATATTATAAATTGAGACCGGAATATATATGGACCCGTCTAAAGAAACTAAATAAGGGTACGTCGGTACTGATTCTGAGTGGGAATCGAGCTGATAACGCGTTGAGGATATTATTGGTAGTGGTGGATATAGATTCACATCAAGAAGTGATTCGAAAATTACTGGATTTTTGCATCAAGCATGATTTATCAATGGTTTTAGCATGGTCATTTGAAGAGGCGGGTAATTATATTGCAATGGCCAAACAATTGGATAATGCACCTGCCAAGTCGCGTCAGAATATTAAGGGAGTTAGAGGGGTAAATTTTACTTCGAGTGTAGTGGAAGCGTTTACGGGGATTCGACTGGTGAATAAGACGGATGTTTCGAATATGATGGCGAATTGTAAGTCGGTGAAGAATATGGTGTTGGAGAGTTGTAGAGATGATTCTGAGAATGGTTTAGGGAATATACCTGGGTTTGGACCTAGTAAGTTAAAGAATCTAAGAAGTGTTTTCCTGGAACCATTCATATATAATAAGCAATATGAGGACTTAGAAGATGTTGCTGAGTAATGTCGTACTTTATGTCTATTATGTATTATCACGTAACGAATTATATTATTTATGATTTCTATTTTTGTTGCTCTTGCTTTTCCATTTCAATTACTTTCCTTCTTAAGATCATGTTAATACCATTCAACAATTCATTCTTTTGAACCAAGATATCTTTCAATTTCTTTGCATCTTCATCTAATTTCTTAATCTTAGCTTCATAAACCAATTTAGCATCTTTTGCTTCCTTTTCCACATAATAACCAGTACCAATATCAACTAAATATGAACTATCTTTTACTGCTTTACCTGGTATATACAAAGAACTAGTCAATGGTACTAATAATTGTTCAGATTTGGATTTTTCCATATTGTCCACACTTGATATACAATCTTTCAATTTGGATTGTGCGGTTTGTAAAGCTTGAAGGGATTGAGTGAAATGCGTTACTTCTTGGTCTATGTTTTTACGAAATTCAAGTAATTGTTGAGGAGCGAGTTGGTTCAAGTCAATCTTTGTCTGTTGTGCTGCCATTATGTGAGTTTGTTATAGGGAGGATGGATCAAGGATATGTGTGGTTGGAATTAACTATGAATATCTTGATGGACAATTTTTCAATCATATTTTTTTTGCTTAGTGAGATCTTTGATTCTTGTTGGTGAGATAACAGTAATGTCAGTACCGTAGACATACACAAATCTAAATAATGGGAGCCGACGGAGGAACTATCGCAAAGAGACAAGATATTTTATCACTCCATTCCAATCTGGTATCTTCTTTCAAGCAGAAAGGAGACGATAACGAAGAAACATTATTGAAAAGCTGTGCCATCTCATCGTTGCCGTTATATACAAAATCAAATGACCCTATAGTAGGTGATTATAAAGGTCGGTTATACCTCAAAGAGAAGATTATTGAGTATTTACTCGAGTCTAAAACTGATAAATCTAAAATAAGGCCTTCATTCAAATATGTAAAGTCCTTGAAAGACCTTTGTCCCGTATACATAAAATGGACCGAAACCGCGCAAGGAGAGCACAATATTGAATGTCCTATTACAAAAGAACTGAAGACTACTAAAGTGGAATATGTATATCTTCGACCTTGTGGCTGTGTAATGTCACATAAAGGACTAAAAGAGCTTAATAAGCATATCAAAATGGACTCGGGGCCCGTGGAGAGTAGATGTCCAACCTGTTCCAAAAAGTTTCATTTTGACTACGATGTTGTAATAATTAATCCCTTGAATAAGGAGGATATTGATTTGTACAATGAGAAGAATTATAGATACTTAAGGAATGAACTACGTTTGAGCCATTCGAGCATTCCTTTAAAGAAGGATAACAAAGCGAATGGTGTAGGAACCTCGAGCAAAAAGAGAAAGCAAGATCAAAAACCAGTAAATGATCTTGAAAAGAAACAAAAGACTAATCCAATTTTAGCATTAAAATAATAATCAATATATATTCCTCGATACTGTAAAAATACTATGTACAAGCGTATATGTATCCCGTTCTGACAAATGTTTAAATCTCTAAACAATCCCTTTATCCAATATATCAAAAAAGCCAAAACAAGCCCAGCTTACTTTTCTGTAGACGCTTCAGAAGCTTCACGAGTTTCATGATATTCTTCCTCATTGAATTTCAATTTATTCTTATTCCAAGGGGCATAATCGGAATTGGCATAGATATTGAAAATGATACCACCTCCACCTACGACACAAATACCGACTAATCCTAATACAGTCAATCTGTGGACGGCATCTGTGAGACGAACGTGCAATGGAAGTTGTCCTGATCTGTTGATTTTACTCATATTGTGTGTTGCTTGATTCTTCTTTGGGTTTATACGAAAGTTGTAGATTATTACAAATGAATGTTTTTTAGCCTTTGAAAATCATACAATGTAACAGAAAAAAAATTTCAAATTCCGTTAATGCAATTGGTAGTGCCGTATTACAGTTGAAATTGTAAATATCTGGTCAAAGAATCAACGTTTCCACTCAATTAAATTCTAAACAGAGAAGTTAAGTGTAAATGAGAGCGACCTGTGAGGAGTGCATGTTCTTAATCTGATCATATTGGTACACTGATTCTATTGAATACTATGATTTATCTAAAAATACATATTATATATTACTCGGCAAGTATTCCTCTTAAATCAAATACTTCAACCAACTGGCATTTATAATTCCACTTTCAACTAATGAAGGGTTGGCATATACCAATTCAGGCAACCAATAACTATTATATAACCTAAAAATATTCTCTTCAATAGAATTCTCACTATCATCCAAGACTTCATGTATAATATATTCCAAAATATCATGACTTGATTCATTTATTTGATTAAACATATCCAGTTTTTTCGTAACTCCCGAGCCATCGACTAATATTCCCTCAGCTACTCCAGCAATTGCATGATTGAACTTTTCTACATCTATATGACCAATTGGTAATTTATGATTTTCTACTGGATTAACAGAACTGATTGGATTTGGTTTTAAGGCTTCATAATTGGCAACATCAATATTAACAGCAAACTGCCTAGGTTGAATACCTCTAATAATGAATTTCTTCTTAGGTGCTTCATTGCTGCCTTCAGGAGCGGGTAAATTAACAACCATAGCTTCTGAACTTGGGAATGCACGAGTTACATTCTTGATAAAATCAACTGCAGGTAAAAGGGGTTTAAATTGTGGATTTGGTTCACCAGTTGGGGAATTCCAGATTTCTTGAAATTGCTTTTCATAAGCTTTCCATAAGGATATCTGAGTAACTTCACCTGGTGCAGCTGCATCTCCAGAAAAGCTTTCTGATGGGGATGAGACTACGAATGGTTCATAACAGCAACGCAACCAAGTGGTTGCTCTTAATGGTTCCGGAAATCTAATTATTAACTTGTATAAATCTTCAGTTAATTCAGGTAACGTAGATGGAACACCTGGGAATTCTGATCTTCTAGTTAAATTCAATTGAGGAATTGGTTTGATGTTGGAAGGATCGTTTAATGGTAAATTTGCAACAGTGAGTAAAGGCAATTGTTTTACTAATGTATGGAACGCTGTTCTAGATGTTTTCAATTGTAAAAGCTTTTGTAGTCTATATTTCTGAGAATCTTTGATTGAGGCAGAATAATCTGGATGTAATGCTTCAGAAAATAAATACATTTTAAGGAATTCTAATACTGCATTGTTGATTTCATTATCATTAATCAATAAATCATTAACAATATGTTCCAAATCTGAGTCTTTAAGTGAATTAATACAATTGTTTGTTATTTTCTCATCTACTTCTTCCTCTTCGACAACTTGATCTAAATGATGCTTTACCTCTTCATCATCATCTGAATTTACCTTTCTTTTTCTATCGCGAATAATCAATAAATGAGAAAGGCATTTAAGTATAGTTACGAATAATGTCTTATCCTGAGTGGCTAATAAAGTTTGTAATAAAACATGGAATAATGGATCATGTTTGGTATTATCAATATAGTAACAAGTTAAAGGTTCGAGCAAATCAATCAAAAAAGATAAAGCTTCCGAGAATTGACTATCATATTGTTTCAATTGGGGTATTTGGAAATTTGGTTGATAAAACCAATTTGATAAGAATTTTAATGCGTCAAGAACATTCTTTTTAAATGATTTTATTTGTGATAACCATTGTTGATTATGTAAATCTTGAGCCAGATTTCTTAAAGTCAATAATGAATCCAAACTAAAAGTCAATAAATCTTGAGTCACTTGTTCATATTTCTTTTCTCCAATTAATTGAAAAGGTTTATAAAAATATTTAATTAATTCACTCCCTAAGAAACTTGAATGTTCTAAATTAAAATTTGGATGTAATGAAATTCTTGATAATGAATTTAATGCCCATTTCACTTCAGAATCAATACCTGACTTTAATGACATGGTTATTCTTCCAACATCATCTATACCTCTATGATTATATCCTATTGGTGCAACATATCCATATCCATTATAAGCTTGTGATGCATAAACAGAAGTTCCAGTACCATCATTTGCTGCTGTGATAGTTCTAGAATTCCCTGTAACTGGTGCTAGTCCTGAAATACTCATACTAATGTCCCGTGATGTATAAGATATTTGTTTGTCCAGTAAACTAACTAGATTCCTTTATAGATAATTTTTCACTTCAATCAAATGGATTGTTTACCTTATGTTAACTTGTGTTGTAAAAATGAAGAATCTTTTTTTTGGTGGTTAAATATAGTTATAGAGGTCGTGTGAAACGAATCAAAAAAATGCCGAAGTCACATGACCCCACTTTTCTTTGCGCATACTTCATCTCTGGTACTTTCTACAAACCCATTCTTAAGTTATTTTTACAAATTGTAATACATACTATCTGTGTATCTATATATACTATGAATGAGATGCTCAAATGAAGAATTGAGATTAAGGAATGTCAGGATAAAGCTAGTAATCACGTTTTGACGACATTTCCGAGCGACATTAGTGAACGACATTCTTCCCGCTAATTCTAACCTTCCCTATCAGGTAACGCCCCCCTTTGTGGAGGAGCAAACCCCGTTTAATAGAGAACCAATTGTTTCAAGAAGTCCAACAAGTTATTGTTCATTCCTTCTTGCTCTTTTATATGTTCAATTGAATATATTTCACCCCAATGAAAGCTACAAAATTACTAGGTGGGTTGTTATTTGCTTGTGCAACCACAACCAATGCTGCCTCATTTCCTAATCAAAACCAAATTGTTCTTGAAAATAATGTTAACCAGATAGGCGATATCTTTGGCAGTATCTCTGAATTACCAAATGAAGTTCAATCAGTATGGCAAGAAATGAAAGAAACTTTGACTCCAAGTCAAATCATGAAATTGATTAAACAATACGAATCTAAATCATCGTCCTCATCATTCTCAAATTCTTTGAAATTCAACCCTGCTTCTACCAACCAGTTCGAAGCTTTGTCAAATGAGAAGTACTCCGATTATCGTTTACGTATCAAAAAGACTCATCCAGAAGTTCTCGGTCTTGATGTTGTTAATCAATATACTGGTTATTTAGATATCGAAAGTGTTGACAAGCATTTCTTTTATTGGTTCTTTGAAAGTAGAAATGATCCAGCTAAAGATCCAATCATCTTATGGTTGAATGGAGGGCCTGGTTGTTCTTCAAGCACTGGACTTTTCTTTGAATTGGGTCCTTCTTCAATTAATGCCACTTTACAACCAGTCTATAATCCATATTCCTGGAATTCTAATGCATCAGTTATTTTCTTGGATCAACCTGTTGGAGTTGGATATTCTTATACTGGTGGTGACCAGGTTAGAAATACTGCTACTGCGGCTAAAGATGTTTATGTGTTCCTTGAATTGTTCTTTCAAAAATTCCCTCAATTCACAAAGAATAAATTCCATATTGCTGGTGAATCTTATGCAGGTCACTATATTCCAAAATTCGCTTCGGAAATTTTAAGTAATAAAGATAGATCATTTGAATTAGCTTCAGTGTTGATTGGAAATGGTATTACTGATCCTTTAGTCCAATCGGCATCTTATAGACCAATGGGATGTGGTGAAGGTGGATATAAATCGGTGTTGACTGAAGATCAATGTCTTCAAATGGATAAAGATTATCCTAAATGTGCAAGATTAACTAAATTATGTTATAAATTCCCCAAAGCATTAACATGTGTTCCTGCTCAATTTTATTGTGATATTAAGTTATTTAAACCTTATCAAGATACAGGCTTAAATCCATACGATATTAGAAAGGCATGTGATGAAGAAGGTGGAAATTGTTATATTGAAATGAATTACATGGATGATTATTTAAATCTCGAATATGTTAAAGAAGCAGTTGGTGCCTCAAATATTGACATTTATACCTCGTGTGACGATAAAGTATTTAGAAATTTCATTTTGGATGGTGATGAAGCAAAACCACATCAGCAATATGTAGCTGAATTATTAGAAAAGGGTATTCCTGTATTGATTTATGCGGGAGATAAGGATTACATTTGTAATTGGGTCGGAAATTATGCCTGGGTAAATCGATTAGATTATTCAAAGGGGAAAAAGTTCGCCAAACAACCTACTCAACCATGGTATCCTCAAGGATCAAATAGCAAGGCAGGTGGGGAAGTTAAGAATTATAAAACATTTACATTTTTGAGAGTGTATGATGCAGGTCACATGGTTCCCCTTGATCAGCCGGAAAATGCATTAGCCATGGTTAATACTTGGATTCAAGGTGATTATAGTTTTGGCTATTAGTATCTATGCCAGATCGGGACATGTGTTTTCTTTTTTTGGATATAGAAGTATTATTAGAAAATATACTTTTTCTCATTGTGCTTATCGATTCTTGGATCTTTTGCCGAATAGATTGCATATATCGCGCATGCATATCAAATTGGCTTTGTTTATGTGTTTGTACTCGTCAAGGCTTACCAAATTGCAGCCGTTCTCTGATGATCAATGAGCGACAAATCTAAAATTCAGTTGTAAGTTGTATCATTCACTGGAAGATAACCTTCAGTTGAGAAGGAGATGTTAGGGTCCTTTCCATTGATATAGGAGGCGGAATTAATTATTTGCGCAAAGTAACAACTACCGGGTGTGCGTTGACTTGCTGCCAAAACTTTAATTTTCGGGTAATAGTCTAAATTAAAACATACGAGTTATAATGTGTGAGCCCCAGAAAATCGGAACAGTTTTCTGGCACGCATAGGCGGAAGAGTGATATCTGAAATTTCATCTTGGAAGATGGATACAGCACTACAGACCCACTTTTTGTCTATTGTCTACAGGAAGTCCCATTTCCGTCTGTCGTTGACTTTAGTGGTAGAACCACGCGCCGCGACACAATGTACCTATGTAACTTGACCCTAAGGCATTATACCTAGTGGCTTATCTCTGAAGACATTCGAACTCTCGGGAATCCATTCTAAGAGCTATATTTCTCCTAATTAATAAGAATTCTAGGATAAACATGATTGCTGATTTGATTAAACAACAACACGAACACGAAAAGTTGGAAAAAAAAGTTCACGGAGAAGATTTTAAGTTTTGCTTGGCACTCAATTGAAAATAAACAAACGTAATGGTCGGGGGTGATCAACTTTGCTAGATCTGCGCAGAACTGCAAGAACTTCAGAAAACTACTGAGCTCTACTCCATTAGGAAAGTAAACAAACGCGAAATCGTGCAAAAGATTATGTTGCAACTGCACGCTGAGAACGAAGTTGTCTCTAAATTGAAAGATCGCCTTTAATGTTCGCTTACACTAGTCGTCAACAACAACGAACAAGAACAATGACGAAGGTATCATGAAGTATGCTTAATAATCTTATCGCTCCGATTCGTGTTTTGTGTAAAATTAAACTTTACGGCTTGTTCATGTATTTTGTTTTGTGTTTGTTTTGATTTTTGATTTTTGATCAGTCGCCTAAAAATGCCAAGTACCTGATTTCATTTTAATTTTGATGGATTGCTTGTAACTATCCTTAGATGTACGTTTTCTAAAAGGTAAACAATGTGACAATTGACAATGGCAAGTCACGAATTCACAATTTACATTGTAATATTCCCCTCTCGTTTCAGTACTCCCAAAGATTTATATGAAATTCCTGGGGAGTCAATTGTAACTGTTACAGTAAGATCATGGTTAGGTGTACACTAAGCCTTTGCGAAAAGTTACATTAAAAATTGTAACCGAATTTCGTCTCTGCAGTTAAAAAATATTTTCTTGTTTGTTTTGGCGAAGAAAAAAAAATAATATTTGAGTCCTAATAATTTATTATTTTTTAACAACTTGCAAAATGTATCACAGAACGTTAAAATTCGTTACTTTCTTGGGTCCTCCTAATATGAACTGAGCTGACTTGAGTATATAAAAAGACTTGGGGATCTGCAGTTCCTTTCTTCTCTCTTTTTTTTTGTATTTCTGTTTTCTTCACTACAAACTAACTCCATACTTTCGTTAATATAAAATTTTAATTTTTAAACTATTACAATGCAATTCTCCAAGTACTTATTCGCTTCCGCTTTAGTTGCTACCGCTTCTGCTGCTTTCGCCAACGTTACCACCATTACTAAGGATATCACTATTACCGCCTACACCACTTACTGTCCATACCCAACCACCGTCACTCTTACTATCTGTGACGAGTACGACGTTTGTGCACCACAGACCATTGCCGTTGCCGAACCTACCACCTTAACTGTTTACGAAAAGTGTGTCGTTCCAACTTCATACACCACTGTCGACTATACTGTTACTGAAGTTATTCCTTGTCAAGAATGTGCTGGTGTACCAACTCGTGAAGTTGCACCACCTGTTGCGGAAGAAGTTGCACCACCTGTTGCAGAAGAAGTCGTTCCTCCATATGCTAACACTACATCTACTTATGCTCCAATTGCTCCAGAAGAACCTTACAGTGCTTATGAAGGTGCCGGTGCTAAATCATTTGTTGGTGCTGCTGCTGGTTTAGCTGCCATCATTGCTGCCTTAATGTAAGATATCCATCTACATTAAATATATACCACGGTCAAACATTTTCCTTTCTATCGAACATTTAAAAAAATTACAAAACGCAGCCTTTTAATTCTTGAGAGTATTTATTTTATCGTTTTTATTCAAATCAATTAATGTGTTTTAATTTTTTGAAGTTCCAAGAAGTCACTATCTTCTCTTTTATTTTTTCGTTAGTTCGCTGAACCCATCAGCTTTGTTATTATTAGGGCAAGTTATATATTCGGTTTTATAGTTCCTTGTAGTTCAATGGAACATTCTAACAATATTTATCAAATTTTTGTAAATTGCTGCGAAAAAATTGGCAAATTGCCACTTAAAGATTCTCTGAATGTAGTTGACATTTTTAAAGTTCAAGCCACAACATCAAGATATACTCTTAAGTGACAAACCTGAATGTGAATAGACCTATTTCTCGGCCTATTTTGACATCGCCAGCTTTATTAGTTGTGAGCTCCGTCATTTGATGAACCTTTTTTTTTTTTTGCTTGGTTGCATGCAGAATTTACTTGCTTATTTTTAACTTCCTAATTTGGTAATAAATGATTTAAGTTCTTTCAAGAATCGATTGATTAGTTTTGTCCCAACTATCAATTTTTTCCAACCAATTTTTGATTCTTCCTTTAAAATGGCAGCCCTGAAATTCAGTTGAAGTAATTTTTTATTTTACATAATCTTTAAAGAGCACAAATGTCATTCTTTATAGAAGAAACAGAGACTTCTAGTTTCCCCAAGACGCCAAGGTTCTTTGATAATTCAAAGGTACCTGATTTACGAACTTATCAATTAATTCGTAATAATAAAACAGTTTCCTTTAATGGACAAGTAACCAACTTTAATTATAATCCATTCAACTTACCACAACTGAAAACAAAAGCCAATATCCCATTAGACTATCAACATTTACCCAATCGAATAATAGTGGTTCCTTCTGGCTCATCAACAGCACCCCAGGAAGATCCAAATACAATTCCATTTTTTCAATTAGATCGTGAACAAAGTAAGGATCCAATCGCTTTTATAGAGAGTGTTCAAGATATTGGAATGAAATATGGAGCTATAAAGGTTAGATTACCCAGAGAAGATACGGACTTGTTTCAATCCACCATTCAGATTAATTCCGATTTATTTTGGTTTCAAACTAATAAATTATTGAATAATCCTCTGGATGATGAATTAACTATGAGATTACAATTTCATCAAGAATTATTGGATTTCCATCAAAGTGATAAACATCAAGAATTTCTAAAAGTTGACGATGATCTAAATAAAAAGGGTGCAAATGCCAGTGGAAGTACGCCATTTTATTTAAGCAAGCTTCCAATGATAGATAAACGACCTCTTGATTTATTTAAATTGTTCAGATCAGTGCTTATTCGTGGTGGCTTTATGGAAGTAATAAATAAGAAATTGTGGGCCCAAATTGGGAGGGAATTGGGATATAAAGGGAAAATTATGACTAGTTTAAGTAGTTCACTAAAGGCATCTTATCAAAGAATACTATATCCTTTTGAATTGTATTTAGGTGCAAAGAAATACGATTACATAAACAAACAACCCGACCTTACAGAGCTACTTCAAGCGAATGGGAAAAGGAACGTACAACCCGATGATTCTTTATTGAATAAAAGAGCTAAGCAATCTACTGAGCAGGAATCCCCATTAATTATTGGATCTTCCAAAGATTTTAAAAGGTCGGTCAAAAGCAAGTCATCTAAAGGATTTTTGTTAAATTCTCCGCATTTAATAGATTTAAAACAACCAAATGTATTTGTAGTAAAGCAGGAAGAAAAGAAACGAAATAAGAGAGCAAATGACACCATTGACTCCCCAATACTACCTCAGTCACAATTGAATCATGCACTTAAGGATCTAACTGATAATCAAACACAATATCAAGATGATTCGCGTTTAAAAGCAAACACCAAAATTGCGTCTATTTACACTTTACGACAGTTTATGGAGAAGGACTTAAAATTCCAAGAATTTATAATTCAAAATAATTCTAATCAATTTAATAATACATATCATAATGATGCTAATGGACCAATTATAGAGAGAAATGTAATCACACATAGTGAGCTAGAACAGCTATATTGGAGGTTTGTGGGAAACAGGAATATTCACGAGATTTTGAATAATGGACTTGAATTGGAAGCCGGGCAAGATATTCCAAGCCACACTAATGGTTCTGGGTTTGTTCAACTTGGGGATGACTTGTTCAACTATAAAAATGCATTGAATAGTGTTCATATAAATGCACCACCTTCAAAATCAACAAATGACAGCACTGGAAATGGAAGACTATTATCGGGATTACTCCATAATCAACCGCCATCTTCGAATAATCCAAGAAATCAAACTCAACTGAGAGAATTCAATTCTAATAACTACATTGACAAAATATTCAGAGCCGCCTTAAATCCTTGGAATTTGCATAATTTACCCACGCTTCCCAATTCTTTATTTGGAGCCTTATATGAGAATGATGCAAATAATCAGGAATTGACAAATACTAGATTGAATATCGGAATGACTTTTGCGACTGAGAATTGGAGGTGTGAGGATCATTTCACTCAGTTGATAAACTTTCACTTCTTTGGTTCGTCCAAGAGATGGTACTTTATCCCAGAACTGGAATTTGATAAATTTGAGCAGTTATTGGAAAAGTTGACTAACGAATATAATGATAGATTGCATATCAATAATGATGGCTCGCCTGATGTAGACAAAGTTATGGAATTCATGAAGGGCCAGGAAGAGATTGAATATGAGGCATTGCTATCCTCATTGGAAAACATGATAAATACAAAAGATGATATTCGATTAGAACAGTCAAATTCTCAATTCCAAAAATTGATTGACTTGCAAAGAAAGAAATTCAAATATAATCAGGAAATAATGATAAATCCGAAAATCTTACAAGAGAATGGTATTCGATTTACGACAACAGTCCAAGAACCTGGTGAGATTATTATAAAATTCCCAAAGACTTATTCGTCCACTATTTCATTTGGATTTAATTTATCGGAAGAAGTTAATTTTGTTACGAAGATGTGGTTACGATATTCTCTTGAGGGTGAACGTTGGTTAGCGAAACAATCTATCTTGCCTAATTTCCTGATTGCTAAATTGTTAATTAATCTCGCTCAAATGTATGACAGTGGACATACTGTGACATTTAATTCTGATGTTTATTCATCTATAGCTGGGTTTTATGAGGAATTGTATCAAAGGGAAATTGAAATGAGAAACAAAGTGAGGAAGTTGAAGGTGAAGGAAAGTCTTATTGAAGAGAAGGCATTTATGGATTCGGATATGATTTCTGATGATGATTTGACAAATGTGTTTCCTTCAAAGGTTGTTTTGACCGATGTGACGACTAAGCAAGTGTTCGTGTTATCGATGCAGAATTTCTTGAAGTATCAAGAAGATAATGTTATAGAAGGTGATCAATATAATGTTGAATTACAATTGTTTTATTCCGATGAGAAATTAAAGGCATTTTCCAAAATTTTGAATAATTATTCCATTGATTATGAATCCTGGATGCAAAATTATGAATCATTGATGGAAGAAAACTCAGATATTTCATTGAAGTCTTACAAACTATTGTTGAATGAAGGAGAAAAAGTCTATTCTTCAATAGAATCAGCAAATTATATGACAAGCTTGGGTCAAACAAACCTAAAAGTTGATGATGCCAGACTAGGATTATTCAAGAAATATATTGAGAACTTGAGAGGTTTCATTCGGAATGCCAATCACTTTATAGAAGAATGTCAGAATTTGTTAGCAATTAAGCATCAGCAGCGTATTAGAAATGGGAATGACGGTCGTCGTATGAGTAATGGACTGAATGCCGGTACACAAGCAAGTTTAGATGATTTGCTCAAAGTAATTGATAGGATCCCAACTTTGAATTTCACATGTCAGGAAGTCGATCAGGTTGTGGAATTTAAAAATGAAATTGAGAATTTCGATAAGGCAAGTAGATTATTGTTATCTAGAAGAAATAAATCATTGCAAGAATTTGATGATTTGATTAACCTAGGTGAGAGTTTTGGACTAGAGATTCCATCGTTGGAGTTTATTATTCGGATTAGAGATAGATTACAATGGATGAAGACGTATAGCTTGATAGATAAAGGAGTTGATCCATATGCAGACAAAAAGGAAGTCTTCACGTTGGATGATCTAAAGATGTTCTTTAATGAAGGTGTGGATATATTGTCTGGAAATGATATTGATGTTATTGGAGAAGTGGAACAAATTTACAATAAAAGTAAAATATTTGATAGAGAAGTTACTGAATTCTTGAAGTATGACGCTGTGGAAGAGTTGGATTTAGATGAATTGAAGAAGCTTGCTGAAAGGTTTAGCAAAGAGAAATTATTTATATCTATGGGTAATTACAACGAACTATCTAGACTTCATTTAAATTCAAAATTAATAAAACAGTTAGTGGCATTTGAGAAAAGTGAAGAAATTCATTCTTATGCTGATGTGAAGCAATTACAAAGTTCAATTATTGAGAGTGGATTGAAATTTAATTCGCTGGTGTTTACAGATATATTATCTGAAACCGAGAAATGGGTATCGAATACTTGGAAGATATTAGACAAAGTAACAATTGTAACCACTTTGAGTAAAGACGTTGATTTAGAATTTTTGAATCCAAGGCTAACCATCAATTGGAAATTGGTTGAAAAGATGTATCAAATTCTTTATAAATCAGAATTCAGTTTATCAGATGAAGATAAATATAATGAATCTTCATCTTATCTTGCCAAATTTGCATCAGAAGAAGAAGTTTATCCAAGGTATTATTGTATTTGTCGTGAATATGAATATGGAACAATGGTTGAATGTGATAAATGTAATGAATGGTATCATGTTGCATGTGTCAAGGATACGACCAATACCAACGTTGATAAGTACATTTGTCCAACCTGTATATTAATTGGATCTTCTGATATGAAAAATGCATTTTTGAAATCGCAAGTCACTCTTGATGAAATCAAGGTAATTCTTACAGAAGGGAAGCAATTAAAGGCACCTCCTACAAATGAGTTAAACGTTTTACAGGAACTATTGGAAGCACTTGAGAAATATCATGATACATATCGTGTAAGTTTGGAGGATATCCAGAATGAATCCAAATCACTAGAAATGAAATTGGATTCGTTGAGATTTGTGATGAGAAAATTGTATGGTTGTGGATTGTTGTTAGATGATTTGTGGCAGCATACTTTGAATCTAATCAAGGAGTGGGAGTATGTATTAGAATGTTCACGAGACAAGGAAGAGACCAATGAAGCAAAAGAAAAAGAAGCACAAAGTGCTGCTCAAGTTGCTGAAGAGGATATTGAGACTATTGAAGCAAAGAATGGAACAGCCCAAGCCCATTATTCTCAGTTGCCAGGGGCAGAAGAGACTCCAAATACGGTTAGCCAGGATGCTGAAGTGTCTGTAAATAATGGGGCGAATGAACCAGAAACGAAACCAGATGACAATGAGGTACTTGACCAGCCAGCCGTGGTGGACTCCGTAAATGGACAATTAGAATCTGCTACCGAGTTGGTTATTGGTGTACAGCCTATTAACAGGAATACTGAAGAGTCTGTACTTACAGAGCCAGAGCCAGAGCTGGAAGCAGAAGAATCAGAAGAATCGGGAATCGTGAGCGATGATCTACCAAAAACCAAATTTGTTACCCTCGAAATTCCATCATTGAAGCTGCATATTGTCATAGAGGGAAATAACGATGAGGCATATGTTTCTTCCTTGGATGAAAATAAGACGATGGCATCCTCTTCAAATGACTTTCCTGAACCATCTGAAACTAACGAAGTTAAAATTAAGCCTACAGAAGGAATTGAACAAGATGGTAAAGCAAAAGAGCAAGATGAAGTAACAGGGAAAGACGAGGCTATATCTATAGGTAATCTTTCCCGGTCATCTCACCTACCATCTAGAGCTGAGAGTGACTCGTTTACAACTTGCACATAAGATTGAAGATAAGAATGAACATAAGGATGGAGCCAAGACAGATTGGACGTGTTGGAGTGTCGTGATGAATCTAATTCGAAATAGTGATTATATAGGGATGTAAAAGAGTTTAGTTTTATAGAGGTTTTGTAATATAAATGTATCGAGAGCATTGACTGTGTGTCTATCTATTTGTATTTCAGATTTAAAATGTACACATATTAAGGTTTCTTATATGATCTCTAACAAAAGTGTTCTGGAGTTGTGTGTGTTAGTTTTACGCGTGTATGTGTTAAAATTAAGCTTATTTTCTCCCACCTTTTTCAACAATTTTTTGGCGCGTTTATTTTCTTGCTGCAATTTATTATTCTTTCCAATATTCATCATCTATTTATAGATTTACACATAATTCCTCTAGTAGGATCATATATACCCTTGTTATAATAAGGATAGAGATATTTATAATTCATTCAATGGTATTAATGAGGTTTACAAAAATTGTTGATGATTTAATAAATTTGAGTTGGACAAGAGCAACAAGAGGGAATGTTGGATCCATAAATGTTTCTCAAGTCAGATCAGTTATTGAAGAGATGCAGAACGCTTTAGGGGTTGATTCATTATTAAAAGAAAATGAAATTGGGTATCTAGAAGATTTAATGTCAACTAAGAAATCCCTACAAATTAAAAAAGACGAATTTAAAGGTTTTTTATTAACATTGGTAAGTTGTGATGATTTTGAAGATTTATTTCAAAAACGATTTGGATTGAAAGAGCTGGATATACTGCGACGTTTAGATATTCCAATAGTAAATTCTGGTGGTATAAGGGAAGATCATGTGCGTCCAGTAGTAGTTAAATCTCAGTATTCTCCCACACTGAATAAAATATCCGGTAGAATGACACATGGAATCAAACAGAAAACTATAGCAGAACTTCAGCAAGAAGTCTTGGAATTGAAAGAGAAGAATTTGAGACAAGAAACAAAAATTGCATTTCTAGAAAGTCAAGTTTCCGAACGAAATAACAGTGAGACATATTTGGAATCTCGATTATCAAAAATCGCTGGTGAGAAGTTGAAATGTCGAGATCGGGAAATTGAAAGGTTAAAGAAAATGTGTCTTGATAAGGAGAAAACCATTAGTGAATATCAGAGGCGAGAAAGTGAGGTTATCTATGAGATCGATCAGACAAATAAGCTATTACAGGATCAAAAGGAATTAATTCAGAAATTGCAAGAAGGACTTCTGGAACAAATAGAAGAGGATGATTATTCCAGGATAAAGCAGTTCATTATGAATCTTCCCATACTTAATCAGTATAAAATCTTTTTGAAATACAAGCATGGGATTAAAAGCTCAAAAGTGTTTTATTTGAACGTAGCTGCATTGATTGCTACCGCCCTTATAATAGCTCTAGCTTTCGGGCAAATGTTTTACTGGGCCATGCGCATACTTTCAGGTCGAACAGTAATGCTTGGATATTATTATCCAGAACGATGGTCATTAACAGGCACCTTGAATGGCTTTTGGATATGGCTTAGACTCCTTGTAGCTGAAATCTTTGGATGATAGCAATTCCATGACTAATACTTTGCTAGGTACATATGCATGTAGTTATTGAATAGACTGGGTAGCTTATAGATTGTATCTGGACGTAAATAAGCAATGTAATAATAATGGGAAATATTAAATTTGTAGCATTTACAACAATAGTTGATTTAAATAATTTACATAAACAATTAAATATCCCCATTAAAATTAAACTACATACACAATAATTAGAAAGATTACAAATAGTTATTTTATTATACAGAAGTTCTTTAAATACACATATAACAATTCTAATAACCCTTCAAAATTAGATTGTGGTAAAAGAAATGAAAAATTAGAAACAAAATAATATCTTTCTAACTAATTTAGTTCATTTGCTTAACTAAAGCGTTAATGAATTCTTCTCTGTTACCGGTGTCACCACCTTGGATAAAGTGTTGGAATTTTCTAGCTCTGAAACCACCGTTTGGATTAGATAACTTGAATGGCCATAAGAAGTTGTTAACTTGCTTGAAGTTTGGACCAACAGTGTAAATTTCGTGAATCAAATCTTCAATAGATAAGATGTTGAATTTACCTACGTTAGCTTCAATGATAGCATTGTCAGATAAAGGAATTCTTTGCTTGTTGATCTTACCGTAACCTCTCTTGTAGACTAAGTGTCTAACGGTAGATAAAGATGGGTAACCGTAAGCAATGTATGGTTCAGCCAATTTGATTAATTCAGCAGTAGCCTTGGTTAATCTAACGAAAACACCGGCGTTAATTTGAGTTAATCTTAATAATTGTAAAACCTTTCTTGGCTTAGGTGGGATCTTCATAATACCCTTGATTCTGACAATGAAAACCAACTTGGATTGAGCATCAACGTAGTAAGAACCAGCAGCCTTGGCATCTCTCTTAGCAGTGATGATGGAACGTTCAGCATCAGTGTATTCCTTTTGGTAAGCAGCAGCTCTGTCAAAGATAGCTTGTCTCTTTTCCTTAGAAGCCTATTAAATGTAAAGTTAGTATTTTTGTTTTACTCATTAAAAAAATCTAGTTTCTGTCAAAGGTATAATGGATACATCTTTCTTTTATATTTTCTCAGTCCCGAAAGATGGTTAATTGAATGACGACATTGCCGTAGCTAGTCTACTTCAGATGGTTGTTTTCATCTTCAAAAATAACACTGATAGAATTAAATTCATCATCTTGACAGAAAACTTCACAGCAAACAGTTGTGATAAAAGTATACATACAGCTCTTCTGGCCTTCTTGGCAGCGGCACGTTCTTCAGTGGTCTTTTGGATAGCTTTAGCCTTCTTTTGTAAGGTTTCTGGTTTTAAAGTACTATAAACAACTGTTAGTATTTATATTGATAAATTGTTCAATATAGCATAATTTCAATAAAGCACACATAAATGCTTCCCTCGTGAATATATTCAATAGTTTAAAACAATTTTGTTTGATTTGGATTCGTAGAATGGTTTATAATCCGGAAAGGTATTATAAATGAATATAGAACTGAACTGCCAAGTTCATTCTATTTCACATTCTATATGTTTGAATCCAATATACTCAGAGGAAAACAGATATATCAGGCATCGGCTAAAACGAAGATTAGTTGAACAATTTAGTTCAGCTGCAAGATAATCTGACTTTCCCTTGGCAGATGTATTTAATCAAAGTCAATTCCCAAGTTTGACAATGACAAGACCTCACATTAGATGCGAGAGAATACCCATTAATAGGATATTGGATGAAGCAATACATGGATACAAATAAAAATTGTACTTCAGGTAAAGACCATCACCTTCAACCAAACTATAAAATAGTTTGGGAATCAGGATTTAGTTTTCGTCTTAGCAATCCCCAATAACCACATATGTGTGTCTATTGATATTGATTGCTATTGTTAATGTTGTGGATAGGTTACATACGTAGCCATTTTTGAAGTTGGTTTGTGAAGTAAAAGAAGAAGATTGAAAGTTTAGAATTGAAATTTTTTTTCCACTTGTGTCTTTTGTACTAAGAAGAATAACTAATTACTAATTTTTTCGTCTGATGAGAAAGAAAAAAAAAAGTCTGGTAAACTGCACAAAATATTATTCTAGGGCTCGAGCCCTAATTCGATATTTGTCTCGTAGTGCAACAGGATTCAATTCCCCATGGCCATACCACTATCCCCACTCGAAGTGATCCCACCTTGACACCTCTGACCTGTCGATATAGGCCTGGTTACAGCTACTTAACTTTCACAGAAGAGAATTTTAAAAAACATAATTTATACGTAGTTCTCCTGATTTCTGAATGTTTCAATCCTAATCAGGCGATATACAATCGACTTCAGCTTGTGAGTAGACTTGATGGTTCAAAATCAGGCTACTTGTAGTGTTCTGAGCAAATGCCGTTTCACTCCACCAATAGAATTAGCGATGCATAAAAAAAGTTGGAAGCGCCGTATCCTGTTATCTTTGTTAGACTACCTATATCCTATCTTAAAGGTGTGACACGCATGTGTAGCTAGCAGACTGAAAGTATGTCTTTTCTATGGAAAGCTCCCGCTAATGACGAGAGATTTAATCTAAAGTTTAGAATTTTATATGTTAATTAATTCGTTTGTGTAAACAGAATGGGTGCAAAAAAAAACGAACAATTCCAATTCTTCTCGCTTATGTTGCTATAAGAGGACATTCATATAAAAGCTGCCTCCTTAAACTTTATAGCAAAGTTGACGACTGGTAAAATTGTCTCTCTAAGTCTTGGAATATGAGAATGTGGTAAAGCAAGCAAGTAACCACATCTAAAATTAAAACAAAGAGTATTCTGTATGGAGTCCGTTCGTTGGTGTTCAAAATCTAACGAGATATAGAGTCTTGAAGTTTCTAAATTAGTTGGTGTTCAAAATCTAACGAGATATAGAGTCTTGAAGTTTCTAAATTAGGCCAGATAAAGCTGTTTTGTTTTCTTGCACAAGTCTTGCCAATAGATTTCGTTCATGGTAGAGAAATTGGATAAAGTTGCAAAAAACTACTATTCTAATAAATACCAAAATCATTTCCGACAATTAACTATGAACTAATATATAAAAAAAAGAGAAGGGGGTGGGCAGTAGAACTAAATAAGAGAGAGCACAGGCTAAAATAATCAACAAATTGCGTATAAGTTAGATATATTTCCTGGATGTATGTGACAAATATCATAAGAGATATACAAAGCAATGAACCATTTTTCTTGATATTCTAGTCAATATAAGCCATTTGCTTTTTGGATTAAATATTCTCTGGGATATATTCCTTGGTAAAATCAATTGATGACAAATCTATTGGAATCTTTTCACCAAATGTATTTTCACCAGAATATAACACATACAAAAATCCATCTTCATCCTTATGTTCTTCATAGATTGTACTAATCAAGGCTGCAGTAGGTGGTAAGATATCATTCACAAAGATGAAGATCGCCTTTTCACTTGGTAATTTGATTCTCTTTCTAATGACATATACAAATTGACCAACTGATAAATCAACTGGAACTAAATATTTACGTTTATCAATTTCGGGGATATCGGAATTCTCAACCTTTTCACATATGACAGGTACTCTATCCTTGAACCTTTGGGTAATTCTGGCTGCTTCAGCTTGTCTCTTTTCTAAAAACATGGATAATGTTAGTAAATCGATTGTTGTTTTAGAATCCGCCCCCCAAGAAGGAAGGGGGTAATAGTAGGACAACGTGGTGGTGATGTGGGTATGGGTGGAATGTTTGAATTGTCCTCTAAACAGTGTAAAGTTTTAACATACCAAAAGGATGTTCGTCTTTAAATTGTGACCTCATTATTGAATGATGATTACTATAATTGGGTTGTTGTTAGTTAATGATGTTTAATCAAAAGTAACAATTTGATAAGAAAGAAGATTTGTGTAAAACTTGAGTGGCGTCTCCACAATTGCCTCTTTAAGGTTGCGCACCCACCAAGACAACCACCACCCACCACCAGAAAAAAAATAAAATAAAAGAATCATGGGCAAAGTTGCTTTCCATGATTATTCAATTGAAGATTCTTCTTTCATAGATTGGAAGGGGAAAGTTAACATACTTACAGTTAATATGAACTTATTAACTGAATGTGACAGTTAATACTTAAAAAAGAATGAAAATATTAAAAAGGAGATGAAACTATTTCTTTTTCTATATATTTGTTCTTCTTTTGTCCTTTCAAGCAAAAAATATGCTGTTGCTCGTGTAAACTGTCCTTCTTAACCTTGCCACAAACTTCCTTTATCTATTTTCTCTGACACCCACGCACACACACGCCGAAAGTCGTTACTCTTATCAAAATATTTAACAAAACAATGATCTATTTATACACACAAATGTTCCATGACACAAAATCATGAATGACGTGGGGTCGTGTAAAATGGTCATTCGCAGTTAGTATGAATTGCAAAAAAAAATAATATTCTAAACCTCCTGGAAGAAAAGTACGGAGTCAGCAAAGTAGATTATTGCTGCTGTTTTGTTGTAAAATTACACGTCATGGTAACTACTTCAGAATTAAATCAATTGAATGAAATTAATGAAAAAGAAGAACAGAATTTATCTTTTTCAGGAGGAAGTTTTATTCCAAATTCAATAAGATGGATTCTTCAACATGAACTTGAACAAGCATCATCTTCATCAACTTCAATTGAAAATGATACTCTTAGAAATAAACGATTACATTATCTATTCAAACAACAAACTTATGAAGATGAACCGGTAATTGAAGAATTAACAACTAATATGAATACTACAGATGAAGAAGATGATACTCTGGTTAATTTTCCTACAACTTTGTTAAAAACTCATGAATTGACTAATAATTTGGAGTTTGAATTAATGCAATCATCATTACAACTAAACAATTATTCTGATATATTAGATATGAATATTGTAGATTCAATTCATGATGATAATGAAATAATCAATATTAGTGATCATACATTATCAGAAGAAGTAGTGGAAAATGATCAATTAAATCCTTCATCTTCACTCATTCACTTAGAAGAAGATACACCACTTATTCAAATTCATCGTAATCACCATCGCCACCATCAATCTCACGAACAACATCACACAGTCGATTCTATCAAGAAACCTATCAAAAGATTTAAATCTAAATCTCTGTATGATTTAAATTTCCCTAATCTAAATTGCTGCAAATAAAATTAAGTATGTGACTTAGACTGGTGTTATATGCAGGAAAATCAGATTCAAATTGTTTCGCGTGTTTTTGGGAGGCGAAAAAAAATAAAACACCAGCAACCACCAAAACAAACCCCCAAAAAAAAGAAAAAGAGAAGAGGGACAGGAGGAGATACACACAAAAAAATTTCACGTCTTCAATTTATCTACTTTCATTTCCAAGGTTCAATTATTAACAAAACAGTCATGTTGAAATCATTTACCCGTTCATTTTCCTCCACTGCCTCATCTCGTTTAAAACGATCTCGAGTTGAAAATCCATCTCAACCAAGACAACTACTTAGAGTCAGTGCTCAAGGTAGGGAATATATTACTTATAATCTTGCTGTTTCAAGATACAATAGTAGAGAACAAGAAAACACAACTACTTGGTATAGAATCGCTGCTTTTGATGAAAATCAGATTAATAAATTAAAGCAAGTTTTAAGAGTCGGAAATCTCATGCACGTTGATTGTAGTTTAAGTACCAGTACCAGAGAATTACCAGAAGGGAAAACTATCCATGAATTAAATCTTGTTCATAGAAATTTCGATGTTGTTCTTTTTGGGAAGAAGAATGCTGAAGGTGAAGCTAATAATGAGGCCGAAGATGAAGCTAATCCTGACGCCTAAGTCTAAAATAGAATTCGATATTCTCTCACCCAGCGGTGTCTAAAATGCTCTTTGTATAGTAAATTTCCGCTATTGTTAATTGTCACTCAATTTACATAATATAAATATGCTTAAGAAATATGAATACACTGTAGATACAGAAAACGCGTTGTGTTGTTTCTATGTATTGATTTTGTAGGTGCAAAATTCAGCTATTGATATTCAATTGTTCTCTAATCTTTGGTGAATCATTTAGCTACAATACCATTGATTGACTGTCTGATCTCCCAATGTGACATTGAAAAGAAAAGATAGAGGAAACCTGACATGGAGGGGAAGACGCGTTAAGGGCAATATGAAGTGAAGTGAGAGTCATTTGTGTTTGCCACTAAAAGTGAAAGAGAATCTAGTGATCCTGTCGATTAAGATCCATCTAGTTCATTTCGATTCTGTTAGTTTTATTTATATACGATCTACGTAATCATTCTTTTTGTCATGCTAATGCAATTCCGTTGCCAAGGTCAACTCATATGCAAATGCCACAGTCAACTTCACATGTTCCTTAATATGATCCCAATCCAATCTATCAAGAGTATCCATAATTGAATGGATATATTTATTGGTGTATTAGTAAAGTGAAAGTTAGTTCTTACGGCTACCTATAGGTAAAAGGTTTCGACTTCGGTGGTCAGAACATGCATATCCACAAGAAGATTCTTGATATGGTATTGAATTATAGGTATTGATAAGTAATTTCAAAAAGTTGTTCAATTCTACACTGGTATAATCGGTGATTAAACCAAAATGAGGCTCTACTCCTTCCTTTTTGGTCCCAGCAGTATAACCGGTCATATCTTGTTGTAGCATACCAACCACTACTTCTTTTCTAGCTGAATATTGTGAGAATACATCAATTGAGCCTAATAAACCACCTTCTTCGGCCGAATACCAATGAAATTCTTTACATAACATACCCTGTTTAAATAGCCAACTTATTAGAGGTTAATACTCAGATTGGGCTTCCAAAGTGGTAACTGTACCTGACCCATCATCATCTGCACCTGGTGCTTTTAATAAATTGGGGAATAACAAGTTCATTGAATCTTGATGAGCTCCAATGACTACTTTATCAGTGACTTTCCCTGGGATTGATACGATAATTGAATATTGGTCCCAACCATTGTGACGAATTTTTGTAATATTAACTTTATCATTTACTGGTTTGATTATAGATGAAATCTCATCGAATAGCCAATCAGCACTATCAACCCCATATTGGGATTTATAATATCTTGTAAAGAAAGATGAGAATTTCCCCAAGTTTTTCAACATTAAGTCAGTATCTATCCCCTTGAACAATTTTGAAACTTCTTCATTATATTTAACTTCCTTTGGGAATTTATAAACTGGAACTGGCTTTTTCAAGAATTCGAGTTGTTTAGCTCCCATCAATAACAATTCTTGGAGAAACGAAGCAGGAGGATTAGGTTTTGTAATTATCCCTTCTTCAACGGCAAAATCAACAGGAATTGGGATTTGGTTAGTGACATCAATAAAATTGATACCTTCTCTTTTTAACTTCAATTTCTCATTCTCGGAAACTAATTTATAATCATCTGGACCTAATTTGATAAGTCTATCTCTTAATGAATCTTGGTCTCGGGTGAATAATAAAGAGGTTAAATCATTTGACCGTAATCCTTGGAATTGGAATGGAAATGCTTCAATTAAGCAAGCAATGAAGCTTAGGATAAAGAGTACTCTCATGCTTGTTTTCACGAATGTTAATAATGGGGCTATGAGAGTTATGTCTTAAATAGAGACTAAAAGAAACTGGGAGGGGGGATGAAAAAGGAGGTTTTCTAGTTCTAAGTGGCAACTCGGTAAAAAAGAACACGCCGAGCTCTTAGAGTTATTATTAATACCTACGTTTTTTAGCAGTGAACTACGAACACAACTACAGCACCAGCAACAACAACAGCAACAATTGATTTGGACTGGGGCAATTATCATTGCTTCCAGGGCATAGAGTTGAAACTGGCCAAGTTTGCAAAACTCTTCAAGTATTAACTGAAACGTAGGATTCTATGGGTAACCTAGCTATGCTGATTCTGTATCAAATGTTACCAAATCTAAATCCCCTTATCTCAAACAAAGCAGGGGAAGCATTATACTCGAAGTCAACAAGTTCTCTTATCAATTCCTTTATGGATGTTGGTCTCTTGGCAGGTACTGGTTTATGGCTTCTTCTGATCTTCTATGGTGTGTGCTTAAGTTGTTAAGTGAGACATTCTTTATTGGTCGTGTAAAAATGACTAAATTTTACTTTTGAAAAATTTTGTAAACATCATCTTTTGATTGAAATTGGCAGCAGTCAAAACTTTCCCAATAAAAACCATAACTGTTTTATTTATTTAACTACAAATTCATAAAATATGGTATTCCTGGTTTCTAATGGAATTGGGAGTAACACTAATAGTACAATTAAACCTAATGGGATTGGTTCTGGTTCTAGATTTATATCTCCCACTTTGAAATCAAAGGAATCAACCACTGCAACCACCACATCCACTACCAGTTCTTTACAATTCCATCAAGATAGTTCGGCTAGGGGGCAATTATCAAGAAGGTTTGTTCAACCAATAGGATTTGAAGCTAAAGAAGTCAATTATAAAATAAATGTGCCTGATTTCGCAAATTTACCGCCGTTGGAATTAGGTTCTAGATTCATTACTGATTTAAATAGGATTGATTCATCAATACCTCATGATATATTCTATTCAGAAACTGTAAGTAAAACAGAATCTGCAAATCTATTAATAATAAAACTAATACTTTTACCAAATTTTCTAAAAAGTTCTAATGAAAAAGTAAGTCAATTAGATTTACCTGATCGTTTCTTTGAAGAATATAATTCAACTGAGTGTGTGACAAAAATTGGTTTATTTCCTGAAGTTGAAAGAACTTGGATTGTTATTGATAATAAATTGGTATTGTGGAATTATAACCTCCCACAATCATCATTCAATAGGGCTGCTCAATTCCTTACTATTGATCAAATTAGACATACCATCTTAACTGTAAAATTAGTTAAACCTAAAAAGGGAGTCTTTCTAGATGAAATCAACTATTTATTATTGGTTTCAACCACTGTGGACATTCATATATTCATCATTAAATATGATAAAGCATTAAATAATTTGGAAATTTTCAATCCAGATTTATCTGTTTCAACTCAAGGACTTATTGTTAATAACTTTACAGTCAACCCAAAAACTAATGATATATATTTTAGTGGAGAAGGTGATGGAATAAATATATGGCGTTTGGATTATTCAAACAAGTCTAGTTTTATTAAGAATAAATGTGACAAAATTTGTTTAACTAAAGGGGGATTTTCAAGCGTCATTCCAAGTAAGATTCCTGGTCTTGATTTATTCAATGCAAGCACAGCTCCTTCCAGCAGTACTAGTAGTGGTGATATCCCTGCAGCCAATGTGCCGGAAAGTATTGTACAATTGGAAGTAGATGGCGAAAGAGATATTTTATATTCATTGTCTAATAAATCTGTTATTAGAGTTTATAAACTTCAACCTAAACAAGAACAACTTACAGAAGGCAGTAGATTAACTCCAACTCAAATATTCAAATCTGCATCTACTATCTTTGTAGATGCTAGTAATTTCAAAGTCTTTGAAAGATTTAAAATAATTAGCATTCATGGGATCTCGCCACAAGAGTCAACTTCAATTCAATTAATTGCAGTCACTAGTAATGGTTGTCGTATGTTACTTAAGCTTGGATCAACATCTACATTTAGTTCTTTGCTTTCAACTCCATTTTCCGCGGCAAATGCATTAAGATTGAACTTGGTAAACATTAAATTTCCTCCATCCAGAGAAGTACCCAAAATAAATAATGAACTTGATTCATTCACCAGGGATAGACAATATATGTCTCAATTGATTGCCAACCAACAAAAGTCAACATTATTAAAGAATACCAAGATTGCCAAGATTATTAGTCCAGGCGTATTCATTTGTGTTAAAAAGACAAAGAGATCTGATAGATTATTCATAGCCACTTCTAATTATGGATATTTAAAGAAGAATAACAAATTAGTTGAAGATGCTGAATTTATGAAATATACTGCCAGCGAAGACGCACCATTTACATATATCCAAGATATTGTACAATTGACACCTTCCATGAATGCTACAAATACTCCAAATGGTTATGCAAACATCTTGGCCAGTCAATACACAAAACAACCATTGAAGTTTGCTGTTTTGACTAATTTTGGGATCGCGATATATCAATTTAAAACTTCTGATCAAATCATAAAATCATTAAAGGAAGAAGTTATCGAAAATTACATTGAAGAAAATGGATATGAAGAAACTTGTTCAGCATTATTATACTTAGCATGTTCATATGGACATTATAGTTCCAGTGATCTTTTTAAAAGAAAGGCACAGATTTTGTTTTCAACTTGTGGGAATGGTGCAAGATTAATTGATACTTCACAGTTAACTCAAACTAATCCATTAATTCCACATCAACAGCAATTGGCAAGCATTGGAAGTAATCTTCATCCTACAGTGAACCAGGTTGTGCTTAGTGATAGATTCTATGGGACTTGTTTATTAATTGCTAGATTACTTCGAGATTTCTGGGGTATGAAAGTGTTTAGTCCCTTGCCTCATATTAAGATTACTCCTAGTGGAGATATTGAAGTTGCAAGTATAAAGGAAGGAAATCTTTTGATTAAAGGTTTGAATATTGACAAGAAACAAGCCGAATATTTTATTGGTTCAATTATTGTATTGATTGATTTTTTTATGGAAAATGGAACTAATATTCAAGGATTGAATGCACCTAATTATAGTTCTGATCCTAATCAATTCGAAAATGAAGTTTGTTTAAGAGCTGAACATATTGCATTTACTTCAATTATCAAGTCATTGAATTCCATGAAGGAAGCACTTTCATTCTTGATGGTTTTGATTGAAGAGATTCAATTTAATCAATCTAATTTTAATGAAATTTTTGAATTCTTGTCATTAACAAATCAAGCAAATCTTTTATGTTTAACTTTTAAGGATTTATTATTACCAAATAGGGAAGTTAAGAACTTGGTTAAAGATTTATTATCCTCAATTATTAATAAGAACATTTTAAAAGGTGGGTCGATTGATTTAATTGCTTCTTCTTTACAAACTAGATGTGGATCTTTCTGTTCAACTGACGATGTATTTATATTTAAGGCAATTGAAAATTTAACCCGAGCTAAAAAGATTGGTTCAAGAGATAATGATTTAAAAGTAAAATGTTTACAAAATGCAGTATTATTATTTGAAGAAGCATTTGAATCTTTAACTATAGAGAATATTGAAAATTCTATTAATATAATGTTGGAACTTGAATATTATGCAGGAGCAGTCGGCATGTTATTAAATATTGCACAAAAGATTGGAAATAATTCAAAGGTACCCCACAATCTTAACTTTAACCAAATTGGTGAAGCTACGATAAAACCAAATAAGGACGCTGAAGAGATTTCCAAAAAGAAAACTAAGATGTATGAACTAATTTTTGATGTTTTAACCAAGATTGATTTACGTGCTTTAAAAATAACCGAAACTAATAATCAACTTTTAATTAATGAATTTTTGGAAACAAGAGATTCTGCTTATGAAACTTGTTTTGCATCTGCTGATAAGAATTTCCATTATGCATTCTACGATTGGTTTATTAGACAAGGAGTAAGTGAAAGACTTTTAGAAATTACAACTCCGTTTATCTTATCATTTTTGGAAGAAAAATCGGAAAACAACTTAGCGTTAAGTGATTTACTTTGGTTATATCATGCCAAACGAGAAAACTATTTTGATGCGGCCAAGATCTTATATGCATTATCAATATCTGAATTCAAATTAGAATTAAATCAAAGAATTGAATATCTTTCAAGAGCAAATGGATTCTGCAATTGTGTTTGTCCACCAAATTTAAGACAAAAGATGATTCAACTCTCAACTGTCATACAAGAATTATTTGATGTTGCTAATATTCAATTGGATATCTTGACTAGAATTAGACAAGATTCAAGAATTAATACTGAAAATAAACAAATCGCAGTTGAGGCATTAAATTTCAAGATTTTATCAATTAGCGATTTATTCAATACATATACTGATCCATTAGGTTATTATGATCTTTGTTTACTAGTTTTCAAGATTTCTGATTATAAGAATTCTGATGATATTTTGAAAAGATGGGAATTATTCTTTGAGAAATTATTCCATGAATTCATGGTTGATCATAATGCCAAAGATCCATTTTATGTCCTTATGAATGAAGCATTTATACCTTGTGGATCTAAGTTATCTTCCAATGATTTGGTATTTCCAATAGATGAGTTAATTAAATTGATGTGTAAGTATTTACAAGAGGCTGTTGAAGAAAATCCAGTTACCCAAAAGTTACCAAAGGGTGTAGTTGTTGATATGTTCGTTAAATCAGGTGTAAGTTATGAAAGAATATATTATGTGATGAAATCATTAATAGAACATAATACTTTTGAAGTATATCCAGGTTTTACCAATGATTTAAGGATTAATGAAATGACATATTTGATTAAGACTTGGTATAGTGATGATAAGAAACTTAGAGAATTGATTCCAACTGAAAAGATTGTTAATTTCAATGAATATACACTTGACAATGATCCAGTTAGTGAATATTTACAAAGACTGTAATTGTGTACTTTTAGATAACAAAAAATGTTAATTATAATTAATATATAAAACCCCTCCATGGTTAATCCAAGCTGTAAAACATATTCTTTTGATCATCAAATTTCTCCTTTTCAAAATTACCAAATTCACTTGGACGTAAATAATTTGTTGATGCTGGTAAATACATTCTTTCAGGTTGTAAATGTTTATCAACCAAATGTAACATAATTCCATCAATCACTAATCGAACAGCATTTGCTTCAGCTCCCCTTGGCATAATAACATCAGCAAATTCTTTAGTTGGAAATATAAAATCACTCATTTCTGCTCTTGCTCCAAGTAAATAAGCATTTATAACACTTTGTAAAGTTTCTGATTTTTTATTCAATACATCTCTTCGTATCCAACGAATTAAACGAGTATCTGGATCACTATCAATAAACACTTTGATATGAGCCATGTCTCTTATTTCCTTGTCATACAATGCGTATAATCCATGGACTATCAAAATCTTTTGAGGCGCATCAGTTGGTGATATTAAACTTTTGTTTAATTCCTGTTTTAATGCATCAAATGAAAATCGAGAAGGTTTGAGACGAGGATATGGAATTTCTTCCGTTCTGACAGTAATTGCATCTACTTTATCTTTATTATATTGACTAGAGTCGATTGTTGAATTGCATTCAGAATTGAATTTGTTCATGTCAATCACTTCAACTTGTAATTTTGATGATGGGATCAAAGCTGAGATTTCGTGTTTGAGAGCCTTAGCTGCTGTGTGCTTTCCAGCAGCATGCCCTCCACCTAGTAATACTATTACAGACTTATTTGGAGATGATGATGTCATTGCCGTTGTTGTACCTGGTAGCACTAGTGGTGAATTGATGCTCATCTCTCTCAACTTGGAACAGAAAAAATAAATTTAACCAATTCAATCCCAACCATCTATGAAATGTTCTTTCCAAGCTGTTGATGAGAATATAGAAGTATGGATGACTTTGATAGAGATTTAGATAATGAGTTAGAGTTTAGTCATAAATCCACCAAAGGGATTAAGGTCCATCGTACTTTTGAAAGTATGAAATTAAAACCTGATCTTTTGAAAGGAATATATGGATATGGATTTGAAGCACCTTCTGCCATTCAATCAAGAGCTATTATGCAAATCATAAGTGGGAAAGATACCATTGCTCAAGCTCAATCAGGTACTGGTAAAACCGCCACTTTCTCAATTGGAATGTTACAAGTTATAGATACGAAATCAAAGGATTGTCAAGCTTTGATCTTGTCACCAACTAGAGAATTAGCAGTTCAAATCCAAAATGTTGTGAAACATTTGGGAGATTATATGAATATTCATACGCATGCATGTATTGGAGGTACGCATGTTGGAGAGGATGTTAAGAAATTACAACAAGGTCAACAGATTGTAAGTGGTACTCCTGGACGTGCATTAGATATGATAAAAAGAAGGAATTTAACTACAAGGAATATAAAGATTTTAATTCTTGATGAAGCAGATGAGTTATTCACAAAGGGGTTTAAGGAGCAGATATATGAGATATATAAACATTTACCACCTGGAGTACAAGTAGTTGTTGTAAGTGCAACCTTACCAAGAGAAGTTTTGGAAATGACAAATAAGTTTACTACTGATCCAGTGAAGATTTTAGTGAAACGAGATGAAATTTCATTGCTGGGGATTAAGCAATTTCATATTCAATGTGAAAAGGAAGATTGGAAGTTTGATACTTTATGTGATTTATACGATAACTTGACGATTACTCAAGCAGTCATCTTTTGTAACACAAAATTAAAAGTTAATTGGTTAAGTGATCAAATGAAGAAACAAAATTTTGCAGTCGTTGCAATGCATGGAGATATGAAACAAGATGAACGAGATTCTATTATGAATGATTTCAGAACGGGGAATTCACGTGTTTTGATCTCTACTGATGTTTGGGCTAGAGGAATAGATGTTCAACAAGTGTCACTTGTTATAAATTATGATTTACCATCTGATAAAGAGAATTATATTCATAGGATTGGTAGATCTGGTAGATTTGGAAGAAAAGGGATTGCAATTAATTTAATTACTAAAGATGATATCCCAACTTTGAAAGATATTGAAAAGTATTATTCTACGAGAATCAAAGAAATGCCAATGAATATTAATGATATTATGTAAAGTAAGTATAAGTATAGTATACAAGTAACCCAATATCATATGGTAATTTAATCGTAATCAGTTGAATTGACGATTTTAACGGTAGTCACGTGCAATGCTCATCGGAATTTTTTTTTTTTTTTTCGTGTTTTCTTACTAACCAAAACTACACACGCACACGGGTCTGAAATATTTCAAAAGGAGAGAAAGAAAAAATTCACATTGATTGATCTCTTCTTCTTCTCTCTTCTTCTTCTTCTTCTTCTTCTTCAATATACAAAGACTTAGTTGTAGTTTGTCTTCACAATGGACGTCCAATTTCTTACTTCTTTAGAAGAAACATTAAGACAAACTTTAGTTCCAGATTCAGCTGTAATTAAACAAGCTTCCAACAAATTACAGAAGGAATTCTATACTAATCCGTTAGCTTTACCAGCATTATTCAATATCTTACAACATGCTCAAGATGATGAAATTAAACAATTAGCATCTGTTGAAGCTAGAAAATTGGTTTTAACTAATTGGGAAAGCATGGATGCATCTTTAAAGCCTGCTATCAGAGACTCCTTATTAAACAGTACCTTCCAACAACCAAATAGACGTATTAGAAACTCAACTGCTCGTTTAGTATCTGCAATTGGTGAAATTGACTTGGAAAAGGGAGAATGGCCAACCCTTTTATCTACCTTAAATGAAGCTATTCAAGGAAGTGATGTTCAAGTTAAGGAAGTTGGTGTTTTCACTTTATTCACATTGTTAGAAACTCAAAATCCTGCCTTGATTCCTCATATTGATAACTTCTTAACTTTATTTGGAGCATTATTAAGAGACCCAAGCTCTAAAGAAGTTAGAGTCAATTCTGTCTTAGCTTTGGATGTCATTTCCCAATTCCTTGAAGAAGATTCTGAAGTTAGTCCAGTTTTATGTGAAAAATTCAAAGCTACTGTTCCTGGTATGGTTGAAGTCTTAAAGGAAGTTATTTCTGAAGATGATACTGAACTGGCCAAACAAGTCTTTAACGTTTTCAACAGTTTGATTTTCTTAGATACTAAATTAATTGGTGATCAATTGGTTGGCTTAATTCAATTGATTGCTGAAATGGTCACCAATACCCAATTAGATGAAGAATATAGAGCTTTTGGTTTACAATTTTTGATTTCTTGTGTTTCTTTAAGAAAATCCAAGGTTTCTTCCAACAAATTAGGTCCTCAAATCACTTTGGTTGCTTTAAAGATTGCCTCTGAAGAAATTGATGTTCAAGAAGAATTAGAAACCGAAGAAGAAGAAAATGAAAATGAAGAAAATGAACCATCTACCTTGGCTTTAAGATTATTAGCTGTTTTATCAGGTGAATTACCTCCATCTCAAGTTATCAGTCCTATCTTTGAAGCTTTACCATCCTTGTTATCCTCTTCTAACCAATTCGAAAGAAGAGCTGGTTTATTAGCTGTCGGTGTCTCTTCCGCTGGTGCTCCAGACTACATTTCTAACCATATTCAAAAGATCATTCCAGGTATTATCAACGGTTTAAAGGATTCTGAAATGATTGTCAGAGTCGCCGCATTAAGAGCATTATCACAATTGACTTCCGAACTTCAAGATATTGTTGCTGAATACCACGAAGAATTATTGCCATTGATCATTGACATTATTGACTCAGCTTCTTCTGTCAAGGCTTATAAATATGCTTGTTACGCCTTGGATGGTCTTATTGAATTTATGAGCCATGATGCTATGGGTAAATACATTGAACCTTTGATGAACAAATTATCTCATATGTTACAACAAGCTCATTCTTCTTCTTTGAAATCCGCTGTTGTTTCTGCTATTGGTTCTACCGCCTTCGCTGCTGGTAAAGCTTTCACTCCATACTTTGATAATTCTGTTCAATTATTAGAACCATTCATTTCCAATGCTGCTGAAACTGAAGGTATGACTGAAGACGATATTGAATTAAGAGCATCTACTTTTGAAAACATTTCTACTATGGCAAGAGCTGTTGGTTCCGAATCTTTCTCGACTTATGCCAAGCCATTAGTTGAAGCTGCTTACAACTCTTTGAGTTCTGAACACTCAAGAATCAGAGAATCTGGTTTTGCCTTCATTTCTAACATGGCCAAGGTTTACGGTGCTGAATTTGCTGGTTTCTTAGGTCAAATTGTCCCACAAATCCTTAAATGTTTGGAACAAAGTGAATTCACTTTTGATGTTGAAGAAGTTGACGAAGAAGATGAAGAAAACTTGGATAACGCTCTCAAAGTCCACACTGGTATCACTATCGAAAAGGAAATTGCTTCTGTCGCATTAGGTGAATTAGCTATTGGTACTGGTAAAGAATTCGCTCCTTATGTTGAAGCTTCTGTTAAATCTTTAGCTGATCAAATTGAAAACTCTTATGGTATGAGAGAAGCCGCTATGAACTGTTTATTCAAGATCGCTAAGGCTATGTTTGTTGCTTCTTATGGTGAAGGTTTCAAGGCTCCAAAGGGTGTTCCTCAACAATCTTATGTTGATGAATCAATCTTACAATTAATTCAACAAGTCAGAAACGTTGCTGTTCCACTTTTGGAAGAAGAATTCGAAATCTCAATGGTTGCTTGTATCTTAGATGGTATTGCTGAATCCCTTCACAAATTCGGTGCAATTGCCATCATGGACAATGCTAGTGAAACTGAAGCCTTGGAAAAATTGTGTGCTAGTTTGATGCTGATTTTGAATAAGGAACATCCATGTCAAGTTGAAGATGAAGATGGACCAGCTGATGAAGAAGATGCTTCTGAAACAGATGCTTTATTATATGAATCTGCATTAGAAGTCTTGATTAATTTGTCTCTTGCTTTAGAAGGTGATTTCGTCAAGATTTTCACTTCTTTCAAAGACCCAATTTTAGCTAATATCCGTAGTAAATCTAAATCTATCAGGGTTGGTTCAATTGGTGCTATTGCTGAAATCATTGGTGGAATAAAGGGTGCTAATCCATTTGCTGAAGAATTATTACAAATCTTCGTTGATAGAGTTGCTAATGATAAATCATTAGAAGTTAAAGGTAATGCTGCTTATGGTGTTGGTTTAATTATCGAACATAGTCCAGTTGATCTTTCTTCTGCCTATCCTCACATCTTACAATTATTATTCAATTTGTTATCCAAGGCCGATAAGAAGGCTGGTACTGATGATGAAGAAACCAAGGAAGTTGTGAATAGATCTTATGCCAATGCTTGTGGTTGTGTTGCCAGAATGGCCTTAAAGAACCAACAAGCTGTTCCATTAGAACATGTTCTTGGTCCATTATTAGATCACTTACCATTAAAGACTGGTATTGAAGAAAATACCCCAATTTTCGAATTGATTATTAACTTATACGAATCTGGTAATCAATTAATCATTAACCAAACTCCAAAGGTTGTTGAAGTGTTTGCTGCTGTTTTTGTTGCCGAAGCTGATAGAATCAAATTGGCCAATGAATCTACTTTAGGTAGAGAAGAAAACCTTGAAGCAATGAAACAATTCTCTAGTGAAGATTTGAAAAACAAGGTTATCCAATTGTTAAAATACTTGGATCAAAACTATAATGGTGTTGCTTCCGCCAATGAAGTCTTAAAGTCTGTCATTGCTTAAAGCAAAGATGTTTTTGGTTAACACCCTTATTTGTGCATTTTTTTTTCATACTACTTGTTAGTTCTACTTCTTTTTTTGTTCGTTTAATTATTCCTTCTTTTTATTTAATACAGTATATAGTCTCAATCTTTTTTAATTTAAAGTGTTTTGATATTGATTGACTGTTGTTTCGCCAATGTTCTCCTGGTAGTGTGGCGAGACGGTGGTAGTGGCTGGGTGGGCTAGGGAGTGGGGGGTCATTTGTTTTAGATTTTTTCCCTTAGAAAATTAAAACGGGAAATAAAATTTGGCTGCAAAATTTTCCTATTGCGGACTTGTAAGGACCTCCAAGAAATGTTGTTTTGTTGAACTACAGATTGTCATGACGTAGAGTCACTTTTTAACGCAACTTGCTATAAGAATGCTAAATGACACGGAGTTCATCAGATTCTCTTCTTTTGCTTCTCTTTCATCTAGTATAACCACTAGTTTTAAACTTCAGCTATGTTAGATTCAATTGCAAGCGGCGTTGCCGCAATGTGTTTCATTAGTTTCATCCTTCTTATTCCACCTTTCTTATGGCATTGCAGATGTAAAAATGTTCCTGTTATATGTTTATTGGTTTGGTTGATGTTTCTTGATCTCAATGGATTTATTAATGTGGTCATTTGGGGAGGTGACAATTTCTATCAGGCTTGGGATGGAAAAGGTTGGTGCGATGTGACTGCACTCTTAGAAGTAGGATCCAATGTAGGTAAGATTTGTGCTATTACAGCCTTGGCTTTGAACTTGTACATGATTTTATCCGCTAAGAATCCAGAATATACACAGAATACCAGTTGGAAAAAGTTGGTAATCGATTTATCTATTTGTCTAATTACTCCAATTTTCATTATGTCAACTAGTTTTATTGTTCAAATTTCAAGATATGATATTATTAAGTACCTGGGTTGTATGATGATTTTCCTGGAAACAGATGCAACAATTGGTTTACAATATATTTGGGGTGTTATTTGGAGTGTTCCGGCATTAATCTTATGTTCCTTAACATTAGTCACATTCTTCCAAAAGAGAAAAGATGCTAATGATATTCTTTTATGTACAAATTCTGGATTAAATTTGAAACGATTTGCCAGATTGTTGATTTTTTGTATTTTGGTAATTATTGCAATGGTGCCTATCGCTACCTATCACTTTTATCAAAAAGCCTCGGGAGAAGTCGCTAAGTTTGTTTGGAGTGAAGTTCACAGTTGGGCATGGGGATTGCCACTTTATTTGGATTATGGAATGCTCCCACTTTATAGCAGATTTATCAATTTTGCTTTATCTGTGATTACTTTCCTTTTATTTGGATTAGGGGCAGATGCAGTGGAGATGTATAGAGAAATCTTGGCAAAATGCTATATAAAACTTCCATCCAAAAATGTTAAAGAGAACGCTGTCGTTTATGAACCAAATGAAATGAAGACTTTAACAAATAAATCTAATTTCAGCGATAACAGTCCCCTTAGTAATGCACCAACCATGCATGAATTTGAGAGTAGGTATGCTAGTGTGTTGGCTGAGTTCGATATTGCTGAACTGCCGCAGGCTGGTCCTTCGTCTCCTCCAGGTGCCAAAAAAGTTGGCCTTCCTGCAGCCTATGATACTCAATTGCAAGAATTGATGCGTGATAGAGCAAAGTCTGGAGATTTCTCTTTTAAGTTCGAAGTTAGGCAAGTTTAGAGTTTTTATATGACCAATTTTTTATCATCTTAGATGCCGTTAAATGTTTTACTTAATTAAATATATTTACAATTTTATACTATACCTATGTACACTCTATTTTACATTGAGAAGCTCGTCAAATTTTGCTCTGAATTCGGTTGCGTGTATTTTTCCTTTGCTTGCTTTCATTGCAGACCCGACTAAGGCTTGAATTACTTTAGTATTACCTTGCCTTATCTTGTCAACGAAAGCAGGATTACTTTCAATTATATGCTCACATAACTCTGTCACTGCGTCATTTAACTCCTCAGCTGAAACTCCCTGTGGTTTTTCTAAATCAAGATCTTCGATTATTTCTTGTAATGGTTGTGCAGCACATTGTGGGTTCTTTATCAAATACTTTAATAATATTCTACCGGCCACTAACGATAATTGTCCGTCTGAGATAGCTTTTGTTATATCGAACAAGCGGTCTGAACTAATTATATCAACATCAAAATTAACCTGAGACTTTGCAAATGAAGCAAATAGCTCTTGGAATATCCAATTGTTAGCTGATTTCGATGTTTGCTTCAATTCCTCAGTGAATCTATGAAAGAATTTGTAATAGTATTCTAAAATTGGAGGAGAATTTAAAAGGAATTTAGAGAGGTCTAACGATAATTGATATGGTTCGTTTGTTAATTTTTCAAGAACTTTATCTGGTAAATCGGGTAGACTCTCTTTGATCTCTTTAGAAATGTTCTTACTTAATCTGATTGCTTCCAATTCTGAATCTGGAACATATCTATAATCCAATGCGTCTTCCTTTGTACGTAACGTTCTTGTCTTTCTACCGTCCCAACCCCTTGTTTCCTGTACAAGTTGATTACCTTTTTCAAGTTCGCTGATTTGTCTATTATATTCATATTGTAATGCATTGACTATGTCACTAGTATTTCCCAAATTCTTAATCTCTGCTCTTGGATGGTCGTTCACATTTATATTCGCATCAACTCTAATTGCCCCAGTTTCTAAATCACCACTACAGATTCCCAAATAACTTACTAATAATTGATATTTCTTTACAAAAGAATGTACTTGTTTGATATCTTCGAAATCAGGTTTGGTCACAACCTCAATTAATGGGGTATTACTTCTATTTAAATCAATGGTTATCTTATCATCGAAATTAACAGTCTTTCCAGTATCTTGTTCTATTTGTAATTGTTCAATACGAATTGTTTTGCTAGTTTTGACATTATCAAATTTGGGATCCAATACAATCTGTCCATTCTTGGCTACTGGATGATAATGTTGAGTAATCTGATATCCTAAAGGTTGATCAGGATAGAAATAATGCTTACGATCAAACGTGGAAAATTCTTGTATATCACAATCAAATACAACAGCTGCCTTCAATGCTAGATAAAGTGCCTCAGGGTTAAGTTTCGGTTGTGAGCCAGGTAACCCGACATCAAAATAACTAATCTTGGTGTTTGGTGGAGCATTGAAACTTGTTTCTGAAAGTGAGAACAACTTATGCTTGGTTTTAAGTTGAGTATGGATCTCTAAACCACATTTGAATTTGTAGTTTGGGTCATATTTGAACTTCTTGTAATGTCGTATCGAGGTACTGAATCTTCTTGTTAACATTTTTATACACAAGAACTATTCTTCCTTCAATTCAATTTCCCTATCTGGTTTATACCTTGTATATTTTATATATTATTTCAGATGAGCTTCCGAAAACCATGGATTTGATATTAACCTTAAGCTGAAACTGAAAAAAAAAAGATTGACAACCGAAAAATTAAAATCAAATAGTCGCAATGTTTTACAAACCTCCTTTTACTAAGGACCTTTCAACGAAAACTGCCTAAAAAATAGCTCACAGTATTACCATTTAAATTGTATGTTATTGGGGCAAAAAATAATGCCTTCAGCCAGATTCGAACTGACGATCTCCTCATTACTAGTGAGGTGCCTTACCAACTTGGCCATAAAGGCTTCAAAATAAGCGACCTCGGTGAGGGTCGAACTCACGATCTTGAGATTAACAGTCTCACGCCTTAACCAGCTTGGCCACGAAGTCTTGCTTGCGAAATTTGGATTTTTTCTTTTTTACAGATTAAATTTTTTAGCGCCCTAATTGGGAAATTTTTGACGGAATTTTCAACCTAAAGTAGAAATTTGTGTCGGAGTTTTGTTGAGTCATGTGATATGCACATGATATGCAGGCGACTCGCACGTGCAAAAAGTCTCAAGTTTCAAAATTCAATGTCCTCTAACAGCATTAAAATCTTTGAATGAAAGTGTTTTCTATTATCTATATGCTTTTCTAAAGTATAACATAGGTTTAAGAAGAGTCTATTGGGTTTGATCCTGTTAAAATGAGTTGATTTTATCCGTTAAATATTGTTCATTATTGGTGTAAAATTCACAATAAATTTTGTTCTCAGTTTAAATGAATTCAAGGAGAATACTATGGAACTACATTCAACTAATATAATTTATTAGGGAATTGGAACTATGAATAATAACAATACAGAATAAGACATATTTTCAAAGCAGACTCTGGTAGGGACTCTCAAGGGTCATAAACTATAAGACTAACGTGGAAAACTAGAGTCAAAAAATTTGCAGCCAATTTAACATCGTCTTTTTTTATACATTACTGCTCACATATTAAATGATTCATACATGCAGTAGAGAAAGAACGGAAACACAAGCGACAGTTGCTAGGTAAATGTAAATGCTAGACCCTGTGTTTTTGGTTTATTAGCTCAGTTGAAATATTCCGCGGTCACAATGTTCACTTTGCTGCAAAAAAAAACATTTACTAATTCCACAGATGGGTATGGTGATACAAGTAGTCCATCGATCGAAAGGAATCAGCTTCCATGGGGCGGGCGAGCAGGTTTGAAGGATTCAGATGCGGGATAATTACAATTCCTTGAGATTGAGACATATGCCTTGTTGCTTGTATTCTCTAGCTCTGAATACTCTCATTGGAAGGATTCAGCAATACAAAAGAGAATATACAACGAAACGATTATTAAGAGCAACGCTTTGAAGAAAATAACCCAAAATCATTTGCGAGATTGGCTGCAACCTTCAATGCTTACAAAAACAAAAAGTTTGTTACCACAAGCATAGGCATGGTTAGAGGTTGAGATATCCCGACATACAAGAAATTACCAAAATGGCATATCTATTAACAGTTTCTTAAAAGTCAATACTCATCGAAAAAATCAAAAAACAACTTAATTAAACTTTGTTGCCATTTCCACAGCAGCCGCACCCCAATCTTCACCATGATTATGCATCTTTCCAGGAATCAAACCAGCTCTAGCTTCAGCTTGTTCTTCAGTAAGACAAGTCAAAACCCCAAAGATTACAGGTATACCCAATTCAAAATTCAACTTCATTAATTGATGAGTAGTTGAATCACAAATATATTCGAAATGCATGGTTGATCCTTTGATCAAGACTCCAATTGGAATGACTGCATCTAATGGTTTCCCAGCTCTTTTTTGTTTTTCAGCAAATAATTTAGATCCATAAGGTAATTCAAAAGATCCGGGGACGGTTTCTATGATGATGTTTTCTGGTTTGACGTTTAATTCGGTCAATCTTTTGACGGCACCTTTGACTAATGCATCAATGATCTTTGAATTCCATCTGGCATGAATAATACCGATTCTTAAGTTGGAACCTATGGAAAATGATGTATGTTAGTATTGGTTTCATAAACAACAAAAGTAGAATCAGATTTCAGGAATAGCCTTGTCGAATCTTTATTCTTTGTGAGGCTTGTTCAGGGTTACGTACCATCGTATTGTTGGTCTAATTCTCCTAATCCTTTGACAGCCATGTTTTCTTATATTATAAATAGGTTTTTGGGTTGAGATATTTCAGAAGTGCTAGTGGTACAATTCTAATATATAATTCAAGTCAAGCGTTGTTATACTAAAGCAAGAATCTGTTCAATTGATCCCCATTCTATCATTTCTCGACGATGTTCTCGCAAGGGCTGGAGGAGAAAGAAAAAATGGGAGCAATGTTACCCGGAGCACAGATTGAAAAATTTGAAAAATTCTTCAAGTGATAATTACTAAAAAAATTTTCAATTCTATGTGACATGTTCCTTTGCATAACTCCTTTAGTTAGATAAATGCAACCTAGAAGCTTTATACAGAATGTATGTTATAATTTCAACCTCAATGAAGGCATATTACACAACGTTGTGATATGAAACGGAAAAATTGTTGTGGGTTGTTGATCTTTTTATAAGGATGATTATGTTTAATTCTTATAATAATTAAATGATTATTTGTACATGTATTTATAAAATAGTCTTTCACCCCTATCTGAATATAAAAAAGAAGATTACCATGATAATTCTCCGGCAAAAAGCAAGCACTTTCAGCTTACTAACAAAAGAATAATAAAGTAGATGATGACCATTGAATAAATCCATTTGTCTGTAGTCTTTTATCTTAGGATTTGAACTTAACAAATTTGTAAGGAGGCATATTAGTCTTTGGCTTGTATCATTAATTAAGCATTTTTAAGAGGTTTCCATCGCAGATTTATAATAAGTGTAAAGTAAACCACTATAAACTAGTTTTCCCCGTCATCTGTGAGGAACTATAGCGATATTGTGATACTAGGGCTTACATGGAGTTGACGAGTGAAACTTACGTTGTACCTATTACAAATCTGAATTGGAAGCTTCTTACTACCTGCTAATGATTTTCTAATATATCTGTCGATTGATCAGTGGACGTTTTTATCCAAATGTTACCCACACAGCACATTTCTACTTCCCTGTTGAACAATGGGATTTGATACAATTAAATAACTATCCAATTCTCACTTAAGTTTAAGCTAATTTCGGGGTTTATAGTACCACTTAAGTTGTCTACGAATACTATGACGACACCGAGAGTGTAGGCAGATCATTAGACAGAGCATTCACAATGTTCTGTTTGTTCGCTCGGTGTCTCAATAATGCTAAAAGTAATAGGCGATCAAGGTCTGGAAAATGAAGGCATCGGAGCTTTTACGTCAGTTTGAGAAATCGCTCCTGGCTAATGTTTATTCCGGGTTCGGGTTTGTAGGATCTGAAATGTGTATGGATAATGTATATTCCGCGACCGGATTTCCAGGATGATACAAAGAGAAAGCATGGCCCCTAAATATGCATATTATCAGGAAGGAACACCCAATAATCCCTTATCGAACAGACAACATAACCAATAGGTCCCCGTTATTTTTTTCGGCTTGAACCCAACAATCAAGAGGTTGCAATTGTAATCATCAGGCGTTTGGGACCACAAAATTTATTTTTTCTTTCTTTTTTGATATTTTCCAGATCCCCACTGTAGCATTTATGTGAGTGGTGTGTTAATCTACTCAATGGAAGTTTTGTACAACCATGAATTCCTACCTACCATAAGTACATGCTGAAATAGTATGGTATAAATATTGGCTTTGTAATGCTTTATTAAAATAGAAGAATTGAGCACGATAGAAATTTGCAATCAACTTGATTTGTTGATGCAATTAAAATTTTATGACATATTTCTTTATGTGTGATCTAAATCTTTGTTCAAATAGACCTAGAATTGAACAAAGAGAGGGAAGGTCATTAATTCGTTTTATTCGTTACTACGGAGTAATTATTAAGCACTGTACAATTCACCCACAAAAATAATGAAATAGTGAATTAATAGGGAAGGAGGGGAGAGGATAAATTCCACGCGATTTAATATGTTTTTTTTTTTGATTTGATTGACGGGATGGGGTGGGGTGTGGTAGTAGTGAATAAATTGACGTATGGCGTAAACTCGCGTGTTTTTCTCTGCGTGTGTGTGCTTTTTTTTCCTCCTATTCGATTTAACCTTAGCTTGAATGAAGTAGATATTGGTAACATGTTAAGTTGGCTTAGATGATTGTTAAAAGGTTCCTGTCATACGATTCTGATAATTTATTGTGATGGTCATCGATTGAAAGTTAGTGACATGAATTTATTAAAATAAATAAAAATTAAAAAATAAAATTTATTTTTTGCCTTTATTCTTCTACTTCTCTTATCTTGAAATGTTTATTTTTCCATTTGTCCCAATATTATATTACTAGTACAACGATATAATATGAAATGTGGTTCTTCTTGTTACAAGTATAAAAGCAAACTTAAAATTCTAAATTTTGTTACATTAAAATTTCATTCTTCTAATTTTCGAGATTATCAACCAACACAGTTTTCCAATTTGATATATAAATATCTATAAATCTTTCTTTATCAAAAGGAGCAAGAGATTTCAATTTTGTTTTTTTAATTTGATTTCCGTATCTACAGTTTTTTTTTTTAATAGAAAATTTAAACGTCACATTGCAACCCCCATTTTAATACGAACACGCACCCACACCACTACCCTTACGATTTTACCATCATTCAATCTCAATTCCTATTAACAACACGAACAGCAACTACCAAAAAAATATTATACCCAACAGAAAAACAATACAAGATAGCATTGCAACATACTACTTAAGTAAGAAAAAATATATAAAACTAGAAGGGGATTTTTTTTTTGATTAATAATGTCAATAAATCCTGTTTCTTTTATTAACAATAATACTGTTAGACGCAACATTAATAATAATAGTAACAATAGCAATAATAATAATAACCAACTGCAAATGAATTCATTAAAGACCAAATCAGGTGAACGAACTAAATCAGCACCTAACAACAGAACCAGATATGATAACTATGATACAACTTCAAGTATCTTATCAGATTATGAAGAAATGGATTTCGTTGATATTGAACAGTCACTGTACGTGTTATTTAATCCAGTTAGATCAATACAAACGAGAAACACGTCAGATATACTATCGTTAACAAACACTGCTACTCACACTTATTCTTCAGATCTGGAGCTTGAGGAGGGAGATGAGGAGGAAGGAGAAGATAAAGAAGAGGAACATACAGAAATTAAGGGCCAAGAGGAAGAAAATGATGAAGAAGAAGAAGAAGAAGAAGAAACAGAATTAAGTGACTCGAAATATCACGAAAATGATGTAGCTGATATCTTTTATAGTGCACGACTGGATCATTTATCAAATAAAATTAATAGTTGGTATAATTCGAATAATAATGCATTAATTCATTCTCATTTATTGATGAATGAAGATGTAGCTAGTTGGAATTTAGATGAAACTGTTATGTCTGGATCATCAACAACAGCAAGATCAAGTACAAGATTAATGATAATTACTGAAGATGAAGCTCTGAAAGTATTATTGAAACAATTTTATGGTGATGAATTATTTCAATATTTAAATAAAGAAGAAATTGCTAAAGTAAAGAAATTTCATAAATTAATTGATATTAAAGATTATCTATTAGATAAAGATCAAGAATCAAATCAAACTTCATTATTAAGTCAATTAATTTATAAAGTATTAATGTTAAATAATAATAATAAGAATGAAACTTCCATAAGTTCATCTTTTCAAGAATATACAAAAGTAAATTATCCAAGATGTGCAGCTGCTGGGACAACCGATTATATCAATTATTTACACAGAATACCGCCTAGTGAAAACATAGCCACTGTGGCGCCAGAAATTTCTGCTGATCCTATGGCATTCTCAGAAACCACAAATTCTTCAGTAATAATGTGTGGAGGATACGGGTCTTGGAATGACGTTAATTAAAAGCTACAACTGGTTTGTCATAAAAAAGGGGTTTTGTTTTTTGTTTTTTGTCTTTTGTTTTTACTTTGTTTGTGATTGCTTTCCAATGGAGTTCATTGCTTTGGGAGTTAGAATAGGGTCTTTGGGTTTATTTTTAGAAATTATACACACAATGGTTGCTTAATTTTTTTTTGTTGCGTGGTTTTGTTTTATCTGTGATGAAATATCATGGCAACTGTTGCAAAACGGAGTTGGGAGGACATTTTGGCTTTTACATAAGGTACATTATGCTAATGTTTTTTTTTTTTGATGGTTTTTAAGGGTTTTGAGATTTGCATCCTTTGTTAATATTATTATGTTGGATAATGTGCGGTGGTTGCAAATATCTTGTGTCATTTTTTGGTTTTTCTAGTTTATACGAATCTTTTATAAAGTTAATAAATTCAATTGCATTTCATTTCATTTTTTATTTGTAGTAAAATCTTGATGCTTTTTGTAGTAATTCATATACTCATACCCAAACTTGTTTTCGTTAGGTCTCTACATCATAAGAACACTAATGAAAGCGCGTATACGATGAGGGGGGAAGTAATTGGAACGGCTCTATTTATCTAATTTAGCCAGCAAACGACCTTTGTTCGTTAACTAAATTTTTTTTTTTCGTCGTTGAATATTCGTACTGTTCATTGTGTGAAATTTTCGACTCAAGTGCAGTTGAAAAAAAAATGTGACTTTCAAAGATTTGAACGAACTCTCCTCCCCAAACGAAACAATTCCCGTTTAATCTTTATATAACTTAACCTTACTATACATAATATAATATGGGTGGATGTATGTACATTCTAATATCGGCATTCGTCTTTAATTGTTTTCAGAAATACTAACAAATTTTCAATCTAGTCCGTCTTCTTGACTTGGTCAAATTCTTCTTGCCAATTTTACCAGAAGTTGAATTACCTATTGAGAAAATTGCATTTGATGAAAGAATCGTATATACCGTCGGTAGTGCTGTCATTTTCCTTTTCGGTCAATTACCAATCTTTGGATTAAAATCCAATGCACAATTCTATATCAATGATCCTTTCTATAGTGTTAGATCCATCGTTGGTATGGAAAAAGGTACCCTTTTAGAGTTGGGTTTATTACCTGTGGTAACTGGTGCCTTTATCTGGCAACTTGCTGCTGGTTTGAGATTAATCAATGTCAATTTGGGTTTAAGATATGATCGTGAATTATTCCAAACTGGTCAAAAATTAACTGCTTTCATTTTGGCTATTTGTTATACTATTGAACTTATTTCTTCTGGATATTATGATAATGCTATTCGTGGATATGATCCATTAAATGATTCAACACCATTTGGTACTTATGCTTTAATTTTCACTCAAGTTGCCGGTTGGTCTTGGTTTACTACTTTATTGGTTGAAATTTTCGATAAAGGTTATGGTTTTGGTTCTGGTGCATTATGTTTCTTAGCTTTACAAAACGCCACCAATTTCATTGCTGATGTTTTAGGTCTTGAAGTTATCCCAATTATTAACTCCAATAAAACTGAAAGTTTAGGTGCTTTAGTTAATTTAATTAGAAACTTTAAATTATTCAGTCCAAAACAAACTGCAACTACTATTTGGCATGCATTCACTCGTGTTCAATTACCAAATTTAACTCAATTCTACATTGCTGTCTTATCAATTGCTGTTTTCATTGGATTACAAAACTTCCGTATCGAAATTCCAATTAGATCAACCAAAGTCAGAGGTATGAACAATGTTTTCCCAATCAAATTATTATACACTGGTGGATTACCAGTCTTATTTGCATTCACTGTTTTAATGAATATTCAAATGTTTGCTTATTCCTTCACTAGTTTATTATCTAAATTAGGAGCTCCAGAGTTCTTGATTCCAATTTTAGCCAAATATGAAACCTCCCCAACTTCAAACAACTTAGTTTTGACATCAGGTATCTTTTCCTATTTCACCAGTTCAACCTCCTTGGTCCAATCATTATTAGCTCCAATCAGAACCGTTGTCTACTCCGCCTCAATCATCTTCTTAGCCGTCTGGTTCGCAAACAAGTGGAGTTATGTGTCTGGTTCTGCTCCAAAGGATATCTCCAAACAATTCAAGGATCAAGGTATTTCTATTTCAGGAAAAAGAGATGTCTCAGTCACTAAAGAATTAGCCAGAGTTATCCCAGTTGCTTCTGTCAGTGGTGCATTCTTATTAGCTGCCACTTGTTGTCTTGGTGAATTCTTGGGTGGATTAGGAAAAGGTGTTGCTGCTACTATTGGGGTTTCGTCTGCTTTTGGAGTTTTGGAAGAATTTATGATTGAATATCAACAAAGTGGTGGTTCGCAATTCACGAATGCCCTTTCTGGATTACAACAATAGATAAAGACCTTTGATTGATTCTTGTTGTCATATATTGCTTTTGGCTCTGTTTATTCTTATTATTATTGTAGCATACATCAGGTCAATAATATATGAAAATAGATTTATAGGCAGTTTTAAGTCATTTTTAAATAATCAAAAAAAAAAATATACCAAACCATTGTTTTATTATTGATTGATTTTTAGTATAGTATAGTGTATGTTGCGTAACATATAAGTTTGTAATTAATAAATAAAGAACACTAACCAATATCTCTCAAATTGATGTGCTTATTCCTTCTTTCTCCTTCGTTCCAAATTGTTGCCAAAAAAAGTCCAAAAAAAAGAATAGTGACTCCGACGCGGTTCGAACGCGTGCATCTTTACGATAGTAGAACTTGAGTCTACCGCCTTAACCACTCGGCCACAGAGCCCCTTTTTTTGTTTTGAAAATTCAGGTTCTTTGTGACCGAGATTTTTAAATCACGTGATCATTTTGGTTTTTGCACAAGAACTTTCGTTAGAAGATGTTTCAGTTCTTTGAATTATATCAGACAATGAATATCGAACATTTCTATATGATTATATGTCTTCCAATAGAGTCTTTGAAAATTTTGTTGACTTTTAAGGCATTTTTCTTTTTTCAAATTTTTGGAAGATTTTCTGGAGAAATCATTTTGTTTTGGTTCTATTTGGTTGCAAAAAAGCATCGTATAAACAGAATGCTAACACAATTAAGAACCATCCCATTCTATGATCAAATGTTGTTAATAATCCTATGCTTAGATCAATGGAGGAATATTTAATCACATCGTTCGCCATTTAACAAAACGATTAAAGGTGAAGCTTTAAGCTTTTGAACTTGTAGATTGTATATGTAAAAATAAAAAATAACTTGTGTATCAAATGCAATTTACGATAGCATTTCAAATGTGCCTTCTCCTTTTAGTATGAGGTCTCTTAAGCTGATAGCATATATACTGACAAGATAACCTCTACTTGTGAAATATCAGGTACAAAATATTCAAAGCTTTTAAAGAAAATATGAAAAATAGAGGGCAATTTGGTTGTAAAAAAAAAATGCTGCAAAACATTTTGTTTTACTCATTGACAATTGGGACATCTTCTGCGAATGAAAATGAACTCATGAACAATCGCAGATATTCCTAAAGATCCTCCAACTAGACTGACGGGAATGGTCATGAACGTGAGGTTTGTAAATTCCTTGGCATTGAGATGTGGAATTGTCTACATCTGACTTCAACCAGATTACCATTTGGAGCATGTCACCAATCCTGGCGAAGTCGCTTTACGGAGAAACTTCAGCTTTTGAACCCATTAATATGGATAAAATATATTAATTATAATAAATACAAAGGAACACGTATATACACATCTTCTAAAAGATAACACAAAATCTAAAATTAAATTGGAACTTTAATAACAAAGTCTAACAAATGTCATAAAATCATAATCCAGGAACGGCTTCTTCGAAAAAGTCCAATAATGCTTTATCTATCCAATCACATCCAGTGTCAGAAACAGGAGAAAGTTGGCCAGACATTCCACCAAAGTCAAGCTGGTCATTATTACTAACTAATTGATTATTTGGAGTCGTGCTATCAAAACGTAAGTTAAAGGTATTACCACGACTTTCATTCAATGCATTCAAATTGGTTTCATTAAGATAGGATGGTTTATTCTGCTGTTGGGAATTATTCTGAGTAACATAAGAAAGGTCATAGTGGACAGATGGTGAAGTATTGCTGGAAAGATCATGGTCAACCAGATTTATCGCAGTATTGTCGGAAGGGTTTTCTGAGAGACTCATATTTTCCAACCCTATTTCAATACGAGGTAGGAAATCCTTTAACTTGGAATATAAATTTGGTCTCAAAGCAGTTAATGATTCTCGGATATGTTTAGCTAATTTTCCTGATAATTCCCAATGGTTGGAGATAGGATAAATCGCCGTCAATGAAAGTTTGATATATTCGGTGTAAATATCTAAATCATCTTTGCTTAAACCAAAGTTCTGACTTCTGTCGTTTTGAATGGTGGTTTCAACCCAAATGTATGCACTCAAATGAACCAATGAAGCTAATGCTAATCCACAGGCGAAAAGAGGAGTTCTATCTAGTATCTTGGAGGAATTCGTGTCTATCAAAACTTCCACTATTGAATTTGCCGCTTCTATAGTTTTCTTAGTCTCAATATTCGTTCTGGAATCGGCTTTCATCTGGGTAGGCATTTCTTTGGCTTCAAGTACTTCTTCACTACATTGAGGGTGTTGTGGTGCATTGATTTTCCAAAGGTATGAGAACGGTCTATGGACGAAAATCTTAGCGTAATTGTAAAGCAAGATTGATTGATGTACACCTTCGTTAACCTTTCCATTCTTGTGAATCAACGGTGGCGCTCCGAAAAGTTTAGGATCTTCCAACTTCATTTCCCAGCTTGACAACGATGCCTTTAGTCTATTCAGTATGGATTCAAAGGGTCTCTTATTAATGATTTCAATATTCATCTTCACCGCATCGGAAACCAATTTAGCAGCTTCTGCTCTCCCTTTATAGTCGAACTGCTCCCGTGGTGGATATATTGGATATGAAAGATGACGATCAAGCGAATCTAACTTAGAAACCGTTTTACCATCAGCAGAACCTATTATGACATCGAAAAAATATAACTCCCAGAATAGCCTTCTTGCGGAATCGGCAATACTAGATCGAGGTATATGAGACAATCTTGGAGAGTCAAACACAGCAAGAGTAGCTCCAGAGCTGCCATCATTAGATGATGGAGTCAAGGCATCAACATTTACAACCTCCTTTTCCTCATTATCAATTAAGTTAATCTGTAACTCCAGAATTAAATGAATGCAGAAATGTCTTAGCTTCTTACTAAATGCATGGAATGAGGATATATGTGCTATTAGTGCCACAAGGAAGAGTACCTGTATTGATACCAAATCTACCGAAGGGTTCTGTCTAACAATATTGACACATTGAATTAGCCTATCTGAAATTAAGTCCTTGCCTTTAGCATACATGTTCGTTATTTGACCATCACCAACAATCTTAAGAATAGTCAAGACTTCCTTTTCAATTGAAGGGTTTGCCAAATAGACCAATAATTCCTCTCTTGGGGGCATTAAGGGGTGGGCTCTATGGAATTTGTCAAAATAATTCTTCAAGATTTCGTCCTTGTCATATGATGAAGGATCCATAAAGTGATCAAAATTCAGTACTCGTAAATTTATCTCTAATTGTTGAAATGATCTAACATCCTTGATAGCATCTCTACCAGCAAATAAGCAATCAAGATTACCTATTGAATAGTCTAACTTAACTCTTTTTCTTAAGCCTTCAACCATTTGGGATTCATTTTCATTCAAGGGACCATCTTTTCTATGTTCAAAATAGTTAACAGCAGTCTTACCGGGACAATTCAGTCCATCACAGCGCGAATGATCCATGGCACAAGGTAGTTTGAAAATTTCCTTAACCATATCATTGTTATTCTTGATATTATCCACTCTCTCCCTCATAGTTGGAGCATCTTCTATTGAGGTAGTAGAGGCATTTCGCATAGGGAAATCCTCAATCTCGGCAAGGAACATTGGCATTTTGGGACCTTGATTTACATCATTGACAGTAACAAGCTTATTCTTATTTGAAACACCTTTCTTTCTTGATCCACCTCTATGACTTGCCACATAAGTACATATTTTGTTGCCTTTTAAGCATCTATCACAAGTGGGGGTTGCACCATCGCACTTAAAATGTCTTTTGCGGCATTCGAGACATGCCTTACTAACATGCTTTCTCACTCTGGTTTGTTTAGGTTTCTTAGTTTCCGTCATGTATAAATATCTGAAATTACCTCGAAAGGGTTAAAAAAATCGTCTGACTTGTCGTTTAACTTGTAACGAATGGTAGAAACTACAGCTATTTTGTTTGATTATGAAAGGAATCAACTTTCTAATTAATAAAAATAGTTGTATTTAATAATAAAGATTTAAAATTCAATAAACGAATTAAAATTAAAAAGTCATTAACGTCTTGAGGTTGTCTATTAAAATTGGTTATGACTAAGTGGTGAAACTTTAAAAAAGTAAGGAACGAATCTTTGGGGGTTTATATCCCGGGGTTTGAAATTTTCTCGTATTAAGTACAGGCAAAAAACAATAGTCCATTACAAAAACCAAACCCCGTGCTTAATAATAATTATTTCTCGCTTTTAAATTAATTATGTCAGAGAACGCTATGTATGCATATCTATCTATCCCGTATTCTGCCGTTTGTTACAGTTGATTTATTAGGGATTGGCGAAGGCGTTGTACAATTGTCCGGCTCAATTCCACTAGACCGATGATGATGGTTGCAAATTCCAAAACCAAGGTTAAAGATACATCTACACATGGTCCAAAGGATATCATGAGCCGCGTCACTCCACTTTTAACTTTAAGGTAAAACTCATAATCCTAATTCAAATCTCAACTATAGATAAAGGTACTCTCTTATTTTTTCATTCTGCATCCCGAATGGCTTCGTAATTCATCTCTTGGACAATTCAGCCAACTTGTTGGCTTCCAAGATAATTTCTCTTCTTTTTTAGAACCTAGAGGAAATACAAGTTAGTTGACACTAATAAGGAGTCTACGTGCGAATATGAGAAATTAGATACGTCTAGAGTCTTTCAAGAAAAAATCAAAGTCTCTTTCGAGCATGGTCTTTAGATCAGTCACCATACGTGCCAAGAAACGGTAAACGCACGACCACAAGATATTTTGGTTTCTTGTTGTTAAATCCAACTGGTGAGGGAATACACACTATGAGCATTGATTGGATAGCTTCAAGTTACAGTTTCAAAAGCTATACATAGCAAATACCAAAGCTTATGATTTAATGACTGGGGAAAGCGACGATATCCCACCACCTTCATATAAAATTGTGTTATTAGGGGAGTCATCAGTCGGGAAGACATCACTCGTTCATCGATTTATAACCAACCAATTTGATATTCATACAACCAATACAATTGGAGCTGCATTTATAACCAAAGTTTATGCATCAAGTAATAATCCGGATCGGAAAGTAAAACTTCAGATCTGGGATACAGCTGGACAGGAAAGATATAGATCATTAACACCGATGTATTATAGAAATGCAAAGATTGCCTTAATTTGTATAGATTTGCAGAATTTTGAACAAAGTTTTGTTACTGCCAAATATTGGATAGAACAATTGGAGTTAAATAATTCGAATGTAGGTGAAGATATAAGAATCCATCTAATTGGAACTAAATTGGATTTATTACGGAATCATAATGCCCATGGGCAACAATTATCAGAAGAAGAGATAGTAGAAAAGCTAAATGAATATAGGCAGAATTTCCCTAGTATTGTAAAAGTTCATAAAACAAGTTCTAAAGACGGAACAGGCATAACTGAACTATTCGATGAGATTATTGAAAATATAGATGAGGAATTCTTTACAAACTACTATCTGACAGCTGAACCCCGTGTACTAATAGGAGGACAAGGAGGACAAATCGGCTCAATACTAAATTCTAGAGGAGTGGTAGGACGAGGATGCTGTTAATGAATTGCATATAGCTATTTAATACATTCTATAATATTACATAAATAATCCTAAAATTCGAGGCCCTTCTGCCTCCAATAGTCTCTTATAATACCTTTCTCAACCTCAGATTTAGGTTGCTTAGGTGCAGACTTTTCTTTGGCTGCAGTGTCATCATTGTTATTATCATCCTTTTTCGTTTCCAGTTCTTCATCTGAGTGCTCAAGACTTAAGAACGATTCCACAAGCTTTTTAGTATCTTTGGCCTTATTAGTCAATGGGGTTGGAGCTCTAGGAGGGACTATCTCAGAATCGCTCTCAACCGTCATATCCGAAAAATAGTACTTGTCATTCCCTCCTGTACCATCGCTTTCTTCCTGGGAGTCATCCTCATGATTTATCAAAGCAATATTTACAACCTTATGTCTATCATCATTGAAGTCTCTTTCTTGTCCTCGGTATCTGATAACATCCCCTAGTATCAGCTGGCCCAATCTCTCTTTATAGGTCGATGCATTAAGTTGATAGCATTTTTCAACAAGTAATTGATAGGCACCGCCAAAAGCTTTCTTTATATCTCTTAAATTATAAGAACCACGAGTAATGTTGTTAAACCTATCAGCCGGATCTTGTATCACTATTGCGAATGCCCCTCTGGTACTCAAAGAGGTGTGCTCACTTTTCAAAAGATACATTGGCTCTTCGGTTTCAGTATTGATCGCCAAAATCAAGTTGTCATATGAGAAATTACGTCCGTATAGTTCGAAAAATTCTATCAACAAGACACCCAAGTTATCAAGTATATCAATTGATCCCGAGGAAACTTTTGGATGCAAATGTAAGAAATGGTAACACATAATAATGGTTGCGTAACCTCCCAATCCACCGACATGAACATTATTTAATCTTCTAGACCTCAAAAATTGCTTCACAACGAGTACCAATTCACGAAGACCTGGGGTGGAATCTAACCATCGACGGATTCTCTTGGCAGCATCAAGTCCATTTTTCCTTTCAAATGAAATGTCAATATGAAGGTCAGAATAAGGATCAACGAATTTGATAATGGGGACTTTTGCCTTAGCAATAACTTCAATATTTTTGGCTAAATTATGTCTTCGTAAAAATGCGGATAATTGATATAATCGGGATTTATTTTCATAATCTCCAGTTTCGGAAATCACAACCATATCAATATCAGATCCAGGAAGATATAAATCAGTTGCACACGACCCAAAAACATGAGCTTCAGTACCCGGCCAGAATTTGGCAATTTTTTCTTTTAATTTATTGACCACAGTATTTCTCGTTGTGATTTCTTTACTAGATGGCGATATATAATTCACAAAATCTTTCATTTCCATTGTCAACCAATCTGCTATTTCCTTTTGTTTTGAATGATCATGATCTTTCACCCATGGATACAGAGCCTTCTTTTGATGGTGGACTACTGAACCGTTCTCATCGGCACTTAAGATTCCATCGTCGGATAATTCCTCATATTTCGCTTTATCATCGTCTTCCTCATCAGATGACAGAAACCCAAATCCAATGAAGTCCTCTTGCTTAGCAAGTTCATTTTCTTCCACTTTTTGTTTCTTTCGCTGTGGTCCCTCATTTGATACTTCTTCAGTTCCAGAGTCAACATTGGCAACTTCCTCGGAGGACACCACCACTGGATCATCCTCATCGTCACTATCTATAAGCACTATCTCACTTTCTTTTGACCCTTCTTTTTTATAATAGTCGAATACATAATCACTTGAATCAGAATCGTCCTCAAGGTGTTCACCTAATTTTGCAAATTTGTTTTCTTTGAGTTCAAGACTGTTAGATCCTGTCGGAAATTTCTTAGACTTCTTCTTCTTTGGTTTCTTTTGTTTCGGCTTCTTCGACGCCTTGCTTACTTCTGAAATATCTCTCTTCCTTTTACTCCCCATTATACTCTGTAGATTGTAGTTTATGTATATATAAAAAGTATATAACAAAATCTGTTTATGTAACCATCTTGAACCTCTTCGATTTCTTTTTTTTTCTGTGCCAAATTTGCAAACATTGATTAATGTCGCAGTACAAACCATTTGGACAATGTCGCATTCAAAAAAGATTATCACGTGATTCGGCAATTTCCGGAAACATATACCCGAAGAGAATTGCAAAAATTGTAGTCAATATTGAAAATACCCATAAGTTCACTGTTTTATGTTTGGAGTAATACAAAACTGAACCAATTGCACAAAAAATAGAAAACTTGCAAGCTGATATCATGTAATTGGGCGTATAATATGACAAATACTCCAAAGCAACCCAGTCTAGACAGTAGAAGGAGACTACTATAGCCTGATTGGTTTCTATCTTCACGGTAGTGGCTGATTTTGGTGGAACTTGAGAAGCAATATTTTTGTCATTGCTCAGCATTTCTAATAAATTAAAGTGCTCTGCCTCACTTTGCTTCTCATACACGGGATCCTCAACATCTTCCTCCGAAGACGTCTCCACAACAACAGCAGCTGCAGCAGCACTAGAATTCAGGTCAGAATGCTCAAGAAGCAATCCACTGCTGGCACTATTTCTATGTTCAGGATGTTGGAATGGTTCTTCAATAACGTCCTTAAGGAATAATTGTTGCTTTATTTCTTCTAGCAATACAAGTACATCTTTTGATATGATTCTTGATGTAGAACTATTTCCTATTCCATCACCTTTAATCATCATATAAATTAGTTTCTCAAACTCTAGTATACCCTCATCTATCGAATCCCTTATTTGTAATACATTATTCGTGAACCATGAACTGAAAACATCGGAAGATAATTCATAATACCAATTCATGATTTTATCTCTAATTTCTTGAGGGTCAGTCTCTTCTTGTATAATAGAAGAGAATGGTAATGAACCAACACATAGATAACACAAAATCAACCCTAAAGAATAGATATCACTTTCATAGGAAAAATCATTAATAAAAGTCTTACGATCTTCTCCTAAGGTTGGATCATTTGAATATAACCAAAGTTCAGGGGCAGTGAATTCAAGAGTTCCAGTATTTCCTCGTCTTTCATCAAATTTATCCTCCACTAGTACGTTGTGATGTTTATCAATAAATTTACCTTCCCCGAAATCAGACACTAATACTTTCGGTAGTTGCTCAGCTTGATCTTCAAAATCTCTTAAACTGGAAAATGACCGCTCCAATATTTCTCCAGGAATGTATTCTGTGTCAAGCAAACAATTCGACGGTTTCAAATCACGATGCAAGATGCCATGAACATGTAAATAGTGAACTCCTTTAGCCACATCATGAAAAAACTTCCAAATTTCGAAATTGTCCAACCATTTCTTCTTAGGTTCTTCTACTTCAGGAATGCCATTATGTCGTTTCATTCTTCTTTTCTTTCTTTCCAAATCGATTTTGTCTTTTAATGATAAATGCTCTTCTCGCTTGAAATTTCTATTCATTAAATCCTCCAAATGACCACCAGCACAATATTGTTGCAAAATAAACACATAGGGAATCTTCGAACTGTTCTTAATACTTTCAACTTGACCTGGGTCAGGTAAGATATATGCAGACAGATCTTCAAGTTCACCCAACTCCAACCACACATGATTATATCGAATCAAATTGTTTTCATTTGCCCCCTTTACTGACAATTCATACAAGATCAATACTTCATTTAAAACTTGTTCCAATAATTCAAACTTATTTCCAATATTAATTCTCTTTATTGCATACGTTCCCAATTGAATGTCATTTAATACGTGATTCACTTTATATACTTGTGCATGGGCCCCAGATCCCAAGATATAGGGCTCTACTTTTCTGAAAAATCGTTTGAAGTAACCTTGATTGAAAAGCTCCTCTGGCAATGTGCTTCTCAGACCAGTAGACGGTCTAGGCTTCGATTCCGTTATAGAAGGTAGTTTCCCTAATAATTTGAAATAATCTCTACGCATAAATCCATTTGTTGAATTCCCGCTAAATTCAAAAGCTTCTTTAGGGAAAGAAATGGGAAACAGATTTGTTGGTCCATTTGAATTTCGCCTGGGACCTTCGTTTCGATACTCAGACCAAGAAAATCCACAATTAGGGCATTTAGTTGAGTTTCCATTATCCTTAAATGGATGGAATGGATTCGCTGGGAATGTTTGAGATGGTCGTCTCTTGCTGTTGTTTGATTCCTTGAATTTCAGTACAGGTAGCAATTGAATACTATTTTCGGAACTATCATGAAGAACCACAATGCCTTGATTAGCATCGTGATACAATATATCTTTGTTAGAGTTGTAAGGCACGATTGACATTTGATATCTTTCTTGCTAATTCTAATTCGCTTGAATTCAACTGACATCAACTATTAACTTATAGTTAAATTGTTTGAAAATCAAAAACCTGTAACGTGGAGACAATAATCACACTTGGTAGCACCAGACAAAAACGCCAAGTGGTGGAGGTTGCGAAAAACTACAAAATTTACAATTGCCAATTATTAAATTATCATAATTTCATTATAAAATTAATCCCGTATATACGTATATAACATTCTATCTAGCACTTCTTAAACGAAGCATCAAATTAAGTAAACTGGTTTCTATATTATACTTTTCTTCAGGAGTCAACTTCATTAATTCTTCATCAGTGGCAGATTCCAAGCTTCCCACAAGTTGACCAATGTTCAACTCACGCTGGGACACAATTTGAGCAGATGGGTCCTGAATTCTTACTATTTCCATGCTTTCTGGCTCATCGGTATTTTCAACAACTTGCAGTGTGGTAGCAATATCAGTAGTGACAAGACAAGACCGCATGTTTTCATCGCTTGATTCAACCACTTCCGGTAAGCCCGCATGAAGACGTTCAAGCGATAGTTCTTGTGGTTCCTTCAGTTCTTCTTCTTCAATGGTTTCCATAGGGGTATCACATATTTGTTGGATGTCATTTGGAGTATCAATAACTAGATCTAGATTTTCATCGACAAGCGTTGATTGTCCCTTAAAGTTTAGTGACTCAGGTGACTCTTCAAGACTACTGGTTTGAGATGTTTGAGAATTTGAATCAATCTTCTCGTCAAATTCTTCTATGGCAGCAAGACGGGACTCTGAAGCTCGTTTATCCTCCACTGTAGATTTTCCCGAATCAACTTCGCAAGCCTCCGATATCTTAGTAGAATGGGCCTCAAAGTTTTGTGACTCTACAGACTTAGTGTCAGGAGGGTCGTCAGTTGTTGAAGCTTCAACTTCTGTTGTTTCTGTTTTCTCATGATCATCCGAATCATTATTGGTATCTGGAAGAATGTCTTGATCATGCACTATGTGCGAATCAACTTTTGCTCTCTTGGAAGGTTCTGTGTCCTCCTCGGTAGATTTTCTCTTCAAAGAATTTTCAACATTTGCTGTGGACTTTTCACTTTCGTTGGATACGAGTTCAAGTTCAAAAGGAGAAGAATCATCAATCTCATCTGATTCATTCATTATTGACTCTAACATGGAATCGCCTTCTACTTCAGATACATCATCGTTTTCCTCCATGGAAATGTCACTACTGCTAACCCGGGCACTAGATCTTAAAAGTCTACCACTCGCACGTTCCATAACTTCTGTGATCGAACACGAGTCTTGTTGTTGGTTTGTTGAAAGTGATGCATTTTCCTCAGTATCTTGTATCGTTTCTTCCAGGATAATCGACATCCCAGTTTCCTTTTCCTTTTTAACCTTAGATGACTTCTTCTTCCCTTTTCTGGAACTGCTACGTTTCTTCTTTCTTATAGATGCAACGCTTTTATTATCACTCGACGATTCTTGCACCACGGCATCTGATTTCTTCGAAGCGAAATCCAACGAACCTGATGCACTGTCAGTTTCTATTGTTTCTCCCAATGTATTTGATTCTAGGATCTGCTCTCTTAATGAATCAGCTACTTGCAAAACACTCACATCTGCTACGTTGCTGGTTCTTCTTTCCTCACTGGAAACAACTGATTCAATTCCACCTTCTAGAGAGTCAGGTACAATTATATCTTCATTCTCCTGCTTGATTTTCACCACCTCTGTCGATTCTTGATCTAATTGGGTCTCCACTGTCTGTTGAGACGTACTGCTGCTATTGCTAAACGATGTTGCTGGAACAATTTTCCCATTTCCGATACATAATCCTCTTTCATTCAATTCACTCTCCAACACAGTCAATTGAGACGTTTCAAATATCAAAAACTCTTCAATATTGATATTCAATTCAATACAACAAAGCAGGAGTAATCGATCCAACAATTTGAAGTTTTTGTTCTCTTCGTTCGATTTAATAGTCAAATAACGTCTTAATATTTGCAATGCTTCCAATTGAAGTTCATTATCTAAAGTTCTGATCTTATCTATGATTTCACCCAGCACATTGAAAATCTCATCATCTAATCCTTGATCAGCCAAAAACTGGAACATTGCCACAAAATTAACCTGCCCTTCAAAGCACCTCAATAGAAGATCGGTGGTAAACAGTTGAACATGGGTATTTGGTGCACCCTTTACAAGTAACAAAAAGTACATCTTGGTTTCCATACACCATTTTTCAATATTCAAATATGTCAAGCAACGTCTTTGTTCCTCACTATCTGGAATTGATACAATTCTCTGAATTAATCTCTTAACAAACACATCAAAACCAATATCAAAATGTTCACAGATTTCTCCATACAAATTCAATTCAAATTTGGAAACACCCACACTACGCTTGTTTAACACTTCACTGAATAAATGCTTTGCACTGTCTGACAATTCAAGTTTGCAAAAGTCAGCAATGAATACAAGTACTTTATCTTCCGAAAGTGAACTGACTATCAAATTAAGTAATTCTAATGTTTCCTCTGAGGAACATCTTGGCATACAGCTTTGCATTAGTGGGAAGTAAATATTACTATCCGTATCAATATCTTCCATGTCATTTCTTCTATGAACAAACAAGGAGGGATCAAATGTGTCATGCAAATTAAGAATAATCTTATGTATCATGTCATATGAAAGCGGCGAACCGGATGAAAGCAATATATCTAAAACCACAGGAATATTATCAATGATATCGAATGTTGTTGCCGACACTTTTGGTTCCATTTTAGTTACAGGTCTTATGCTACCTAAGAATGCAATTAATAAATCCACCTTTTGTTCAATGTAGAGTTGATCCAGTTGGAAAACAAGGATAATACTCTGCATTATTCTATCAAATTTCGAATGGATCCATCTTGGGGGTAATGAATTTATCTCATTCAATGACACCAGCTCATTGGATAAACATCTGATTTCATTAAAGTTTCTTTCATTTATTGGTGTTGATAATTTCAAGAATCTTGTCAAGACTTTTAAACCGAGTTGATGCATGTACTCAGTCGAACCATCCTTCTTGAAATAAAAATTCATAAACACAAGCTGAATCATTTTATCCCAGTAGACATGTAAGTATTTTGTAGACAGTTTCATAACTTGAGGATTGACAATACAATATATTATTGAACAAAAGAGATTATGCAAAGTATCCACAACTTCATTCTGAACTTCAGCTGCATTAAAACTTCCAAATAAATAAGTTAATAATCTCATTTTGGTCTTGACTGCATTATTTATCAATTGTGATCTATCTTTAACATTTGAAGATCTCATAATAGGGTCCAACACTTTTCTAATTTCAACTAAATCATTTCGACATAAATTATAACTAACTGCTTTCCAACAACTCAAAGCCAAGATTCTGGCTTGAACATCCTGAGAATTGAAACAAAATTTTGGAATTTGTAACCATTGATTTAAATGCTCCCATTTATCAAACCCCGAGCCTGAATCACCTACTAATAATGTCAATGCCACCCAAATATCCATTGCAAATTTGTATTGGCCAGCACTTATAAGTTCTTCAAGTTTATAAGTAATAATATCTATTGATTTCACCTTTTGAGATTGGGGGGATTCAGAATCTATTTCTAATGGGGTTCCAGATGCGATGGATCTAATATTTGCAGGAATACCAGAAGCTAAGAAATCTCTAACATATAACAGAACCATTTTATTATCAAGGAAAGCCTTTGCAACTTCCAAAAGACAATTAACCCCTACTGAAAAGCATTTATAATAAAATGGTGAATTAATGTCACAAATATTCAAAATTAATAATCCAAACCAATGTGCCATATTCTTAGCCATTATATTAGGAAAGTTAAGGACAAAATTCTTAAAGCAAACAAACTTCTCAGTCACTAAAGATGAACTAGGGAATCCCTTCATATTAACCAAGCTTGCTAGCATTCTTTCCGGAATTTCTCCATTATCAAACAATAATCGTTTTCTTTTTGGGCTGAGTTTACAATCTTTGATTATAAGTAAGTACGGAGAAACTAGAGCTTTAGAAACCCTAGGATGAACTAATATGTCACATGCATGGCGATAAAACCACTCGATGTCATCAAAGGGTAAGAAATTGTTCAATTCTTGGTCCATTAAAAGAATATTCATTAATTTCAATGCTTGACTGATGACTCTAATTCGGAATGGATCATTCTTGGAAGGTGATTTGTTTTCTTTATCCAATTCTGAGCTGAATAATTGTTGTTCAGTAATCTCAATATCTCTACGTATTTGAGCTGATAAGCACATAATTAAGTTTTGAATTGGTTCTGATTTGTGTTGATTTTGACTTGGAGATGATTTGTTAGGAGGAGTCGGATTCACAGGATTGGGTGATATTGTGAATAGTTTCACTAATGCTTCATTTGTGTTTGATTTACATATAGAATTCAACGTGGCATAAACTTCAAATCTTCTATTGAACAGGTCGTCTTGTAAAACATGAATACATCCTTCAATCAAGTGATGTAAATCGGGAGAATTGGCTGGAAGTTGAATAATGGTACCTTGGAGCCAGAAATTTGGATTTTTTGGACCATTGACCAGTTTCTCCCACAATGCTGTATTATTTGGATCAACAACCAGATGATTCAAATTAAAATTATATGCTTTAAGAATGGATCTAGGAGTAAAGTTTCTATCTGGAGTACTTGGAAGATCCGAAACCAAATCATCCGAGAACGCAACACTCTTCTTTTTCTTAATTGGAGATGAAGATAAAAAGTTCCTTCGTATTGGTGAAGAATTGTTGGAAGACAGTTGCAGAACTTTTTTGGTTGGTGACGAATTTACTTTTTTGATTGGTGATGAATTTAATTCTTGTGGGGATAATGATCTAGGCTGGCAATTTATAATTGGGATCTTGATTGGAGTAGATACATGCTTTGGCGAAAGACTAGATCTATGCTTTTTATGAGTTGCTTTGGACTTTCGTATTGGAGAACCATCATTAATTGAATTCACTGTCGTTTGACGCGTTCTTCGTTTGTCACTTGCAATTGATGGAGCCATGATTTTCACTTTAGTTTATTAAAGGATGGTATAATTCCAATAAAATCAATTCAAGATTTATGTTCAAAGTATAATAAATTCAATAAAATATTGGGAAATAAAGTAAAGACTAGAAATGATCAATAAAGAATGAATGAAAATTACGACAGAATTTTTGATATGAATATTGTTTGTCTGTCTCTTTGTTCATCGCGCTGATTTAGCAGGAGCGCGGTTCTTACAATTTAAATTTTTTTTTTTAATAAAACAATAACACGCGCCCTGGCAAACTGTACAAGAAAAACGTTGTACTATGCGGTGGTAGCGCTCGTTCTGAGGAACTCATACGAAGAACCTTGCCAAGTTCTATGCATTTCTATACATTTATTCTACATAAACCTATTTATTTTCAAACCTTTATTCTCTTCAGGTCATTTCCATCCCCTTCTGACGCCGCCCTCTTTCGTTCCAATTTCGCTTCTTCCGCAGTCATAAATTTATCCTTTTCAAATATATCTGGTTTTAATGCATTACCAAATTCTAACCATTTACGTGATCGTTCTTTTCTTAATCGTTTCCAAAGAAGAATGGATCTTTCTTCAATCATCAGATCCCTCATTTCTTCATCTTCACATTCTTGAATAGAATCTGTCAATTGATCGATTTTAGCATGGGCCAATTCAGCACTAAATTCATGTGGATTATGTAATTTGGCAATCCCTCTCTGAGTTCTCATCCTACGAGTTAATTGTGGAGTAACATAGGTATTAAAATACTTGTTTGGTTTATATGGGAAAATATCCTTAAATTTATCTTCAACTTCTTTAATTTCTTCTGCAGTTAATAATTTATTTAAGAAATATGGTTCATTTGTTTTTGGATCTTTTCCATAAATCAACCAACCCCACCATATTCTTTCAGTTATGATAATATGTTGCAAAAAGTAAGCAAACTGATTATCCATACTACTCTTCAAGTGGTTTAAGATATTGACCTTAATTTTCACAAGCGACTTTCGAAATGCTTCACTCAAGGATTCATCCGTTAAATGCTTTACATTAGTTGGTGCCTTTAACCCACTCAAAAACCGTTCTTTGTCTTCCCAACCTAATTCAAGAAATAAACTAACAATTATGTGAGCTTGCAAAAGAAATTGCAATTTTGCTTTTTTTGATTTAAATTGATTCGTAATAAATTTTTGATCTTCAATTTGAAGATTTGTATGTTCTTTTCTATCTTTCGTTCCGGGAAATGGAGAAATATAATAAGTTTCAGGAATATATAATAAATCAGAATATTTTTTTGTTAAATATTGTTGTTCAGATTCAGGTTTAGGTGGATGAATTGCAAATTGATCAACAGGGGGTTGTGGTTCATCTTGAGTTATAAAATTGAAAACATTGGTTATCTTCTCCGTCATTGTTTTTAATTCTTTGAAATTTGCTTTCTTCAAATAGTAAAACGGATCATTGAAAACCTTTTGGACAGCCAAGAGATCATCCACAAGAACAGATTTCCCTCTATATTGGGGTTGGATATGAGGAACAACTCTATTAGCAATATGGAAATGTTTATTCAATCCAGTATTATCTTCAAAACTGAAAAGATTTGTTACAAAGATTCGAACTCGAAAATGAAATCTATCATTAAATGAATCTTTCTTATATGAATCCAGTTTACCCTGAGAATCTTTAAATTGATATTTATCGGTTAAATAATTACAAATCTCCAAGACTGAGATTCTATCACCGATTGTTTGTCTATCAAATATCTTCTCTTTGATAAGCTTTTCTCTTGATTCTAAATAGGTCCAAAAATATTCAATTTCGGAAGTTGAAATGGCAAATAAAAACTTCAGTATTTGTGATAAGCTATCGAAATAAATATGTCTGGCCAGCTTAAATACTTCAACATAGATATATATCTCAAGGTCTAACACAGCAGCTAATTTATTATACAGTTTCAGCTTTGCAGATTCATTACCATCAATTTGGAGAAATTCAGCAAGAATATCACTAATCACACCTTGAAATGCTGAACATACTATCATCTCCCTTGCTTTATTATCAAGATCATAATTCAAATTATCAACCTTTTTCACATCTTCTTCTGCGAGATCCCCTAAGCTGTCAACATGTAATTTATAATCAAAGGTTGATCCATCTAATATTGTTTTGAATTCATCACCAATATTGGAAAATAATTCTGGTTGTACTTCTTCTAATACAAAATTCTTTTCTGAATTCTTGGTAACAATTTCATCTACACCAGTCTCAATGATTCGTTTAACGTTAGCGATTGGCTTTTCTAATTGATCGTTCATATCTTACTTGTAATGCTTACAGAGAAAAGAATGATGGATCTAGGCATACTGTTTGTTCTTTTGTTGGAACGAAAAAAAAAACCGATTCTCGACCTAGCAGGGTTACAACTCCGTTCTAATTGTTACCACTGCCCGGGGCAGAGCATTAAAAATTACTATGTAACTAAGGGAAGTTCTATATATGCTATTTACAATATGATTCTAAAAATCAAAATTCTTTGACCTATTTTGTTTCTTCTCTGAATGTTTCTTTTTGTCAAGTAATCTACGTTCTTTAGAAACAACTTTTAGTTTTTGCCATTTTTCTTTATCTTCTTGACTTACTTCCCCAGCAAAATATATTTTTGATTTCACTTCTCCTAAAAGTTTCTTAAAACATTCATCAGCATTCATGTCTCTGCTTCTAAACGTATCACTCTGGATCAATAATCCTGAATCTTTAGTCTCATATCTGATTTTCTTAGTTTTGAGTTGTTCTTGGATTGGCATGGGGATCCAATAGCATTTTTGTGGACTCAACCATTCTCCAGCTTCAAGACTTACAGTAGCTTTTGATGACGTTTTGTTGACCTTTTGACCTCCTGGGCCAGATGATCGACTATAATCGATATTGAATAGACGTCTTGGGATCTGAGTATGAGTGAAATTTTCAAGCCATTTCTTTGCTGTTTCTATTTCTTTTGCAGAGAAATTTGTAGAAGATGATGGGGTCGTAGAATTAAATCGTAGTATTTGGAGAATACCTCTTCTATTTAAAACACCTATAGGTGAATATACTTTCAAAGTTGATAGTATCATTTAGTGAATCCTTTACGGAGATGATCAGAGATCGGGATTGTCTTCCCGCCAGTGAAAGAAAAAACCTGACGAACAAATCCTCGCGATTTACAGGATGAGATTAAAGAGCAAATCTAAAGCAAATTTAACAATTTATATTTACTATATACTAACAAGACATATAATCAACAAGTACAAAGGTCAATTGAGTATGTCTAAGCTTCCTCTAAAACATGAGATGCGGCAGAAATGGTAACAGAAGTGTTATCAGGTTCAATGAAAGTTTTGACAATCTTTCCATCTTCAACTAATAATGCATATCTTTTTGATCTTTCATTACCGAAAAACTTGGAAGCATCAAATAATAAATCTAATTCTTTAGTAAATTCACCCTTTGGATCAGCTAAGAATCTAATTTGAGCTTCAGCAATAGCATGATGTAAGATCTTTTCTCCAAATGCTTTAGTAACAAATGCATCATTAACTGCAACAACAAAGAATTTTTGATATCCTTTATCATTAAAAGCACGAATATTCTTAATATAATCTGGAACATGAGTTGCAGAACAAGCAGGAGAAAAACAACCTGGAATACCAATAACGACGGATTTACCAGATGCGGCTTCTTCTGCGAGATTCACTTCATTACCTGGGGAATCTTCAAATACATTAATTGATGGAAGTCTATCACCAACTGCTGCATACATTCTAATTGAATTCTTTAAGGAATTAGCCAATTGAACTCTTGGAAATGATCTTGCTAAGGAAAACATTTTGTATATATATGATAGATCTAGATTAGTTAATAAGCAACGAAATTAATTGACGTTTATAGAAAGATTTGTCAAAAGAATTGAATTTTTATTTCAATTTAAAATAATTAAGGGGGACAAGAGAGCAAAGTTGGTGGAACGACAAACTTAAATTTTCGAATGTGGCTTCGAGGTGCGGAATGAATCGGAGGGAAGAGGGTAACATGAATGTTGCAATGAGATTTTATACGACAGAATCAATAACCACAACAATTAGAAATAGTAGATGCCTTTCTATAGTTAAACAGACATATTAAAGGAAGGACAGACTCTTCGAGGTTTAAGCAACGACCTTCAGAAAGAAAGAAGCATTTTACAATTGACTGAGAAATTGGTGGTTTAACAATCTCGAAACAAAACGTTTTTTTTTTTCCGTCTCAGTTGTGGGCAACTGAATGCTTTGCTCTAATGGATATTTTTCATTTCATTTATAGCTAACGTTCAATTCACCTTGTAGAGAATTATTTTCCATTTCAATCATAATTGTCAATCATGGGAAGAGACACACCGACGAATAACATACCACTGGTTAAAGAAGAACAGATAACAACAGATGAAGCTTTAAAATTATATACAAATACCTTAAACTTCAATGTAATAAGTCGATATGATCCATCAATAAAACAATTATTATGTCATACATCCCATTGTGTTATCTATAAATATAACGATGATTCTCAAGAATGGATAAAGACCGATTATCAAGGAACTTTAGCTATGTATGTCAGAGATTTCAAAGTTCCACCGCCCACAAAATCAACTCGTACTTATACAGATTTACAAGATTTATTCTGTTATGGACTTATATTATTAAATAGAAATAGTCCTGAATGTTTTTCATTAGGATTATTACCAAATAAAGTTAGTAAGCATTTCTTTCCAAATGGGTTAAGTGATTCTGGTATTCTGGAAATGGATGTTGAATTAAATGATAATTTAATTATCGTGAGAAATCTTCTAGGTGACATTTATGGTTTATGGGTATTCAATGAAGATGATAGACTAAAATTATTCAAATCTATTGAATTCTGTCTTAATAGTGATGTAAAATTATAAAGTTAAGTTTTTTCATCATTGAGGAATTTGTACATTAATGAAAACAATATACATGTATTAATACAATAATTATCTTTGCACCAAGTTTGCAGTACCGATCATAGATCCATCTGATGGTCTTAGCATCCCGCTCTCCTTGTACTCTCTATAGCCTTTATATGAATAATTCGTTAACTGCTTAAGTCGGATGAAAATTCGTAGTCACGTGCCACCAACTTTTGAGTCAAGACCCGATTTTTTTTCTTTGAAGAATGTCACTAATGACAGGTGAAGAAAGAGATAGATCCATTGAAACTAACTATCAATCAATCATTTTAACGATAATCCATTCGGGTAGCTGATTCTCTGAAACTCGTGGATCTATTTTCGCCCTTTAGAATTAACTTTTGATAAGAAATTACCCGTTTTTCACCACCACTAAGAACCTATACAAAACTTGAAACAGTAGTTGATAAAATGAATGCACCAGGCGTTGCAAACGCAGCCAAACCACCTATCCAACTGGGTCTAGATAACCTCACACCTGCCCAAATGCAAGCTAAAGCTGCTGCCATGAGACAACAACAGATGCAACAACAAAAGCAGCAGCAGTTGAAACAACAGATCCTCCAACAACAGCAGAATCAACAGCTGCAACAACAACAGCAACAACAACAACAACTTCAGCAACAGCAACAGCAACAACAACAGCTAAAACAAAAATTAAATCTTCAAAACTATCATTTTGCTACTACATCAGAGGAAATACTAAAAAAATATTCAAAATATCCAGCATCATTAAGTTTGCATATTTTTGAAAGTCATTATAGATTCAATAATTCTCAAGATTCTCAAATCATACCCAAAGATTCACCCATGATCAAAGACTTTATGCGTCATGTATTAAAAGAAGAGATTCCTATTGAAATGAGTGAACTTCTTAAAGACTTTTCAATAAGATCCTATGATGGTTGTCTCATATTACAAGTATATGATCATAGAAATATGGTCAAAACCAGTGTAATTACAAATCAAAGAACACAAGCGGCTCCTAACTCATCACCCAACAAAGACGGAAACCAAAAGGCTACCACAGTGGTATCAAAACCAAGGACATATAGGACACTACTCAAACCTACACCGTTATCAATATATTATGATTTATTATATCATACTGATTCTGCATTAACTAAATTCACTGATACTTTATCGCTTCAGATGGAATCAGAGATCTTAACTTTAACTAATAGAAAATTGGATTTAGCTGTTCCTTTGAATCCATATAAGGCGGACGATTATCTTAAACCCGATGAGGCATCCCCTCAAATTGAGTGGGATGAAGAATTAGAAGATAATAAAGTGCTATTCAACCATAGGGATGCAATTGAACAACCCCCAAGGAAGATACATCTGGATGAAATGGTATTGCATAAATCCTCAGAATACGAGGAAATCATGTTATTGTTGTCTAATAGATATAAACGTACAGATGAGCTTCAGGATAAGAAATTAGTAATCGTTAATGCTTCATCTATTCCAACATCGGTTGCGGCATCCACAGCAACAACCACCACAACTGCGACGACGAAATCAGGAAAGGAGGGTTCTGTGGCTACTGAAGGAAGGGGAAGAAAAGGTGATAAGACAAATGCAGCAAATACCCCCGCTGCACCACCAGCCCCAGCACCGACGCAAGTAACTACAAGCACACAAAGCTCTGCCAGAGCAACTGGGCAATTTATGAGATTGAGATTAATTGAAGAGATCAGGAAGAAGCGAGAAGCCGAGAAACTTCAACAAGAAGCCAAGATTCAAGCAGCTGCAGCAGTGCAAAACAACGAAGCTATTCAACCACCTCCACCTCCGCCACCGCAATCTGTTCCTCCACCTGAGCCACAACCTGCAGCAACTAACAAAAGACAAGCACAGACACTGGGTCAACTGGCTCCAAAGAGAGCGAAGAAGGAGCCAACCAAGAAACAATTGCAAGCACAAGCACAGGCACAGGCACAAGCACAGGCGCAGTTACAAGCACAAGCACAGGCACAACTCCAAGCACAGCAATCACAGGCACAACAACAAGGAACTCCCCAGTTTAATGGTACGGGAATGTCTAGTTCTAATTCACAAGCTACTTCTGCCGCTAGCACGCCTGCTATGAGAAGTAATCCAGGTATACCAGGACAACAACTGCCACCACAACAACGGATGCAAAATAATCAAACTAGTGTGCCTGGGCAACAACAACAGCAGCAAGTCATGGGATCAACAACGCCACAACAACAATCTGCTCAAGCGCCGCAATTGACTCTTGTACAACAGCAACAACAACAGATTTTCCAGAATTCGCTTTCACCAGAAGAACAACAGGTGTTTAAGCAGATGCAACAGAAGATGAATGCGTTAGCAATGATGGGGAATACGGGTATTGCACCTAATAGACAACAATTAACCCCACAACAGAAACAACAAGCACTTGTACAAGCCAAGAATATTCAACAACAATTGATCCAAAAATTCCCACTTTATTTCCAAAGATTGAAACAATTCCAATTGATCCAACAACAAAGACAAGCGAAACAGAAACAACAACAGCAGCAACAGCAGGCGAAATTACAAGCTGCTGCTTCTGCCCAGGCTGCGGCTGCGAACAATTCGCAACAGATTCAACAACAGCAGTTTTCGCAACAACATGCTAATGTTTCTGGGAAATCTGTTCCTGGTGGTGCTCCTACTCCTGTTCCTGCGGCTGAAGCACCTCCAAAGAAGAAGAGGCAATATCGAAAGAAGAATCAGGCTGCTATTCAAAACTAATCACTATTATTTCTGTTATTGATTTTTAATTCGTTCAATTTATTTGTATAACTTTGTATTAACACTTATTATTATTATTATTAATTAGTTACTCGTTAGGAAATAACTAAATTTCTTAAATCTTATGTATAAATTAAAAAACAAATGCATTTATTATTTAATAATTATTCTAATTTAGTACTAGAAAAGAGATAATAGACGAAACTGATAAAAATAGAGAATATAAAATAAGACAAATTTGCAACCAAAATTGATAAATTACATGTAATTGCTAAAAAGAAACAAATCAAAATAAAACCAAACCAACCTAAACCAAAACCAAACATAGAGAGACCAGAAAACAAACTTAAACCGAGACATTAAGACCAATCCAAACAAACCCACGCACATGAAAAGTAGTTTCAAAGAGAATAATCAACATAAATCAGCCTCCTTGAGGGGGAATTTCTTTGTCAAAAAGTAAAACACTCAATGACCGTCCATAAAGAGCAAGAGCAACACCAGCAGCACCCGCATACAATAATCCCTTTCCAATATCCTTTGCAACAGCTTTCAATACACTAGTACCCTTAGATTTCTTAACAGGAGGAGCGACGATATCTTCTACTTCGGATTCTTCCTCTTCTTCTTCTTCCATCTCAGCACGAGATCTCTTTTTGGAAGTATGTGTTTCACATTCGCTGCTGACGGATTTATGAGACAGAACATCCGAGTCATCGTTTTCGTCAATCACATTGGCTGGATTTCTTAAATATCCTTTCAATGGATCAAATTCGGTTCGGATTTCATATTCACAAATACAACAATTGTCAGGGTCGTCGTCTTCAAGTGATTCAAGCCAAACTTGTGGGATATCGTCAAGGTTCTCCTCTTCTTCGATATCGTCTTCGTCTTCGTCGTCAACCAAGATACAACGCTCTTGGTCTTCTTGTTCCTCGTCAAAGATAAAAACCCTTTGGTGTTGTTCTTCTTGTTGTTCATCATAGTCATACTCCTTTTCGTCTTCTTCAAGTTCCTCAACTTCTTCAATGTCATCATCTTCATCTTCGTCTTCCTCATCATCTTCACTTTCTCCTTGTCCTTGTTCTTCTTCTTCTTCTTCATCGTAATCTTCGATTTCCTCCTCTTGTTCGTCTTCGCTATCCTGCGAGATTAATCCCTTACGAGGGCTAACATCAATATCATCATCCTCTTCAATTTCATCGTTGTCTAGCTGCGAATCCTCAGCATGAAGTTTCAGACGCCCATCTTCATCATTATCGTCAAGGTCAATTTCCATAGACTTTTCTTCTTCTTCTGATTCTTCTTCTAATTCTTGGCTTGATTTTATGGAAATGACTGGTTCGAATAATGGAGCTAACATATCCATGTTCTTCTTGTAGGAAGTATCTTCCTTCTCGTCATGGTCATGTTCTTCTGATTCTTTGGTCTTTGAAGCACGTCTTATAGCTTCAAATAAAGGTGCTAATGCAGCCCTATTAATTCTCTTGTTAGTCTCGCTGCTCTCATCACCAGCAGGTTTATTTTCATTGGCTTTATGCAATTCAATCGAAACAACATTTGAATCTTCATCTTCATCTTCTGGGATACGGGTAGCAACGTCAGCTTCTTCATCCCTATCTTTATTTACCGCTTCTTCTACTTCTTCTTCAACCTCCTTGTTGGTAGCATTTTCATATTCGTTGGATCTTGATATAAACAATGAAGGGAATCCAAGGTTATTCTTTTCATTTTGATCATTATCAGAAGCAATATTCATAGGAGCAGACGAATCACTTTCGAAATCAGAATTAAAATCAATCTTCAAAATTTCTGCTGTCTTCTCGTCAACATAAGAGGAGTCCTGAGCATTGTTGTCATTTTCTTCTACTTCTGTAGAATTCTTGGTATTTGCATCATTTTCTTCTTCATCTGATTCGATAACAATAACATCGCTGGGAAGCTCATCTTGTCTATTTTCTTCTTCTACTTCTTCTTGTTGTTTTTGGGTGGAATCTTGGCTGTAATTAGTTGTAGTCCGGAAGGCAACGGGCATAAACAGGAGTGTATTTGATCCAATTTCAAGATTGAATGTCATAGCAATTGTGGAATTTCTAAATCTGGAAAATGGAATAGATGTGGTATTTTCATCTTGAGCACCAATAATTGCTTTAATAACCGAGGAAGGTTTTGAAATTATAAACCCAACCATATCACCATCTTTTAAACTATGCTTAGTGTTTGGAATTAATACTTGGTCATTAACAATTGTTCCAAAAGTAGAACCGCAATCCATAATTGTATATTCGCCACTGGAGATATGGGTAATTACAGCATGTTCTTTTGATAAATGATTATTCTTAAAGTATAGGTTGGTTAGTTTTGCCATTCGTTCATGATCATTCTTACGTGAAGCACGTCTTATATGTACGGATTCACCTGGTTTGACAAACACTACTCTTTGGTTTGAGATTTTGCCTTCATTGAAGGTAGTTGATTTAGGAAGGTATACGGAAGTTGGGGTGGCTTTTTTGGATGGACTCATATCAGCAGTTGAATTTAATGGTGTAGGTAACAAATGTATATGAGACATTAATAATGCTAATTGGTTAGTAAAATGTGAAGTTATATATTAATAGGAGTAATTCAATTGATAAAAGAAAAGGAAGTCCAATAAAAATTTGGAATCACTTAAAATCTTTTTTTACGGGGTAACAACAATAACTACAATATCAAAAAGGGGAGTGAGAATAAATTCAAAGTTTATTTAATAAGCAATCTAAATGATGATGATCACTTGACTTGAACAATTAACTTGAAAGTTGTCAATTAATGAATTGAATCTTTGGAGTAAAACAAATTATATTTAAAATAAACCACAAAACTTAGTACGGTAATTGGTGGCGAGAAACTGACCCTAAGTCAGTTATCCCCTTTATTGATAAGCGTTAATAAGCAACCCTTCTGTAACAATCTTATCAGCAAAAATTTGTATAATATGCAGGAAGTTTTTTTTTTTTACAACCAATTTGTAGCAATAGTGGTGGCACTTACACACATTTTCATCTGAAGTACTATACTACTCTAGCTTAAGAAGTATCTTCCAGGGTGTTCAATAATTCTTCTTCTATGACATTGGCCATATTCGAAATCTCCATTTTGTGAATCGTTGCAACTGCTTGAATGGGTCAACTTTCCTGTGGCTCAATAGGATGTATTGGCTTACTTGCATTTAATCTAATTCACAATATTTATTTGACACACTTTTCAAAATGATGATCAATTACCGAGTGATATTTCTGAAAATGGTCTTCTCCACTTGAAACGTATATCATACTTCTTCCAAATAGTCAACTTAGTCCATCAGCAAAGTATTAATAGAGAAAGCCATTCCTAACAAAAGTTGGTTGCAAAAAAAAAAATCAGTTCTCCTAATTCACGTGATCATAATTTTCCTCATCAAATTTCTTATTTCCAATTGAATTTTCCTGTTGTCTCTTTTAATTAAAATTTGAATCAGATAAGAATTTCTTGGAAAATGAGAACAGAGACACAATGAAAATTAACCCAATGGCTATTTAAATGTCTTGAGAGACAGCAGCACTAACCAGTAATAATACTAAGATCTACATAATAATATTGAAGCTTGTAAGTTTTCAAATAGAATTACATATTTTTACATTTTCAATATCCTTAATATAGATTAAAACAACAATTGAGATTTAATTTTTATTTATTTAATCGAAATTCTTTTTTTTTTCTTACAACCAAGAAATTTAAAAATTCATTTCATTTCAATTACTGAATTCATTCATCCAACTTTCTCCCATTTTAAAAATATATTAGAATGTCATCTACACCTGTATATGTTGGTCATCGATCACCACAACAACTAAACGACAAGATGAGACATGGATTTGATCAGGATTATAATTCAGAAAACTTTTTAACTTTATTGGCTAATACCTTTTATATTTATTTTGATGATAAACGACAAAATACTAATGGGAATCCAATTACTGAAGAGATGAAGAAATCTCCAAAATATTATAGAAATTATCAACCAATTTCAGATTGGAAAATAATGAAAGAACGTCAAAAAACAATAAGTGCAGTATTGGTATTATGTTTAAATTTAGGAGTTGATCCACCTGATATTATGAAAACTTATCCTTGTGCAAAATTTGAAGCTTGGTGTGATCCTTCAACTTTTACTGATACTAAAAAAGCAATTGAAAATATTGGGAAAAATTTGCAATCACAATATGAAACATTATCATTAAGAACAAGATATAAACAATCTTTAGATCCTTGTGTTGAAGATGTTAAACGATTTTGTAATACATTAAGAAGAAATGCAAAAGATGAAAGAATACTATTTCATTATAATGGTCATGGTGTACCACAACCAACAGCAAGTGGTGAAATTTGGGTATTTAATAGAGGTTATACTCAATATATTCCAATTTCATTATATGATCTACAAACTTGGTTAGGGGCGCCTGTTATATTTGTTTATGATTGTAATAGTGCGGGTAATATAGTTCATAATTTCAAAAAATTCGTTCAAAAACGAATAGATGACGATAATGACGGGAACCATGATACTAGTGCTCCATCTCCAACTTCTGCATATCTTGATTGCATACAACTAGCGGCATGTAAAAGTAACGAATTGTTACCCATGAGTCCAGATTTACCGGCTGACTTGTTTACTTGTTGTTTAACTTGTCCTATAGATATAAGTATAAAATGGTTTATTATGCAAAGTCCCTTGAAAAAGAATTATTATGATTTATTACCTAGAGATTCAATTGGGAATGTAATAATACCCGGGAAATTAACCGATAGAAGAACTCCCTTGGGAGAATTGAATTGGGTTTTCACAGCCATCACCGATACAATAGCTTGGACATCATTATCTAGACCAATTTTCAAAAGATTATTTAGACAAGATTTAATGGTGGCTGCATTATTTAGAAATTTCCTTCTAGCAAAAAGAATCATGCCTCATTTAAATTGTAATCCAATTAGTGATCCACCATTACCTGAAGCAGTACGATTTCATTCAATGTGGAATTCATGGGATTTGGCAATTGAACAAGTTTTATCTCAACTATTAAGAGCTCAAGAAGGTAATCCTCCACCAAACCCTAGACCATTGTCTATTTCTCAAGGAATCACCCAAAATGGATCAGTATCTACAACAACAACAACATCAACAGTACCGTTAGCACCAACCATGAATGGAAATGCTGGTACTGGTTCGACTGCCACTAATAACAGCACATCAGTAGCGGTCACATCACATGCAACTTCACCTCAACCACAACAACAACAGGGTTTAGGGAATTATCAACATTCAACATTTTTTGAACAACAATTAACTGCATTTGAAATCTGGCTTAAATATGCGGGACCATCAACAAAAGAACCACCTGAACAATTACCTATTGTTCTTCAAGTGTTATTATCACAAGTTCATAGATTAAGAGCATTGATATTATTATCTAAATTCTTAGATTTAGGTCCATGGGCAGTCTATTTATCATTATCAATTGGTATTTTCCCTTATGTATTAAAATTATTACAAAGCCCGGCACAAGAACTCAAACCAGTTTTAATTTTCATTTGGGCCAGGATTATGGCGATTGATTATAAAAGTACCCAACAAGAATTATGTAAGGATAAAGGATATAATTATTTTTATTTGATTTTGAATTCAAGTCCCATGAATCAAATTGGTGCTCCTGGTGCCCCGGGAGCAACTGGGAATATGTTAATTAATGATGATCATAAAGCAATGAGTGCATTTATTTTAACTTTATTTATTAAAGATTTTAAAAATGGTCAGAGATTATGTTTTTCAGTTGAAGTTATTAATAATTGTTTGAAATTTATCCAGACTAGTGAAATCCCATTATTGAGACAATGGTGTAGTTTATTATTATCACAACTTTGGAATAAATATCCTGATGGGAAATGGATCGCATATAAGGATGGATATATAAATCGATTATTATTATTAATTAATGATCCTATTCCAGAAGTCAGAACTTCTATTATTTTGGCTATAACTAGTTTCCTTTCCGATCCAATCAGTCCCCAACAACAACAACACCAACAGCAACAGCAGCAACAACAGGGAAATATTCCTGATGTGAAAAGGGATGAAATAAGGCAACAGGACTTGAAGTTGGCGAATGCAATATTGAGTCTTTTAGGTGACGGGTCATCTATGGTTAGGAAAGAATTGATTTTTTTTATTAATAAATTCATTCAAACATATTATAAATTTTTCCTTGTGGTTGCATTTAATCAATTAGAAGAAGAGATTGTACTTATTGATAATTCCAATTATTTGAATGAATTCAGAAAAAAATCACCGGCATATGGATCGATCTTTAGTTCGATTTGGAAAGCTTTATTAATCCTTTCTGAAGACCCTCATTGTGAGGTGAAACAATTGGCTGAAACTTTGATTGATTCAGTTATGGTAAAATTGAATGAAAGTGAATTAGCACCATTAGTTAAAGAAATGCAAGATTATTTATTAAGCAAATCAACTATAAATATTAGTGAGAGTTTTAAACCAACTAGACCAATTATGAACACGACTAAATTGGGGGATAGAAGACAAGTATCAGCTGGTGCCACTGTTCAGAGGAATAGAAATAGTTTACTTATTGATGGATCTTCATTAACTACAAGATCAGTATCAACTAGTAAAATAGATTCACAAGATCATGAGGATTCAGATTCAGCATCTATAACGTCCAAAATTAAGAAATTATCAGTTTCAAAACTTTTCAAAAGTCTTCAAATTAATGATGAAGGAAATGAATTAAAAAGTTTCACCAGAATTTTAAATTCAGGATTAGTTCAAACAAGTTATGGATCAGAATATCGACCAAAAACTCCATTTTTCAAATTACGTGATTTAACCAAAACACCGGAATTACCTCATGAATCAGGATTTTTCGAATATAGTTGTGAATATTTCCAAGAAGCACAAATGTCAAAGAATGAAATTGATGAACCGGGATCCAAAGATTATATTAAACGAATCTGGCGTAGAAATAGAAACGAGGCAATTATTCAAGAAACTCAACCACAAAAGGAAATGGCACTTCGTGGAGATTGGAATAAAGATGTAATTGTATTAAATAATAAAGTACAACCTAAATGTATTAAATTTACTCAATTTGAAAAAATCTTAGTTGCAAGTGATGAAAAGGATAATATTTCCGTTTGGGATTGGGAAGAAAATCAAATTGTTAAAAAGTTTTCCAATGGGAATCCATTTGGGACCAAGATTACTGATATTAAATTCTTAAATGAAGATGATTTACCATTACTCTTGACTGGTTCTTCAGATGGAGTTATTAAGATTTATAAGAATTTCCATAATTATGAAACTGGAGGTGGTGGAAATGCTGATGATGATGAAGTAGACGAAGTTGAAAAGAAAGTTGAATTAGTTGCCGGTTGGAGAGCATTGACTGATTTATTATTAACTTCAAAAAGTTCCGGATTAGTCTCAGAATGGCAACAATCAAGAGGATCTTTATTAGTTAGTGGAGATGTCAAAATCATTCGAATTTGGGATGCACCTCGAGAATTATGTCTTGTTGATATTCCAGCCAGATCCTCATCCTCCATCACAGCCTTGACTTCAGATCAAGTTGCTGGTAATATTTTCATTGCTGGATTTGACGATGGTAGTGTACGTGTTTATGATCGAAGATTAGATTCTCGTGAATCTATGGTTAAGACATGGAGATCAACCAGAGGTGCAACTGCTGGACAAAAGGGAGCTATTGGGAATGGATCAATCAGAAATGTACACATGCAAAGAGGAGGATATCGTGAATTAGTCAGTGGATCTTCTGATGGATATGTCAATCTTTGGGACATAAGACTAAATGACCCAGTTTTAACGTATACAACTGCAGAAAAATCAATGAGATGTATCGATGTGCATGAACATGCTCCAATTATAACTACTAGTTCAAAATCAGTTAATATTTGGTCAACAGCGGGTGATTTATTGACTACTTTAAGAAATCCTCATGATAAATATCTTTCAAATCGTACTTCAAGTTATTTGTCTAGTACTACATTCCATCCTCATAGAATGCTCATTGCTACTAATTATAATCAAGATGGTCATATTAATGTATATTCATGTGCTGATACCATAGTTGAGTATTAGTGAAAAGTATATAGATAGAGACAATAAAGAATACTTTTAGATTTGACATAAAACCGTTTGAGTCATATCGCTATGTATTTCCAATTTTATCTCTCTCGTGATACCCTTCCGATTTTCGGAGAAGAGATTTGCCCCGAGCGTACGGCATATAAGTTTGGAATTTTTGTATGCAGTTCTTCTTTATAAGAATTTTCAAATCCCCATCTTGTACAATCATCAAACAACATCACTTGTTGGTAACTTTCCTTAGGTTTAATTAGTTTTCCCATTTTTGCATTTTGTTGTTTGATTCCATAACCAAATATATTTCTAAACTACACATTACGAATATGTCATTGTCATCGGAGATTGCGGGAGCCATTGAAGAAGATGATCTTAAATTTGGCAAACAACTAAAAAAGAAGATGAAAACGCTGGACGACATTTCAATAACTCAGAGAATGATAAGTGCATGTCTGGGATCCTTATTGACTTCGGTTGTAGTGACACCTTTTGACGTTATCAGGATTAGAATACAACAGCAAGAAATCTTACCTAAAGAATCATGCTGTCAAACTCATTTCCCGGAGAGTTTCCCACAAGTGCGAAATACATTAGTCAAGAATATGGCAACATCTGCCACCACAAGTGCTGCTGCTGCAGCTACTCAGGCATCGGCTACTACAGGTAGTGTATCCCCTGAATTATTCTGGATTCACAATAAATACTGTGGCTCTGGCAATTGTACCAGGATAACCAACACATTTCAAGGATTTGCCACAGTTACCAAACATGAAGGAATAGCAACTCTATGGAGAGGACTTTCACTTACATTATTAATGGCAATTCCATCAAATATAATCTATTTCACCGGATATGAATACATAAGAGATCATTCGCCAATATCACAACATCCCTTAAATCCATTACTTTGTGGATCACTTGCCAGAATCATGTCAGCTAGTTTTGTGGCACCAGCAGAATTAATTAAGACTAGACTACAATCTATCCCCAGTGATCTGAAGAAATCTTCAGCCATATTGTCAAATTTATTAAAAGATCTGTTTCTGCTTGTGAAACAGAATGGAATAGGAACTTTATTTAAAGGATTACAGATCACCTTATGGAGAGATGTTCCATTTTCGGGAATATATTGGTCAAGTTATGAATTATGTAAGGATCGTATTGCCCGGGGATTAAAGACCGATTTTAATACTAGTAATAATTCAAATGATTGGAAAGTATTTGCCACTTCATTTTTATCGGGATCGATTTCCGGTACAGTTGCGGCATTTTTCACAAATCCATTTGATGTTGGAAAGACAAGATTACAAATCACATTTGAAGAAAGTGGAGCTCGAGGTAAGAGAGAGAATATGTTTAAATTCTTGTTGGGTATTTATAGAAAAGAAGGAATTGGGGCATTATATACGGGATTTGTCCCCCGGGTAATGAAGATTGCACCAGCTTGTGCAATTATGATTTCTTCATATGAGGTGGGTAAGAAGTTTTTCAAGAATAGTAATAACTAATAGATGTAAATAGTTTTGTTTTCGTGCATTTTAATAGTATATAGTACACACAGAGATTAGTTTAATTTATAGATTTTAATTAATTAATTATTTATTGATTCATTTGACAATAACGGTTATTTCCATTGATTATTGGATTCATGTGAAGGCTCTCTTGGGAACCCATAATTAAATATCCCATCTTGAGGTCCAAGTTGCAGAAATTGACGGTGTGTATGTTGCAGGTACTGACGAGGTACATTTTGGGTTTGACTAGGACCTAATGGTACCGGTTGCTGTTGAGCAGGTGCACGAGGTACTTGTAAGGCTTCATATTGCAAATTATTATTATGAGAACAAGGGGGGACTTTTTTACAATCTGCACAAATTGATTGAGGAGTTGCCATTTCATAAGTTTGTCTTTGATTTTCTTCTTTTAAGGATAATCCATCGATTGAAAATTTTGAATCTCTCCTTCTTGATTTTGAAAACTTATTAGGAGAAATTCTGGCAATTTCTCCGCCTCCATTATCTTGATCCAACACTGAGAGTATGTCATCGCTGACATCTCCTAATTTTCTTGTTAATAAACTTACAGAATAGACATAATCAATTACTGATTCTTTCAAATCGTTTCCAACTGCTCGAATATATTGTTGTTCAACCACTTGTAAACTACATTCTACTTCTTCTAACTTCTCAGTAATCAAAATGGTTCCAGATGCTCTTGGGCCAAGCTTTTCTTTACTTTCTTTTAACTGTTTATCCAATTTAATTTTTAACGACAACAATTCACTTTGTTTCTTTTCCCGTTCATTGACAAATGATAAACTTAGTCTAATTTTATCAAGCTTTTCTTCCATTTCACTAAATGTACCATTTTGTGTAGATAATAGTTGACTAAACTCTCTTATCATTAATTTATTTTCTGCATTAGGAATGGATCCTGACCAAGTAATTAAATCATTCAGAAGTTGAGTTTTCATGATTTTATATCTATTCCCAACTTTTATAATCTTACCAATCCTTTGATATAGTTTATGAGATGAGATCCGATTTAATTTTGGTACATTATTTTCATCTGTAGTTGTACCATCTCGTTGTGAAGTAGATGAATTTGGAAAAACAGAAAACAGGGTCACTTTTTCAAATACTCGTTGTAATGCAGTTGGAGGTCTAGTGATTTTACGTATTCCGTTATTGTTGGACATTCTTACCTGCTTCTATTATGTTGCTTGTTGGTATGATAATGTTAACGACGATAACTTTCTAAAAATTTTAAGAATAAATAAAAAATTTGCCGCCAGAGAACTAAGTTGAGATTTTTAGATACACGATCTCAAAACACAAAATTTCGCAGCCTATGCAAATAATTTAAGCAACCAAAAAAATAAAAAAATAAAATATGCTTAAATAAATTGTTTATTGGTAATCTATACACGACTCTTTTATTACTTCTTACTAACTTCTTCATCAATATTTAAACCAGTAATATCCGCAATTGACTTTCTTAAAGACTTAGCTCCATTTTCAATACTCTTTTTACTACTTTCAGTAGTTTCTTCTATAGTATGAATTGCATTTACTGCTGATTGATATGCCAATTCTTGTTGTTTAGCCAAAGTTGGAACTTTATTTTGTTCAACTTGCCAGGCAAAAGTCATAGTATTTTCAAAGGTTCTAGGTAAGAAGTATTTAAAAGCACCTAATCCTAAAGCAGTTGGGAATGTAGTTCTGGCAATAATTCCACGAGGACGGGCTGCAATTGTACCCAGTAAAATTGCAATTATAACATATATGGAATTGGGTAAAAGATCTTCAGATTTATTGTGTAATCCACTTACAGTATCAGTAACTGCTCTTTCAGTTTTGTTAACCTTGATATATCCTTTATTTAACCATTGTGTTATAGTATCAACTGAAGAACTGGAAAATTCTCTAATACTTTTAAAGAAATCTTCTGTGATATCAGTTGAACGTACTGAAATGCCATCAATTATTCTATTCGATCCAAGTGCTTTGATCTCAGAAGCTGGGGCTGGTGTTATAGTTCCTGGGATATTAATAACTTCACTTTCATCTTCATAGAAATTACGTCCCTTTCTTGTTTCATTGAGTACTACATCATTGTTCATGTTTAAAGTTGCTATTATGGAACCAGTAGCTAATACTGATGTAGTTAACCGAATAGTATTATTGAACATTTTTTGGTCGTCTTCTAAGAAAAGTCTATTAAATAGTGCCTACAAGCGTCTGAGCAAATGGTTCAATTGTAAGTGGAAGTTTTTTTTTCAATTTTTAGATTTCATTCGAGTTTTGTTTTATTCGACAGAATTGTCGACGACATATGTCGTTGATTTTGATTTCTGCGACATTTCTTGATGGATTTGATTTTTTTTTTTTCAATTTGATTTAAGATGACTTTAATAAAGGTAAGAGTCTCTTGATAAGTCACCATAACTAAGAAAGAATGTATAGAAGAAGTATTATTAGAAGTAATATAACATCTGTGCTATTACGTAACAGTAAATACTGCTATTCAACCACAAATGGATCTAGCAAAAATGACTTTAATTTTGATTTTATGACCCAAGAAGAAGAAAGAACCCCAAATCCATTATTACCATTTCAAAAAGATCTAGGTTCAGTAGTTATACCTGAAGACATGAAACCTAAAAAACAAAAACTTCTGGCCGAGGAAAAGGAAGCTAGAAAACAAGCAATTCGTGAAAAAGCAGTCATGCCATCAAGTTCCCCCTTCCGTAATGAAGATGGGACATTTATCAAAGGTCATAATTCTCAAGATGCAAGATTACATGATTCAACCCTTTTAGGAAAAGTAGATAATCACATCACAGTATTACCTCGAGCAATAGCAAAAGCTATCGGGAACAATATCTTAAGTACAAATACCCCAGGTAGACTTAGACAAAAAGTGGTTTCCATCTATCAAAATATGCAAAAGGCACAAATCCAAAAAGATCCTTCAACTCCATTAGATACAAATGCTCATATTGCGGCATTTTTCTTACAAGATTATTCTCATTGTAGACAGGTTTTGTTAGAACTTCAAAAGAGAGTTGGGAAGGATAAGTTCAATCCTCAAAGTGTTCTTGATGTTGGATATGGTCCAGCTACAGGTATGGTTGCCTTGAATGAAATAATGGGGGATGAATGGGTTCCGAAAGATAAAGACGCATATATTGTCGGAAGAAGAAATGGGGAAATGAAAAAGAGAGCAAAGATTATATTATCGAGACAAATTAATGAGAATTTTGCTGGTGAACAACCATCAGAACCATCTAAAAAGGCATTAAAGCGGGCTGCACGTGCCGCTGCTGCAAAAGCTCAAGAGATAGCTGAAAATGGAGAAGAAGTGGTGGAGGTTGGACAGGAACAAGAAGAGACTGTACAAGAAGAGACTGCACAAGAAGAACAAGTAGAAGAAGAAGATGAATATGTAGGTCCTGTCAATACCAAGAAAATCAATATTCGTACCGTATTTAGAAGTACCATTCCAATGACCAAACAATACGATTTAATCATTGTGAATAATTCCCTATTATCTCGAGAATTCAGTTTTCCAAGAGATGTTGATGAAAACATAAGAACCATTTTACGTTGTTTAGCTCCCGGTGGACATCTTGTTCTTGTTGAACGTGGGAATTCTGTCGGGTTTGAAACTATTGCACGTGCAAGACAAATCATGATCCGTCCGGAAAATTTCCCGGATGAAATCGGGAAGATTCCTCGTCCATATATTAAAGGATCGAGAGGAAAACCACAACGGATGAAAAAGGAGGATGCAATCATTACTGAGGATGATATTAAGTTTGAAGAAGAAATGTTAGCTAAGATGGAGCAGGAAGGACAAGAAATGGCAGAAGAATTAAAAAAGAAGTTTGGAGATGTGGCTGAAGAAGAATTAAAATTCGATCATGAAGAAGAAATGGAAGTATTTGATGTTGATACCCCGATTGAAGAAATGTTGGATAGAGTTGATTATCATTTGAGTATTGTGGCTCCTTGTCCTCATCATAGAAAATGTCCTTTACAATTAGGTGATCCTAAATATTATAAGATTTCTTCGCATAAACGTAGATTAAACTTTTGTTCATTTTCAAAAGTTGTGGAAAGACCAAAATATACTATGGAATTGAAAAGGGGTAAATTATTAGCTTCTACTTGGGATAAATCTGCTGAGGATGGTATTGGTAAACTCACAAAAGCTCAATTGAAAAAAATGGAAGGGTCTGGTAGAGCCGGTGGTCGTGATTCAGAAGATGGATCTTATTCATATTTGATTGTTAATAGAAGTTTAAATGATAATGCTACCCTTGAAAAGATTGAAAAAGATCGTGAATTTAAAGATAGAGATGATTTCACCGATATAAATCATTGGCCACGTATTATTGAGAATCCTCAAAAGAAGAAGAGTAATGTTACCATGAAAGTTTGTTCAGCTGAAGGGAATGTTGAATTATGGCAAGTTCCAAAAAGTTTTGGTAAACAAGAATATCATGATGCAAGAAAAGCTTCAAGAGGTGATCTTTGGGCATTAGGTAAGAAATCTCATGTTGTTAAGAATACATTAAGTGATGAAGCTCGTGAGAAGTTGGATAAATTGTATATTACTCAGAAAAAGAATGTCTTAAAGGAACAACAAAAGAAGAGATGGAAGAAAGTTCTTTCTGTTAATGAAGAGACATTTAATGATGAAATTGCTGATGTTATGGCTACTAATTTAGAAAACTCAAGAAAATATAAAGCTTTGAATAAGAAGTTGCCATTCGATGTTGATCCAGAAAGCTTTGATGGAAATTAGAGTTGATTTGGGGTTACCATGTAAATATATGGGATTATATATCTTGTAAATATTATTATATAAAGGTTTAGTTTTAGGTTATTATTAATGGGGACTTTTGTAATGAAATTGGAATTTTTCTTGTGTGGCAAACCAACCAGCAGTTCCAATGTATGATTTGAGAATAATCTGTTAGAACTTAAAAACCGTAAACTATGTTTCTTTGATTGTAATCGTTGGAATGTTCCATCTAATCATTGCCAATTGCTTGTAATTTGGCAACCAATTCACGTGATACACAACAATGTGTTTGCGGAGAGAGGGGTGATAATATTGATTTTGATGAAATGAATTTCTTTTGCAATCACAGGGATTTTTTTCGTTCGTTTGCAGCACAATTAAAAAATATTCTTAAATCAATAATTTTGCAATTGTACTTAACAACCATTAGAAAATAAAACTACTTAGAGTTCTATTGTTTGAACCAATCAGTTTCTCTTTCAGAACATTTAGAAGATAATTTTAGCTATGTTGACTATTGTGCATGTCAGATATGTTGCAAGTCGAGCCAATAATGTATTTGCAGCTATTTATTTTGGTGAAGTTGTTCATAACCAGTACTGTTATCCGATTCTTTCAAGGGATATAAAGTGAAAGGATACAGATTGCAACCACAACTAATTACGAGAAAGTCATCGTTATTTTTAATGAATCATAATGGAGCAATATTGGTTGCAAGGTCAATATTTATTTCAAGCACATGCTCCGATCCACAACACGCACTTAGTCAAATTGATAAGATGTAAAAAATAAAGGATCTATTGTGAGTATGTGCTTCAAACCGAGTTAGATATAACAAAAAATATACCATATGGGATTTCATTAAACATTAGCTTCAACTTCCTTTGGTTGAAAGCTTGTAATGAAAAGGTTGACAAATAATTGAACCAAAATGGCTGTTAATTGATTCAATATTTTATTTTTCCATGTGATATTTTCTTAAATTTATTTTTTAATTTAAATTAGATTGTTATTTAATTATTTTTTAAATTATATTTGTTTGTAACGCGTCTAATAAAATCAAAAAATTGGAAAACCCTGTTTTAATTTTTACATAACAAAAGTTTTCTTTTATTACACTTTTTTTAACTTATGGGAATTTGATTGTTTCTAATTGCTCTTGCATGTGAATGATCCCTTAATTTAAGTTCCATAAACTATTGGGGAGATTTATCTTGTAGTTACAATTGTTCCTTATTTTCATTGAATTTCAAAAAGTATCGCGGTTGCAATTGTAGGTGTACAGTTGGATGATCTCATCTCATTTAGTAAGTAAGATTATATATAATGATCAACGCATATTAATAACCACCTAATATACCTGTACAAACATCAAAATAAGGGTCTACTTCTTTTCCTTTGTAGACGCCTTTGTAAGTGAATTAAAGTAACGTTTAAACTTTTTGTTACGTGTAGGTGTTTGTTCTGTTTTTTGACTTTTTATTATTTTAAGATTTTTTAATTATTATTATTATTTTTTACGCGGCAGTATGCGTGTCGGTAAAAATAAAAACTGTTCCTTGTTTCCCTCTTCGATTTATATTGTTTTATAAATTCACAAATACACACAAAATCTCACAGAAGGATTCCAAAAATTATAAACAAAATACTGTTTTTAAGAAAAAGTATTATGCGGACACAATTTCCTTTATATAAATAAATAAATAAATAATAATGGAAGAAGAATCAAAACTATCAACAACATCTCAGACAGACACTGATCAAAAGGAAACCGTTGTGAATGAACTGTTAGTAATGTCCTCCAAGAATAACAGTGTATCACAGACATCAATACCACCGCAGCAACCACAAACAACAACGACCACCACCAGTAACACTCAAAGAAGTCAACAAATGCAACTGCAGCAACCTCAACAACAGACATTTCCCCAAGATCAGCAACAGCAACAGCAACAACTTTTACAACCACCAAAAGTCCAACACTCGATGTTTAAATTATTCACATTTGTTATTATTGTATTACCCACATTATCATCAATAATATTTCCATTACCATCAACCACAATCACATCCAATGAACAAGTGGGCAATTTAATAATTGATATATTGACGGTGTTGCTAATCAGTTGGGTTGTACGATATGCTATTGAATGGCCTTATAAATGGCTTGAGAAATTGAAAAAGACTAAACAAATAGTGATTAATCAATTACTTCATGAAAAGGCTAATAATGGAGATTTTACTCGACAATTGTTATTATTAAGAAAGGTACATACATTTGAAATCATTGCTCTTTTATCTTCACTTGTTACTTCAATGTTTGGTTCTTTATTGTTGATATGGACAAGAGAATATACGATAATTGATAAAGCTAGGAAAAAGATGGTATTTAATAATGTTAATATTGCTTTGTTACAATTTTGGTCAATATTTAGAATCATTAGATCTTTTAGTGATATTTTGGAGAATAATACAATGGATGATAAGCATTTATATGTTACTCAAGTAGCATCAAAACATTGGCTTCAAGATTTAAAAGAACATTTCTTTCCTTCCAATAATAGTAATAATAATAGCAATCAAATATTGATGAATAATTTATTAGTTTATAATCGTGAATTTGAACAATTGAAACATGAAATAACTACCTTACAAAAAATCATCTTAAGATTACCTGCTGAGAAATCATTTACTCCATTTCCATTAAACATGTCAAGGTCAACTAGTTCATCACCAAATGCATCATCAACTTCTCCAAATGATTCATCCACATTCAATTCCGTTGCAAAACTCGATCCAATCTCCAAATCATCATCCCAACAACAGAAACAACAACCACCATCAAGAACACCCTCCAATAATAGTAGTAGTATCCAACAACCACAAGCTCAACGTCATTTTCTTTCAACTTCAACCCTCAAGAGAAACCCGGCATTGAAAACTATAATTGAAGAAGATATGACGATTCTATTTGAACGAGATTATAATCTCCCAATAACCCCAAATACAAGTTTATTTGCCAGTTCAAAGGGACATACACAACAACCAAGAAGGGTACCGAATTATCATCATACAGTAACTTACCCTCGAAGAGAGGGTATAACTTATGAACCTCATTCAAACCGGTCTGAAGAACCGGACGGTTCATTTGCTGATATCTTTAAGTCTCCATACAACCATCTCAAGGTATTTTTTGAAAATGATCTTCAAACTAAAGAATATATGTGGTTAAAGAAAGTTATTTGGGAATGTATTAAGAAATATATAATCCTGGGATTATTTGTACAAATATTGGAATTGTTTTATCATCCTATACTGACACTTAAACTTGTGCTTGTATTAATCGCATTTAGAATACCGGTAAAATTGGTAATATATTATGTTAGAATCCATTTAGTGGTTCCTTTATTATTAGTGAATTGGATCATATGGAAACCTTTCCATTTGTTAGCTGTGATTGCGTTGGGTTTATTTTCCGCTACATTCCTGAAACTGAGATCAAAGACTACTCCTACTCCTCCGGTTCCATATCTTCCACCCGTAAAACAATCAATAAAACATCCTACCACTACGAGTCCTCAGAAGAAACGACACCCGGTAGCATTCAAAAGAATGGAAAGATTGCCACCACATAATCGGGATTTTTCAGGCATGAAACAGTTTCGATTAAAATCGCCTCCAGCTACTGCTACAAATAAGAAATTTGATGAATTGCCAGGGTTTGAACCAATTCGGAGGAGAACAGGGGGGATTTTTTCGGGGTCATCGTCGTCTTTATCTGCTCCACCGACAATTAATAGAGAGAGGTCGGGAGGGTCAATTGCTTTATATCAAGATTCCTAGAAGGAATGAGAAAAGGTTTGTAGTAGTAGTAGTAATATGTTATCTAATAGTTCCCCCCTTTGAGTTTATATTAATAGTATCTTTTTAATAATTAATTGTTTATTTAGGTTTCCGTTAGGTCTATGGGGGGTGTGTTCTGAAACGGTAGTTATTTACGACGGATTAATAATTAATTTTTTTAGTAGATCGGACTCCACTCCACACTTTTTTAAATCAATTTTTTTTTTCTTAGAGGGCGATTCGGTAAGATGATCTTCTTTTCTTATCTCATCAAGGGACCAAATCCTTAACCAAGCAATTAACATATATAAGCTGACATGGCTAATAAACGACGTCCCAAGAAGGCACGTGCTCCATATAAAAGATATGTCTACAAATCAAATAATTATTTAGCTAATTCCGATGATGAAGAAGACCAAACTACGGAATCAAAAGAAACAACATTAGAATCAACCAATACTCAAAGATTTAAAAACAATGTTAATGTGAATTCCGTATATATATTAAGTGATCAAATCAATTATCAGGGGAAGATGTGGCCTTGGAGTAAGTTTGAAAAAGTTGATATTTTACGATGTGCAATTCAAGGTCATAATCCTGATTATGTTCAATTAGTTGAGAATGAAGTTGGTATAAATCAAGATATAATGAAACTACCGACAGAAATCTTTGTTGAAATATTTAAAATCCTTCAAAGTTGGAATAAATTAAAACCAAAATATATGAGAGTTTGTCGATTATTTTATTTGATCATATTACCAATGTTATATCGACATCCTCAAGTTAAAGCTAATAATTTCTTTAATTTTATGGAAACCATAAGTAATAATAAGAAACTTGGAGATTATATATATACTTTGGATTTATCTCATATCATTCAATCAGGTAAAAATGCATTTGTGGCAAAATTATTAAAAAGATCAAATAAACATTTGGATACTTTCATTGCACCTCAAACCAGTTTTGGATTAGCTCCATTAATTGCTTTAAAGAATTGTTTACATTTACGAGTATTGGATTTACGATTAGTATCAGAAACTTTAAATCTTGAAGAATTATTCAAATCAATTAGAAATCTTCATAATTTAACATATTTATCATTCCCAAGATCACTGATTGAAATCAATGATTATAAATCAATAGTATGGCCGCCACAACTTACATTCCTCAGGATATCGGGAGGAATATCTGATGATTTTTTATATGAGAGTAATTTCCCAACACTGATAAAACAATTAGAATTTGCTCATTGTCCAAGTATAACAGATATAGGATTACGACATATTTTATATACCATTGGCGCCAATCTAACCAGTCTTAAAGTACAATATCCCATGCCAGGATTAAAGAAAAATTCATTAGATCAAGTGTTTATTTATTGTCCTAATTTATTAGTGCTTGAAATAAGTGTCGATTATGTATCATCATCATTCTTTGATGAAGAATATTTGAGATTTCTAGATTATCCAAGACCATTACGTACTTTATATATACAAAGTAGTGGAATGTTGGGAACTCTGACAAGATTGGATCCTATTGATTTAGTTATTGCTTTGAATGAAGGTAGATTACCAAATTTAAAGAATATTCTGTGTACTGCTAAACTAGGATGGGATCCTAAGTCTGAAGCAGTTGAATATATAGTTGACGAATTAGATGAAAGAAATGGTGGGATTTATATTGGCTATTAATAGTTTTTTTGCAATTTATAGAGAGAAGAATTAATCAATCTTTTTCGGTAGCGCATACTGAACCCTAGCTTAACAGAAAAAAAAAATAAGTCAACATTTGATTTATCACTGCCTACTCACTTCTTTTCTCTCTATATGAACATTCAAATCAAACTTCCAGTAACTTCAATTGATCTTGAAGGAAGCAACGTAATAGAACAACTTGAAGCATCTGTTTCAAGAGAAATTGTTTTCTTTGATGAATCTATAGTTGGTTATATTATTCATACTTCAGATCTGGAACCATCACCCGTACCTAAACGAGCCTCCCTTGATATTTCAATTCTTCCACAGGATAGTATAACTCATGTCCTCAACGCTGATCAAAGAAATGGTTTCAATATTGCAAATTTGACAATCGATGAAACTGTTTATCTGTATGAAAATCATCATGTTTGGAAATTCGAAGTTCCAGTAACCTATCCTAAGAAAAGACTAGCAAATCCTCGACTATTAGTTTCATGTACCCTTATAGGTGATAATCACGAATTGACAACACAAGAAGATACAGATGAACCTACTTTGACTGACTATGTACCATGCATTGACCGAGGTTTAAATATAAACAATTCAATCATCGAGGTATCGAAAACAAGTCAAGAGAATGTGTTAACCGAAACGGAAAATAATAATGACAAGGAGCACTCCAATCTTCTTCATGCCACATTGAGTGTCCGGGTTTCAATTTCACTTGTATTAAAATTAAAATCAACCAAACCTGCAGGGAGAAATAACATGTTGTTAGCTACACTTAATATTGAATGTTCTGAAGAATTGTTAAGTTTCCTCAATCATAGCAAAGAAGATTATTATTTTAATGTATTTGACCTACGTACTGACTTTAAATCAGGTTCTATTGTGCCATTATCTAACGAAGATATGGGGCCACCTATGAGGATAAATTGCAAAGATTCACTCAATCTAACATATAAACTAATAAATAACGATGATTTAGACGGAAGCGGCATACACCCTACTAAACCAATTAGGATACAACTATCTTTACAAGTTCAGAAATATGCGCAAGCGGAATATATGAATGTGAGTAATACAATTGAGACAGAATGGACTCCATATTTAGATTTTGGATTGATTGCACCTCCAATTAGCAATTCTTTGAAAACTGCAAATACTTATTCTCAACTGCAATCTCAATCTGGTATATTGCCGAATTCATCTATGCCGAAATCCGTATTGATAGGTCATTCATATAAGGGAAATCTTCTCCCTCCAGCAGCCATCAATCGCCCGCCGTTGGCAATATCAAATAGTACTCCAAATCTCCCAAAAAAGCAAACAACTCGGCCTAGTCCTGATACGATCCAATCACAGCAAATTCTGGTTTCTTCGGCAGTGACAGTCAACTTATCAACAACTGCCAATTCAAGCTTATATGGATTAAAACTCACATTCATTGGGAATTTAAGTATTCAATTGGGACAAGTATTGACCTGGAAAATTCAAGCAATTAATAATTCTCCAAATAGATTAAACCTATCCCTACTTGTTCAAAATCCCATCAATTTTAATCCGATATATACCACCAATGAAACCAATCGTGAAAACCCATCCACAGTCACCCTATCATCTCGACCAATTGAGGTTAATCATAAATTATCCAAAAACGTCATATATCCACCACAACAATTATTGCCATTAGCAGAATCCCTTAAACATAACAAGAATTGTGGAGTTATCGTTTTAAATAATGATATTCGAATTGGCCCCGTGGATCCAAATATGGTATTTGAAACTGAAATACAATTCATGGGGATATCAAAAGGGATTTTTAATTTGGATGGAATAAAAGTGTTTGATATTAATAGTGGGGATGGATTGGATTTTGGGAAATTGATTGAAGTTTTTGTAGTATAATAGATATTGATAGAGAATTAGATAGATAGAAATGAACCAGTCATTGAACATACGGAATGTAGGACCGATTTCTTTAAGAAAAAACTTATTAAATAAGCCAAAGCTGTAATGCACATGTCGTATTCACGTGGAGGCAATCCTGTAATACCTCGGTACGATATTGGATATCGAAGCTAAGCTCAATTGGATGCAAAAAAGAAGGGGCGAGCTGGGAATTGAACCCAGGGCCTCTCGCATGCTTGTAGTAATCAGCTTGTTTCCAAACCGTCGCCCAAAGCGAGAATCATACCACTAGACCACACGCCCATTTCCGAAATTTTGGAAAATTCCACTTTACTAACAAATGTAAATTTTTACCAAAATTCGGCATTTCCAATAGTATTCTGTTTAATTTTGAAGTTGCATCTAGTATTTTTATATTGAGCAAAGGATGCTCTTTCCAATAAATGGTGATAATTGGAATAATTATGCGTTTTTCCACTGATCACGTGATCATGCACGTGATTAATTGTTTAGAGAAATTTTTGGGAAAAGGATTCCATATTTTTTTTTTACATATACAATCTGTTTATTGAGTTCATATACATACTAACAAACAGAAATATAACAAACAGAAAAACAATATACTGTAAAGGCAAAAAGTAGCATTGCCTAAAACCTTATTTCAGCGGCATCCTAGAGACTAAGAGTATAAATTGTTAAGACTCTTCGACGCGTATGATACCCATTTTTTAATGAAGTGGACCGTGAGCTCAACGTTCGAAGAGTAAGTGGAACTTACTCAAAACAAGGATAATCAATATTGGTAGGGAAGGGGGTTTA